GGGCACAGAGAAAATAAAGATTTTTTTTCCTAATGAAACAGGACTATATTATTCTGGGTCATTAAAAGAGTGGCATAAGTGATGGCTGTGTTGCCCTTTTCAGCTGCCTTTAATTGAATCTCCTTATTATGTAATTGTACCATTTAAACAATTTAAAAGAAGCAGGCTCATTAAACTCGGTTGTGCTTTTAAAACGGAGGGGGGGAACACCTCTGTAAGGTATTTTTAATCAACAGCAGAGTTTTATTACCGTTCCACCTTCCCTAAAAACGTGCATCCCGTTTTTATCCTTCTTGAGTGAATTTCTCCTTGATTTTGGGAACAGAGAACTCTTGATAAGTCGCCGTTCGTCTTCATGAGTGACCCAGGTTTTAGACTGAACCACCCTCTACCTTGCACGGAGTGTGTACACACGTGTGTGAACACACACCCATTGCAACGTTCCACTTTCTCCTCGCTGCCGGTCGTTTGCAATTGCAGATGGATCCAGCAATGTTTCTCTGCGCGTTTAGGGTAATAGGCCAGACTTCTCCAGAGACTGTGCAAGCAAACATTGGCTTGCTCTCTTGGGGGTAAAGCCCAGTTGCTCTCTTCCCCAGCATCCTGGCCCCTCGGGAAAGTTTTGGGGTGCAGCAATGGCCTGGGTGGGGGGAACTAGTGGGTCTTCCTGCACCATCCCAGTTGCCTGTTGTTTCTCCTGCTGGATCTTGGGAGCATCCTGCTTGCCTTTCCACACCACCCTGCTTTCTACTAACATCTCCACCTCATTGTCATCCCCGGTCCTCCATGTGGTCCTTCCGTGTGGGGTCCCCGTGGGCAGTGAAAAGCAGCTGCACCCCAGGAACGTCGGGGTGGGTCATCCCTGCATGACGTGGGACGTTCTGGAGATCCTGGCTCAGCTGGAAGGGGCTGGGTGAGCCCTTTGGCCTTCGTAGGAAGGGAGTCTCCCTCCTGACCCCTCTTTTCCTCTCTCCCCGCCGGCCGCATCTTTAGGCGTGAGGCAGGAGCCGGAGGCGAAAGACGGCGCCAGGTCGGTCCACTTCACCTTCCTGATCGGCTGTGTCTTCGTGGCCTTCCTCCTGGGCGCCTTCCTCTCCGGCCTGCTGGTCTCCTGCTATTGCAGCCACAGCCTGCAGCGCCCCAAGCACCCCGGGGGCAGGACCCTGAGAACGGCATCCAACGCCCGCTCTCCCTGCGCAGCCTGGCCAAGATGAACACCCTGCTGGAGGGCGGCCAGGCCAAGGACGGGCTGATGGAGACGGCCGCCCCCCAGCTCTACACCACCCTGCTGCCCAGCGAGAAGGAGCTGCCCAGCGCCCCGGTCAAACCCGGGGTCCGGGAGCACCCCGAGCTCTCCGCCTTGCCCACCCCGGAGTCCACGCCCGAGCTGCCGGTCAAGAACATGAAGGCCATCCGGAACCAGTGGGAGAAAAACCAGAACTTCAACAACGCGAAGGATGCCCAGGGGAAGGCCCTGCCCTTCCACGGCCCGGTGCCCAACACCTTCTCTTTCTCGGGCCCGGGAGGGGTCCCCGGGCACCTGCACGGCTACGACGCCCCCTTGGGGGGCTACCTGGACGAGAAGAAGATCCCCAACTCGGAGCGGGTGCTGGTGCGGCCCTCTCCCCTGCCCAAAGGCATGGAGGTCACCACCCTGGAAGAGCTGCTCAAACACCTCCACGGGGCTGGGGCCTCCGTGCCCGCCGCCTTCCCGCCTTCGGCCGTGGCCTTTGCCAACCGGGTGCAGCCGAAGGTGCCCAACCTGGAGAGCGCCCCGTATTACAACGCCTCCACGTTACCTCGGCGGCTGGACATCCCTCCGGACGCCCCCTTGCCGGCGGGTCTGAACAAAGGGAGCCGCTCCGTCGCCCACAGACATTCCCTCTGCGGCGCCCCAAAGCTGGTGAACGTGGGTGGGGGCGGCGGGGGGCTGCTGATGCGCCAGCACAGCCTGGGCCAGGCGGGGAGGCTGCCCCCGGCCCTCCTGACCCGCATGCACTCCACCGGGAGCTCCGTGCCCCACGAGGGCCACCACGGCATCTTCCTGGCCCGGCAACACAGCTACGGCGACCAGGGGCCGCTGCCCAGCCACGGGAGCGGCATCCGGCGGTCCGTCTCCCTGATCAAGCCGGGCATGGCCCCCCAGCCTCTCTTCCAGCCTTCCTCTCCGCCCTCCCAGCCCTCCGGCCCTTTCAACTATTGAGCCAGGCAGAAGGAGAAGCGTGTGCGTCACTTGAACCCAGAGCCGGGCCCCTCCGCGAAGGTTCTCTTTGGCCGCGTACATCCCCAGGGATTATAAATCCGAGTGTGCCTTGCGAAAGGGAAGGTCCCAGGCGGGTGGCGCAGGTGGGCTCAGCTGGAGGGACCCTTGCTTCCTCCTCTCTTCCTGCGAGATGCTTCCAGAAGCTTCTTCGGCCTCCGGGGGCCCTGAGGGCCCCCAAAGTATCAAAGCTGGCCGTTCCTCCCTACCTCACGGGTGAGGCCTTGCAGGCGGCCGCCTCGGCAAAGTCCACCCTCACCCATTCCTTATGCAACAAATCTTCGCCCAGGATGCCCATCCCGGCTCGTGCCCTGCCAACGGGCACCCAATTTTGCTTCCAGAGGCTGGCAAAATGCTTGGGCACAGATCCTCCAGGAGAGCACAGACACCTTGGAGCAACCGGCCAGAAACAGGGGTCCCGGGGGGCCCCTTCCTCCTCTCTGCCAGGGCCAACCTGCAAACAGTCACGTTTTGATTGCCCGCTTGACCGAAAGACTCAAAGGTCAACGTTTGTGTTTGCAAAAAACTTGAATTTTCAAAGGATGGAGTCCACACTGTGGAGAAAAAGGGGGCGGGGGAGGGGTCCTGGGGCAGATTTCGGGGTGGGCTCGTCCTTTTTCGAACAGGGCGGCTTCCCAGGGTCCGTTGGGGGGGGGGGACATTCAGCTGCATTTCCGAAGACCAGGCAGGCTCTCCGAATCGAAATGTGATGCTTGAACGACTCCGAATGATCTGAACTCAGGTCAAGCTGGACCACCTGCCCCTTTTCCGGGGTTAGGGAACTGTGTTCGCTTAGAGGGGAGGGGGGCCGGCAAGGGTGCCCCCCCAGCTCGTCTTTGTAGCACTTTTGATATTTGTGCGTGTGTGTTTCTCCCCAAAAGCAGAGAACGGCGGCTCCTGTCGGTTGGGTGGCCTTCTGAGAAATGAGCTTTTGCAGGACTTGAACTCGCAGCTGTTCCCTCCCTGTCTTCAGCGAGGAAAGGACGTTAGGGTCCTGGCCGTGCCCCCAAACAATGCCTCTTGGGTGGCGTTCTTCCTTGCGCCCAGTTTTGACCACTCCGATGAAGGCCAGATTATCTCCATTGGGGGGGGGGGTGTTTCCCAAAATTTCTTCTCAAGTTACCCACCTCCCAATCGGGCAGAGTTTTTGCTTGGGCCAGCTTGGTTCTTCCTGCTCACCTAGGCCTCGATTCTTGGCTGGCTGAGTTTGGAAGCTGCAGCTTTTCAAACCCAGCCCTTGCAAGGAGCTAGTCCACAAAGAGGTTTGTTTCCAAGATCCCCCTCCCCCCCATCCCGTGTCTGTCTTCATGAACAGTGAGAATAATGTATAGATGTTTTCCCACAATGCTCCAAAATCAGAGAGTGGCTATTGCACAACTGTGGCTTGCAAAACAAAAGAAAAAATGCCTCCTTTAAAAAAAAAGTGTAAAAACCAGAAAAGGGGGGGGGGATTCTTTTGATGCTGTACTTGCAACGGTCCCTAAATCTGCTCCTCTCCAAAATGGGGGGTGGGGGGGTGGGAGCAACCCAAGAGGAGGAGAGAATCTGCAAATGGACCCTTTTTTTTCTTTTTTTTGCTATGTGCCGTCTGGACACCGAGAACCCACTGGGGTGGGGTGGGGGAGGCTGCAAAGCCGTTTGTTTTTTTGTTTGTTTTTTTTTAATCACGTGGGCAGAATATTGGGAGGGGGGGTCGGAGCGTGTGTGTGGAAAGTTCTTCCTTGCAGCACTTTTATTTTCTAAAAAAATGTACATAAAGTATTAATATATGTGTATATTTCATTGTTTTAACTTCGTATAAGAGAAGTAAAAAAAAAAACAAGAAAAAAAAACATGCCTAATTCGGTCGCAAAAGAAGGATTAATAGATGGCTTAACATTCATCCCAGCGTGGAAATCGGCAGCCTGAAAAAGGCGAACGCTGCTTGTGCGTGTGTGTGTGTGTTTGTGCAGAGTGTGACGGGTGTGTTTACACAACGACGTTTCCCAGCCTTTGTACAGTGACTGCCTCGTTTAGTGACCCTTCACAGTCACGACAATGATGGAAAAGCAACTTGGCTACCAATCCTCACACCCCCTGCCCTTTGCCCTTCCCCCGGTATAGAATTCTGGAGCTGGAGGGGACCTTGGAGGTCTTCTAGTCCAGCCCCCTGCTAAGCAAGTGTAACTTTTTCAATTCCTGACCTAATTTGCTCTCCTCCACAATCTGGAGGAAGGCAAGTCCAGTCGGAGGTATTTACCTGGACTACAATTCCCATCCCACACAGTCAGGCCAAGGAGAGCTTGTCCAGAACAGCTGGAGGTTGACTGGCTTCTCCCCAGCAGATTCCCTCTGACTAAGTTGGGTTACAACTGCAGGAAGGAGAGGCAGCTGGGGGTCTCCAGGTTGGGGGGGGGTCCCCCCAAAGGATTTCTTTTCTGGAGTGACCGAATTGGCCAGGCTGCCCCTCCAGCTTTCCCGAACATCTGGCTGATGGCTGCAGCCTTCAGGGCCTCTCTGCTCTCGGCCCTTCCTGCCTCTGCAGCACATCTGGCCATCTCTGACAAACCCCCCCCCCATCATTCTTGGCTCACTTGGAGAATAAAAAGATCTGATTGCTGCAGCAGACCGCCCTCCCCCCCCCCCGTCTCTTCCTGCCTGCTTCATCTTGACAAGACACCCCCTCCCCAAATTGGGCAGGTGGCCGGGTTAGGAAAAACAGCCCCCCCCCCCCAAAGAAACCCTTGAGCTGGGCCAGGAATGAGCTCAGGAATTTAATTCATGGTTTTTTTTGAACTTTCCATCTTGCGGTTAGAGCAAGCCAGAGCCGGGCTGGCGTATTGGCTTCCCCATCTTCCAACGCTGAGGAAATTGGGGAGTCCCTCCTGTGGCTTGGCTGCAACGGCCCTCTCCATCCCCTTCCTCAGCTTTGGGAATTGTAGTCTGGCAGTGTACTATGGGACCTGTCCTTCCAAGGAACCGCCGAGACAGAGAAACAAGAGCTGGTCCTTAGCCAAGGCAGCTGTTTAAACCGTTTCGATTTGGACACCAGAGGTGCAGCACAGCTGGCCAAGCCATTGAGGGCTCCTGCGACAGAGGCAGGGATGGTTGTGTAGCGACTGCAAGGAAAGCCGACTCACAATTCCTGCGCCAAAATGGAGGCCCATCAGCCACCTCCCAATCTCCACCAATGTTGCAGCACCATGACTAGGTCACTGAAATTGCTTTGTCGCCCACAAGTCTGGACAAGTCCCCTTCACAGACCCCTGGAAAGCAGCAGCCAGGACACCCGGTGCCGAATCCTCAGCGGAATTTGCCCAAATTTGCAGAAAATTAATTTTTCTTTACACGGTGATTACTGTCCAGTGGAGACCCTTAAATTGGTGTCTTGTTCTCCTCCTCCGTGGTTGCAGAGCAAAAGGAAGTTTAGGGTTAATTTCCAAAACTGGGACAAGGGGAAGCGGTGCTGCGGGAGGGGGGCCACCACCACCCCCCCAGCCTCTCTGCTGGCTGATGTTAAACATCAGCATTCGGCTTTTGGTCCTCTTCTGAATTAATACAGCGCTGGCTTCTTGCAAAACTGGGGAGACAATGCCAAGTTAGGCGCTCTGTGTGTGTGTGTGTGTGTGCGTGCGAAGCTGCCAGATGTTTCCTCTCTTTTTATGCCAAGAGGCCTGCAGATGTGGTTGATGACCTGGGAGGTTGCCAGTTGGGGCTGGGCTGAGGGAGGCGAGGAGTGGAGAGCAAGGAAGCCATTTCTAAGAATTTAAAAAACAGCTTCCTGCCTTTGTGCCCCTATGTTGGCAGCCGGTTGGGCAGTAAACAGCAAAGAAGGAAAAGAGGTTTCTAAGGTGTTCTTGCTACACAACATCTGGCTGGCTCCTCTTCCAAGCGGGGATGCTAGATCGGAGAGGGCTCCACCCTATCCAAAGATGGGAGAGCCTCCAAGTCCAGAAGCAGTCTACCTTTGTGGGTGCGGCCAAAGGAAGCGGAAGGAGCTTCGGTGAGGTTCCTGAAGTCTTCTCAGGAGCCCAGATGGAAGCCTCCAGGCTTCCTCCTGCTTCGTGGATTTTGGGGCCACCCTGGAAAAGGTTTTGGGGTGCCGGAGTGTTTGGAGATGGTAAATGACTTCATAGTTTTTCCGGTTTCTTAGGAGGGGTGAAAAGCAGAGCCACCAAATAAATTAAAAACTCCTTGAAAATTGTCTGCAGGGAGGCGTCTGAATGCCTTGGCGTCCAGTTTTTAAAAAACAAGGGTAGAAGAGGCACTTTTTGCTGAGAGTTTTTTTTTTTAATGAGGAAAACCAGGGGGAGGGGCGCCTTTCCTTCTCCCTCGACTGCTGAGAAATCCGGGCAGTCAAAATCACCAAAGCTGGGCCGGCAGTGCCACCTGGCGGCCCCTCATGAGTCGCACCCTTCTCTGGCACCAGCAGGCTCCATTGGAGTCTGGAAAGGGTCTGGGGTCTTCCAGATGCTTGGCTCCGTCCTGGGGAAGAGCCACAAAGGATGCAAACTCAGTGGAGGGGGCAATCGGCAACACAGGGTCCCGTATTCTCGTGACCGGCCTTCGGTCAAAGATGCACCAACCTGGGTTGGTCATAAAGAAAAACGAAACCAGGGTTGTTTTCTGTTCAATGGTTTCTTTCAACCTGCAGAGCTTCCATCTCCTTTGGCTTTTTTTGAGACCTGGAAGCAGAATTTTCTCTCTCTCTCTGCAAAAGGAAAATGCCACGATGGAAACCTTCTCCTGTGAGACTTTGGCTAGCTTCTGGGCATTTGGTCAAGTCCGCCAAATTTGGAGGCCAAATCCCACCAAACTCTGTCCGTCTTTTGGGGGTGGAGGGGGCAGATTCCCAATCGTATCTCCTTCTCTGGTCTGAACGCCCCCTCCTGTGCCAAGAGGGCACGCCAGGGTTGGCAAATTGTGTCGTGCGTACAGTCGGGCAAGGCGTGTCATGTGAACGCTGAAGTTGGGGTTTCTTAATCCAGGGTTAGGACTTAGCCACCACTGGCTTCCGGGGGAGCACCTCGGAGCAAGGCCGGCCGCTGTTCTTCACTCGCCCCAAAAGTTTAGCCTTGGATAGGGAACCGAGCATCCAGTGTTTCCGGCACCCTCCCTCCTGCCTGGTCCAGAGTTTGCTCGTCATCTCCATAGCAACTGGTTGCCCCTGGCAACAGCTATGAAGCATCTTGGGCGCTTTGGCCAGAGACGCGTGGGCACCGGAGGAAGCTGCTCCCGCCACCGGCAAAGAGGGGACCTCTGCCCTTCCCAGGACTCTCTCTCAGTCCTGGTCTCACCCAGGGTGAATTCCACTGCTCCCTGCCTCCATATGCTGCTGTCCATCAGTGAGGAAGATGTAGGAAACCTCCGGCAACGGCTGCCGTGCTAATCCCACCCAGCCTTGATTTCCTGGAACGGCTGGGTGAAGAAAGGGGCTGTCTGCCTGGCTGGCAGCGATGCATTGCTAGAGATTGGCTCCACTTTTCTCCAGGTGAGTTCTCCCCCTTTGGGTCCCACGTCAGTGACAGTTGTGGGGTTTCCCCCCCCCACGGGCATGCCCCATCTGCCCCCTCCCCTCCCCCAGCCTTAAAAATGCCATTCTTGTTCGCAGTTCAATGCTGCATTCTCAATGTGCTCCTTGTTCAGCCCTTCTGCAAAAGGATTTTTTTTTTTAATTTTAGAGCAGTGTTGAACGAGTTTTAAAATAAAGTATTTTCCCCTGGAGAGAAGACAGGGCAGGAAAGCAACTGAGAGCCTTTCCCAAACTCTTCCCCTCCCCATTGGGCTGGGGATCGGAGCACCCAAAACGGGGGTCCAGCTTAGAGGGTTGCAGTGAAAAGGGGATTTTTAAAAGGCTGCCAGGCCAGGGAGAGACCCCACCCCGCATTGATTTCTTAAATTTGTTAGATTTAAATTTTGCCGCCTTTCTCGCCGTGGGCTACTCTTATTTCCTGGTGCAGAGATCACCCCCTACTAACGGGGTCTCTGTCCCCCTTCCAGGTGGTGCTGCGGACAGCCGGCCACTTGCTCGCTGGGGCGCTGGTCCTCATGGCCACCAGCCTGGGAAGCTCCTTGCCCGCCCTGGCCAGCGCCCTCCGGCCCGACCCCACCCTCTCCCTGGAGCAGAAGGCCACTTTCCTCTTCCTCTTCTTCCTCTTCGTCTTCCTGGCGGTGCTGATCGTCCGTTGCTTCCGGATCCTCCTGGACCCCTACCGGAGCATGGCCTCCTCCACCTGGAGCGACTACGTGGAGAAAGACATGCTGGACTACCGCCTGGCCTGAGGGGGGGGTGAGGGGGAAGACCGCAGTGGAGATGGCCAGCCCAAGCCGGGGTACGGAGGCCTCGATGGAAGCTCCACGCACGGGGGCAGTCTGACCTCTAAAAGACCTTTATGTTTCCTAAACAAACAAACCTGTAAATAGACCTATTTGAAAAGCAGAATTTATTGGATGTCTGGGGAATATTTTACCCCCATAAAAGAGGGGGCAACACTTATGGCTGGCAAGAGACAAGGGCGTTGTGGGGAAACGCACCCCATGCGAGTCCTGCCTCGTTAAGGACCAACAAGGCACAACTTTTCATTTAGAGACTCTGGGCAAAGGTGGACGGGGGTCTCTTTGGAGGGTGTTGCGTGCTTCAATAAAACAGGGCGGGTTCTCCAGAGCAGCTGCCTTGTGACTCCAGGCTCCCTTCTTCCCTGCTGGCACACTCACAATCGTGAATGGGCCGTCCTAGAAGGCTGCAAGGATCCCAGTCTGTGTGTCAACCCCCACAATACCCCAACCAAGCACAATAAAATCCACAGGTCTTAAAGTTGCCAAATCCTAAGAGAGATGGAGGCAGACCCTTCCCTCTGCACCCCTCTACACTGGGCTGGGTCTTCAGAGGTGGCTGAACTACAATGCCCAGCTCTTTTTCCGTTGGTCTACCTTGCTGGGGTCTGTTAACAAACCAGACCCCAAACTCCACATTGTGATAGCCAGCAAACAGGGTGTGTTGAAAATAGCAGTCTGCCTGGCATAAATCTGGGTTAACGCAGCTCACGCCAGCAAACTGCTTAAGCAGCAGGCAGTTTGCACGCAATGTGACGAGGTTTTGCTTTTTAAAAAAAAGAAAAGAAAAAGTGTCTTTTGACTTCTTGGTGGAAATAAAGCACAAGCAATTTGCAAGAAAGTTAAGGCCTTGTTTCTTCCCTCATTTACGAGGGGAAAGTTGTATTATTCTAAAGCTTGTTTATTTAAAGCTTCTTCTTCGTTCCCTTCTTCCATAGAGGGAGCATTCCACTTGAGAGAACCTCTTTCCATCTTATGCACAGTCCTGCAGTCCCTGCCTTGCCTTCCCATTTTCCCAGCTTTTCTACCCTGGACTTACCCATTCCGTGGTGAAGGGGGCTCCGTTGGCCATCAGCAGCCTGATTTCGTCATCCTGGCCTTGGCGGGCTGCTTCCAGGAGCTTCTTCCCCAGGTCTATCAGCGACATCTTTATACAGGAGAACAGATGGTTTCAAACATCTGGGGGGAGAGAAATATTTTGGACTGGGGGGGCGGGGGAGGTCAGTGCCAGGTCTCTGTGGCGCCCCTACTCACAGGTGGAAAAAGGCATTTAGGCCATTGTGCTCCGGGCCTGGCATTGTCCTCTCTGCAAAATCTTAGCGAGAAAGACAAGGATGGCTTTCATCTTCGTAAGTGGTGGGTGCTCCACCCCTGGAGGTTTTAAGGGAAGACTGGGCAGCCATCTGTCTGGAGTGGGATGGCTATAGGGCAGGGGTGTCCAGTCTTGGTCATTTTAAGACTTGTGGGCTTCAACTCCCAGCCATGAATGGCTGCCTGGGGAATTGAAAACCACAAGTCTGAAAGTGGCCAAGCTTGGACACCCCTGCAATAGGGGCTCCTGCTTGAGCAGGAGTTGGACTCGATGGCCTCCAGGGCCCCTTCCAACTCTGTTATTCTTTTAATTTCAAACCAGGGGAATTTGGAGAACTCGGCAAGGACCCTGTGTGAACTCAGATAAGGAGCTGGGTCGGGGGTGGGAGTTGTAGTCCTCATGGCCGTGCCACTCAAACAGGAGGCCTATCCGCCCCTGACACTGGGGACGATGGGAGCCGCAGGCTTTCTGGTACTGCTGGCCAGTGGATGATGGGAAGTGGGGAGCGTGGGCAGTGCAATCCAGGCAGGAAGGATGGGCGTTGTAGTCCAACCTTCGCGGGGAAGGGTCCTTTTTTCTCCCGACCTCTTTAATCCCCCCCCCCCGCAGACCCGGACTCACTCTGGGAGGCGGCGGTGGGGGGGGGAACTCTCCTCATGGCCGGGTCAGCCTGTTTCGCGCTCAGAATGATGGGGCTGCGATAAGGGGGCTTTTTTCAAACCGACAAGCCGCTCCCCCAACCGCGAGAAAAATGGTAGACCCAGAAGTATGCTTCCCTCAGGGGAAACCTTTAGGGTGTGACACAGTCTCGCTCTTCCGGCAGCGGAAAGGAAGTCGCTTGGGCTCGGCTGAGGGCGCTCTGCCCCTCCTCTCTATGGCAGTGCGAGGCCGACCGCGTTCTAACGCTCCCTAAAAAGGCGCTCCCTCCCTCGGCATCTCTATGATCAGGCGCCTCCTCTGAATCACCAATAGAGCCCGGAATTGCATAAAATTTCCTTCTCTGGTTGTTTGTATGTGTATATGTGTGTTGATTATAAAGGCGGGGAGCACAAACAGGGGCGGAAGTCTAAAAACCATCATCCTGGTTCTCTCCAAAGAAGCCCCCTTTGCCCCCAAAGCACTGGACTATGACTCCCCATCATCCCCAACGGAAGATATACACGGTTCTCCCTTCCAAGACTCAGATCCTTGTAAAAAAGAATACCAAACACCTCCCACCCCGCCATAAAAAGCTTGCTTTGTTATTTTAATCGGATCTCTTTCTTTGCCCCATCACAGGGAAAGCCCTGTTTTCTTCTATGCAGTGCTTAATTCCTCCTTTTCTCTGCCGTTTCCTTCCTTTTCCAGGAAAAATTAGGGAAGGTTCTACAAAACTTACCTATTTTAAAGCAAAACTTATGTTTTCCTTGCTGGCAGGAGATTTCCAGTCAAAGGAAAATAATAACTGAATGGGCCAAATCTTTGCAGGCTGGATTGAGGCACAAAGCTGCCAGTTGCTAACCCCAGTGGCTGATCAGCCCTACGTGCAGAGAAAGGAGGAATTTTGGGGGGGGGGCAATTCCTTCTCCTAGTCCTCCTGGACCCTGGCAGATCGGGAGGGGGGGACAAGAGGGGGGAGAGACACAGTCTTTTGGCAAATACATTCAAACCAAAGTGAACAGTCAGTTTTGTTTTATGTCAAATGATTCAGAAGCATCAGCTCGGGAAAGCACAAACACGGCACACAGGAACCACAGAGGAGTTTGGGGAGGGAGAAAACCCCACGGGGAAGACTGCGGGGGGGGGGGTGTAATTAAAAAAAATTAGTGGCTTCTGTCCCACGGCTGGGCTTCAGATGAGGTCAAAATCTCCTGGGCTGATGCTGGCAATGGGGGCTCTCCAGAAGTTAAAGCTGCTGAAGGGGAGCAGGGCGCTCTCTGCTTCTTCTGGGCCCCCCAGACTGGGCCTCGGGGTCTTCTGCTCGGACACCAGGCTGCCGTAGCCCCGTTTGGGCTTGAAGAGGGCCAGGTCGGCCAGTCCCAGACACTCCAGTTCGGAGACGTCCAGTTCAGGAATGGGCATTCGCCAGTAAAGGAAGGAACCATACTGGGAGTTCACGGTGTCCCTCATTTCTTCCTGGAGGGAGGAAAAGCAGGAAGGAGGCGGCGTTATTGTTTTAAAGTTTGGAGTTTTTTTTGAGATTTTAATGGTAATACAGGGAGTCCTCCTCCTAGGAGGAAAGACCACCAGGGAGAGCCAGGTTGGGATCTCCCCTCAGCTTAGTGGCCAAGCGGTCTACCTCACAGGGTTGCTGTGGAGGCAAAACTATTATGCCCCCTTAGAGAAAAGCCAGGATTGAAATTTGCAATAAATAAAACAGCCTTTCTTTTGTTCTCACAGGATCTTAGTCCTCGGTGAGGAGAATATTAAAAAGGATGCTTCCCCCCCCCCTTTTCCTCTTCCCTTGCACATGCGTGCACCCCCCATACAGGTCTCTTTCTTTGGGGTGGCGGCTTTGCCAGCCTGGTTCCCCTCTGGCCTTCCCCTTTTTTGCCAATTCCCCAGAGGACCCATCCCCTCTGCCATCTCTGCCCCCTCCCTCTTCCCTTCCTCAGCAAAAGCCTTTTAAAATGCTCAGCCATCCTCCGGCCTTAGATGAAGATTTTTCCAAGCTGCTGTGAACCATCTGGGCTGGGCTTATTTTACCCAGGATGGTCAGGCTGTGAACGAGGAGCTCGCTGGCGTGTATGAAATTACCCAGACATCTGTCCTCTTTAAATATAGCATCTTTAGCAGTCTGTACGGAGGGGGATATATTTGCATTCCTCTATGCAAATGGAAACATTTTCGGAGAATTATTTAACCCCTCCTGGTGGCAGAGAGATGGCTGAATGACTCGGCAATATTAAAAGGCAGGCATGCACCCACCCTGCCCAAGAAACAGGAAAGAGATGGGGAATGGCTAACATTTTAAATCCCCTCTCCCTCGGGGGAAGGTGGGACCAAGTTCCCCCAACTGATTTTAGAGAGAGAAAAAACAAGGCAAGGTGTATGCAAGGCACCTGTTAAAAGGACTGAGATTTGGGGTTTAAAAAGGTATATTAAGGGGCTCGTGTCTCCATTAGATTTATGTTCCAGCCCTCTGAAATTGATAAGATGGAAGAAACTGGCTTTTTGTTTTTTTTTTACCAGAGCATCAGCTGTAAGGCTGTTAAGAAATAGGAAAATGAAATGAAATTATATATTGCATTGTGTCAGGATTTTCTGAATCTATAGTAACTTAGAAAGGAAGATGATGGATGGATGGATAGATAGATATGGACAGACAGACACAGATATAGACAGACAGACAGAGACATGGATGGATAGATAGATAGATAGATAGATAGATAGATAGATAGATAGATAGACAGACAGCATCATGTACTAGTATAATATAATACAATCTAACATTCAATATTACATCATATAAAATCACATTAGGCCACGGTTTGCTGGCTGGGAATAACCTAGAAATAAATTTAATATGGCATTGCTTGTTCATGGACAGAAATACATTACCCCAAGGTTTCCTGGTGATAGAAATAAATATAACACAGCATCATATATCTACGTGGTATAATAAAATAGCTGATGGGGGGGGCTTTCCAGCAACTCAACTCTTCTAAGGTGGAATAGATAAATAATAAAGATGCCTGGGCTCGCCCTGCCCTCCCAGCCTCTCATCCAAGCCTTTGTGTGTGCGCTGCTCCCCAGTCTTACCTCCTTGTCAGCAGGATTTGGGGATGAGCCCCGATGGTGTCTCTCTGTCTCTTGGTGCAGAAGATGCAGCTGGGCTGCCGGGAAACTGCCTCTGTCTGCCTTTGGCTGGGCGAGGGGGGGGATGCCAGGCGTGTCCGTCTCCCCTCCTTTCTTACTGCAATGCAGCCCCTCCTGGAGAGAGATTTCACTGGTGGGTGGGTCCTTCCCCTCCTCACCATCGGCTGCCAAGCCAATGGATTAGCTAGGAGGGCTATTTCCAGGGAGCTTTGGAGGAAGGCAGGAGGGTGGGCATGGTGTGTGTGGGTGTGTGTGTGTGTGTGTGGCTTGGAGAGTGGGCACGGGGTGTGTGTTTGTGTGTGTGTGTGTGTGGCTTGGAGGGTGGGCACGTCTGAGCTGTGTGTTTTGCACGGGAGGGGCCTGGGGGGGTGAGGTCTCTAGGGAAGGAGGCATGGATTGCTCTGGCTTCTGAGAAACAGAATGGGGGGGGAGGTTGGGGAAAGGATGGTGGGCAGCTGGTTTGCCCTCTCCCACGAGGGGAGGGGGGGTCACCTGTCAATCTGAGTCCCAGGCAGGTCAAGCCTGGTCAATCCTGGTTCTCCCGGTGAAAACACCCTGATTAGGCTGCATCTGATAGGTTAAGAGAGTCGGAGGGGACCCTGGAGGTCCTCTAGTCCAACCCCCTGGTCAGGCAGGACACCCTACACCATTCCAGACCAAGAGCTGCCCAGTCTCTTCTTAAAAACCTCCACCTGGGGACGGCAGCCGCAGTAGCCCAGCCCCTCTGCCCCAAAGCCACCTTTCGTAGAGGGGCCAAGCCAGTATAAACCCCCCCCCACACACACACACAGCAGCAAGTGTGGGCACCCCAGCCCCCCAGAGCCGGCCACATCTGCGAGGCCTCCGGCCGTGGGGCTGCAGTGCCCAGGGCCTGCCAGAGTTGGCAGCAGCCGCTCCCGCGAGTCCGGAGACGGGTGTGGGTTGAATCATCGCGGGGGGGGGGGGCGGTGTTCCTCGGTCTGCCTGTTGAAATCCTCCGGAGCGTTTCCTCCTCCTTCTACCCGCGGCAGCAGGAGGGCGGAGGAGCCGAGCGGAGCCTGCTTTCCCACGGAGAGAGAACTTTCCATGTGGGTTTGCTGTGGCGCTCGGAGGAGGAGGAAGAGGAGGCACGGCCGAGGGAGAAGGGACCGTCCCGGGACCCCCAGCAGGGCAGGTAAGGGGAGGAGGCCTGGTGGGCAGGGAGACCCCGGCTGGCTTTTCTAGCCGCCTTCTCGGGGCTTCCAACCTCTTCCAAACTTTGCGCGAAACTCTTCCGGACCCCCAAAGTTTTCTTTCTCTCTTTCTCTTTCTCTTTGGACAGTTCAGGTGAGTCGCTCTTTCTTCTTCCGCACCTGAGGTTTCTCCCGACCCTCCTTCCCACCCTCGCCTCTTTGGACAAACACGGTTTGCGAGACAGGCACGGGAAGGAAAAAAAGGCGATTTTCATTCCCTTTAGAAAAACAGGGTCCTTTTTGGCTTCGGAATGGCTTCTTTCCCCAGACTGGCACTTTTGAAGGAAGGAAGGAAAAGAAAGAAAGAAAAAAAAAAAAGAGAGAGAGAGAGAGAGAGAGAGAGAGAGAGAGAGAAAGTCCGGTTGATTCAGGCGTTTAATTTCTTCTTTCATTCCTCCAGTGCGGAAGAAAGGCCCTATTCATTTGGGACTCTGTTGCCTTGCAAAGATCTAAAGTTTTTTTTTAAAACTCTGACACCTTGGGGAGGGGAAAAAACGGTTCAAATCTCCCAGCTGAAGAAATGGGGAGATAGGAAAAGGCCGGAAATGGGGCTGTTTCTCTCCCCCACCCCTTTTTCAAAGCATGCTTGAATTTCCCTCTCCGTGTTGCCTACCAGCTGGGGCCACTGGCACTTTGGCCCAATGAAATCCAGCATGGTTTGAGAAACACTTTCATGGCCCAAAAACTCAGCTTTCGGTTTCTGGAACATTTTCCACGCTTCCCAGCACGGTGGCAACGTGTGAAAATCCGATTAATACGTGAAAAAGCTTATTTGCCACCCCACTGAGGTTAGCTTGATGGGGCTGATTTTGTCCCACAGGGAGAGGGATTTCCAAGAGGCTGGCTGAATGTAAAAACCCCATTTTCCCCTCCCTTATGGCTGGTTCTTAACGGCTGGAAAGCACAAGGAGGACTCGGGCCCAGCGGGTGGGGAGATGGGTCCTGTGGTCCTCCAGGAGACCCTCATGTTGGGGAAGTCAAGCACCCACCCACCTTGGTTCCCCGGGTTCTTTCGAGTTACAAAAGTTTGCGGCATGGCAGAGGTGGTGAATGCAACTTCTTGATTGCAGTTACGCTTTGTGCATTGTTCTGTTATTTTAGCAAGGACACAGGGGAGCGTATCCAGGCCCTCCACCCCCAGCCCGTCCCCCTCCCCTTCCCCAAACCTCTGTCTTTCCCCTTTCTTGGAAAGAATCTTGCAAAAGTCTCCTAAGGAACTTTAATGTTCTGCTTAACTCTTATGTTGCCCCCTCCACCCCTCTGCACTTCCTTTACGGCCCTGACTCAGGAGCAGCCCCATTGTTCGGGCGGCTTCAAGAGAGGGAACCGCTGGGCTGGAAGTCTTCAGGGCGGCACAGGCCTCCTTCGGCAGCCCCCCCACCCACCGCCCCCCCCCCGTCGGGCCCTCAACCCGGCTTCTCTCCAGCTGCAGCCTCCTCTGGAGGAAGCCTGGACGCACATGCAGTGCTCCTGAGTTGTGCAAAAATCAAACTTTAGAAAATACATATATAGAAAACATCTAGAAAGCATTTCCTGCCTTCTTGGGGGTGGGGCAACGGCATGGAAATTATCCCGAGAAATTTTGATTTTCGAAAGAATAGATTTAAAAAAGAAAGTGGCGCTGGAAAGGAGAACCTTCCTAGTGACAGGTTCAGAGTCCGAAAGGGGGCAATGTAAATCCCCTCCCCAATGCCATCATTGGTGTTGTGTGTTTGTGTTTGTGTGTGTGTGGTGTATTGAGATCTTAGTGGATATTTTGCAAGGAAATCTTCCCAAATTGTCAAAACTGCCCTGCCTTTCTCTACATCCCATCTCTGCACGGTCAAACCTAAACCCGCAGGCGTGGAAGTGTCCTCGTTTACACGTGTTTACATGTGTGTAACATGCGTGTGCAAGGGCTCAGGGGTCTCCACTGCAAACTTCATCATATTTTCTGCTGCAAGCCGTGGCCTGTCTCAGAGACCATCCTTCTAGACAGGAAGCTTTTGTTCATTGTTATGACTGGCATGGCTACTAATTTCTTATTTGTGTATTCGAAATTCGCTTTCAGCTACAATTTGAAACAGAATTTTTAACAAGGTATCCTTGGCATTTCCCAAATCTTGATTAAGTTTGTAAATAACTCAAGTGGCTAACATATCTAATCCTCCTTCCAGTTTTCTACCCCCAACAACAACCTTGACTTACAAACCATGAATTCTAGCTTAGAATTTGTTGGACAGTCCTAGCCAACTGCTGGCTGAGTCCTTCTCCTTAGCTTATAAGCCAAAGTCAGACCTGGTTTGAGCTGGGATGGGGACTCCCAGGAAACCCAGAAAATGTCTAGGAGAGCAAAGTGCTTCTCTACGGCTGGTGAGGAAAGATGGCTGCGCCCATGACATCACCAGGGGGCAAAGATGACTTGGCCAGCTGGCCGCTGGGAGGGCCAGACAGCCGCCAATCCTTTCTTCTATGCACGGAGGAAATTCTCCCCGCTCCCCAGATGGGATTCAAGGCTCTTTTCCTTCGGAGCCGCGGATCTTCCTCCCCCTCCCCGCTCGCTTGCAACAAAGGGTCCTTTTGTTCTGCACAATGAGCTGAGCCAGGGGGAGGCTGGGCGCTTCCTGGCTGGAGGAGCCAACGGGAGCTCGGCCTCCATGCTGGATGCCACCGGCCGGCAGAAAAATAAGCCTGGTTCAAATCATTGGAGAAAAAAAAAGGGGGGGGGGAAATTGGCCTGGGATGGAGGCATGGCTTGTTTCTCCAAGCCTTGGAGATGGCCAGGTCTGAGAGATTTTTCCAACTGGGACAGAAAATCCCCCTGAAGAGGCAAAGGCTGGTATTTGCAGGTGGACTCTCTCCTGACATGGAGGTTCTCCATTTGCACCTCTGTGTGGCGGGAGGCTTCCTGCCGCCGTATGTAGGCCTTGGAATTGGCGTCTGGCCTGTGGGAAAAAAAAACGGCCTTCGGAAGGGAGCCTGCCGCTCACAATGGGCCTGGGAAAACAGCCTATAAATCTCGGGGAAACAATTAACGCCAGCGGACGGGAGGGGAAAAAAATAACCACAAACTTTGCTACCGGGCGAAGGAAGCTTCCTCAAGAGCACCAGAAAAACCCCACACCGCCTGTGATATATATATTTTTCCGGAGCAAATCCAGAGAATTGTTGTCACTCCAAGCGTTGGTGCTCTCTAGAGCACCTTCTCACATCGCAAAGGGAATACATCTCATCTGCCCCGGGACAGGCTTTGGCATCTGGCTGCCACTGCCCATCCCCCAAGCCCAGATGGCACCGCTAGGCTAAGAATGGCAGCCCACCAAAACCACAGTGGATTCGTGGCCTGGAGAAGACACAAAGCCTCACTTCTCGTCCCAGGCTTTCTCTGGCTGTCCCATTTTCTTGGGACTGTTGCTGAGAAGTTGCTTTGTGCCGGCATTCCTAGCACACTCCAGTTCCCATCATCCCCATCGGTTGTTCGGGAGCACCAGCTTGGAGAAGCGGGGTGAAGGTTTTTGCAAAATGCCTCCAGTTTTTGAAAAAGGGAAACGGATTTATCCACAGGATGGCTTGGTAGCAACAGCTTTCAAGGAAATTTAACACACAAATTACGTAGAACAGCGACAACTGTGGGGAAGAGAAAGTGTGGGGCTGGGTGCTCTGAGCTATCCAGGATGTGAAGGACAACGATACCACCAACCCAAAAAAGGACCTTCCTGGTGGAGAATATTCAATGCTTTGCTTAGCTGGGACAGGATTTTCCTTCGGCCTTTTATTACACAAATGTAGGAGAAATGGATTGACACAATTGCTCCAGGAGGAGAGGGTGGAACCTGAATGAGGATGGGAGACCACCAGGAGATGCCGGGGTCGCGGTATAGACCTGGAAGCTGTAAAAACAACTTTTTCTAGGCTGTTGTCAAGAATATTCTCAGAACTGGCTCTGGTGAATCACGGTGGTTAGGAAACACTGGAATTTACCTGGCAGAAATTTTACATTTTCTGGATGTCTGCTTGGTAAATAATTAACTCTGATTTTCCAGCCCTTTCAGATTGGGCATTGAAATACGAGTTGCAAGCTGAAAACACTGGGTCAAGAGTGGGGCATTTTATCCCAGCGTGACGGGATAAGTCGTCCTTTCAATTTGCAGGCGGCCACTGGTGCCACCCAAACCCACCTGTTTTAATTTGCCCAGCCAAATGTCCTTCACGTTTCTAGCCCTTGTGAGGCGAAGAGGCCACAGACCTGACTAAAACCACAGCCGTCTCCGGCTGCACACAGGACACCGTCACTTCCTTTCGAAACGGCCTGCACATTTTGGCAAGGTTGGCTGGTCACGGCGGCTCCCTTCCCAAGGCCGGCTGCTGGCAGGTGTGCGCTGCACCTAGAGGCACCCCGTGAGTTTGAACACGTCCTGTGTGGGCAGCTGATCGGCCGCCCTATGCAAAACACCAGGAAGATTTTGCTTGATGGCCTCTGTTTCAGAGACATGCAAAGTCTGGAGGTTAACTATCTGAGGGAAGATGTTTTTATGGAAAAAAATAAAATTGGTGGGAGAAGATAAAGGCAAGACCTCTGTGGAGCTGTGTCCTGAAGACTTTGGCAGTTGGAGCAAAGTTGGCGTTGGAAAGGATACCACCAGGAGAGGCTGGGGCAGGAAAGTAGACTAGGAAGTTGCAAAAACATCCCAGAAAATGAGGGCAAGTCACTTTTCTCACAAAGGCAGGGCCATCCCAGATCCTCTTCACATCCGGCCCTGCGTGGGGAGGATGGGACCTGTAGTCCAAACGCCCAGCTGCAGGAAGCCACTCTCTTCTTCCACGCTCATTCATCGAAGCAAACAATCTTCGACCCTCAAGTTGGGTCAGCGGCACATGGCAAGCCCCCCCCCCATGCACTTGGGGGGGGCGGGTCCTCTTCCCCTCTCCGGCTGCAGGGTGGGAAAGTTCTGGGAATGTCCTCCACTTTTTCCTGCTTTCTCGGTGGTTCCAGCTGGCCCAGCTGAGTCAGGGCTGAGTCAAGCTGCATCGTTCCTCCACCGACGATGTCTGGGACAGGCTGGGTCTTGCCCCGAACGCTCAGAACGGTTGTTTTGCTCCTGCTGCAACGCGGAGAAAAGACGCTGCGAAGCCACACCAATTTACACAAGCGTGTGCACGGCGGACAGCCTTCCCTGCCCATCCAGATTCCTTATTTGGCTGGTTTCTTCCAGGCTCGGTGCTTCTTTGTCTCTTACAGTCCTCGGCTTACACAACAGTCCATTTAGTGGCCGTTCAGAGTTACCACGGCACTGAAAAAAAGGGACGTAGGGCCCTTTTTCACACTTAACGACGGTCGCCGCATCGCTGAGATCAGGGGACCCAAATTCTGGGAGCTGAAGTCCACAAGTCTTAAAGTGGTCAAGGTTGCAGACCCCTGACTTAGCCTATGGCAAAAAGGCTCAGAAAGCAGGTCACAAGGACATTCTCAATGAACTTTCGGCGCTGGTTGATAAGCGAGTCCCAGGGTCCTAAAGCGAATCCAGTGTCCCCATTGACCTTGTTTGCCAGAGACACCTGGGAAGGCCCTAATGACGTGAGAGTCTTTGCAAAGCCCTCTTCCACCTCTCCCCCCCCCAGCAGCCCAGCCATCCGTCGGTTCGTTGAGTCATTTTTTCTGGCCCGGCAGCTGTCCGGCCACAGCCTGAATCCTTGTGCCCATCAGGCCTCTCGCCTCTGGCGGGGGTCTCGCCGGCTACGGCTGGGAGCTGGCAGCAGGCCATCCCACATCGTGGAAAAATCAGATTTTGCTCTCTGCAGGAAGATCCCCGGTCTGCTCTCCTGCTCTTTCTGCCAAACCAATTCCCCCTTTTGTTTCCTTTTTTCCTTTAAAAAAAAATCCCCCAAAGGCAGAAAAATCCCAGCATTTAACTCTTGCTTCGAGGGTCTCCCCTTTGGCCCAGCGAGCAGGGCAGGAGGCCAGCCTGCTTGGACCCCAGGAAGGGTGGCAGCTACTCTTGGGAAGCCCAAGCAGGGTTGGCTGGGAGACCACCAGGAACCTCAGGGCTGGAAGGATTGGGGGAGAAGGTGTTGACCAGCCATCTCCGTGTTGCTGCTAGGAAAACGTGGACGTGTCTTGTGGGGGTCCCCAAAAGTCACTTGTGTCTGTTTCTCCAGCGGGGAGGGTCAGTCTTCATGCCCTCCAGGGGCCCCTTCAATCTTAGCAGCCTAAGAAGGCGGGGCCTGCCTTTCCAGATCTCTCGCAACTGAACTTCCCAAAAGGTTGTCATCACTTTCACACACACGCACACACACACAAAAAGAAAGGTGTGAACAGATGACCTCCAAGGACTTTCCGGGCAAGGTTAATTCGCAAGGAGGAAGTGGAGGCTTTGTGCGTTTGTGTTTGTGCAATTTTTTTTTTTTAAATGCCTCTAGTCTGCTTCTATGGAAACTCCTTGTGGTTTCCTGTTATCTGAAATGATTGTTTAAAAAACCATTCCTCCTCTTGAGCCCCCCCCCCCCGCCCGGCTTGTGAGAGGAAGCCGAGGCGCGTCTGCACCACGCAGGGTGACTCGTCAGCTGAGGCCGCGTTTCGAAAGAGAAAAGCTGGGGGGATCCGTGGGGCACCTTCCCCGAAGTGCTTGGCAAACTTGGGCAGCAGCATGTCCGGCCTTTGCGGCCGAGCGGACAGTTCCTGGCTCCTCTCCTTGACCATCCCAGCCCCACTGAGTCCAGAGGGCTGACCTTCACCAGGGGCCGAGAAAGGAGATCTAGTTGTTGACGTAATTGTTTTCTTCTTCCTCTCCTTCTTTCTTTCATTTTTTATTTCATGCTGTCTCTTCCTCCTCCCTCCTCTTCCGCTTTTCCTCCCCCTCCTTCCTTCCTTTCCCCTAATTTTCACTCAGTTGTCTTCATTCTCTCTCCTTCCCTGTCCCCCCCACCCCGCACCCATCCTCCCCCTCCTCTGAGGTTGTCCTTTTCCTTCTTCCAAAGGTGGTTTTCAAGCATCAGCGTCCTCGCCATCTGAAAGTCTCTCCAGCGCTCCCAACCCCCCAGGACGCCACACGGCCGAGTGTGGTCTCTGGCTGGACAAGGGGGTCCTCATCGCCTGTCCGCAGGTTGTTGGTCCCCACCGGACAGAAAGCTGGGAGCCACTTTCACCATGAGTGATTTTTGGCACAAACTGGGCTGCTGTGTGGTGGAGAAGGCGCAGCCGGTGAGTCCTGCTTCGGGCAACCTTGGGTTGGCTTTCCCAGCCCGGGGATGGTGCCTGCCGGGCAGGGGGGTCCTCGCTGGGGTGGGTGAGTCTTCCCTTCCTCCTTCCTCCCCTCACCAAATCTCCCGTGGTCCCATGTTCCCCAGCAGCAAAGGAAAAGACGGCGGATTGACCGCAGCATGATCGGCGAGCCCATGAACTTCATCCACCTCACGCACATCGGTTCCGGCGACATGGTGAACGAGGGCCTCCCTGCCGTGGTACGGCTTCCGCCCGTTTTTGCTTCCTGGGAAGTCGCGGATTCTTCCAGATCAAAGCTGGGCCAAACAGGGAGGGGGTCCCCTGTTAAATCCTGGGAGCCCCCCCAGAGAGGGCATTAAAACAGGGCTGCCAAGCAAAGAAGCTTGAGGATCCTTAGAAATCAGTCAGGGATCAAGTCATCGTGCTTTGTGGGGAAGGGTCTGAGGCGGAAGGGGTGGGTTGGGTTAATTCAGCCTAAATTGTTTAATCCTCGGCGGAGGGGACAGCAGAGTGGGGTGCGCTGGTTCCCCCCGGTAAAGCAGAAGAGTCCGACCTTGGCACCTTTTACGGCTCGTGGACTTCAACTCCCACAATTCCCCATGGCTGACTGGGGAATTCTGGGAGTTGAACTCCACAGGTTTAAAGGTCTAAAAATCCTCTTTCGGGAAGGGCCGGAATGTTTATCATCCCGGAGTTCAGACATGCTACGAGCTCCGTTTGCCAAGATGCCAGATGGCCTCCACTCCAAAGATCCACTCACGATCCTAAACGTGGCATTTGCCTGTTTTGCCGCTGTGTGACGTGGCTGGCTCAGCCTGCCTACAGTTCTCCTGCTTGCTGGGCTCCGTGCAGGATTTGACCCCTGCCGGGAAGTGCTGCCTTTTTTAAAATTTAAGCCTTGGAGACTCTGCAGCGGCAGCGTCAACTGGAAAAGGACGTGGTGGAGGAGAGATTTTTCTTCCCTGGCCTGGAATCACTTCCCACACACCAAAGGGTTGTTGCGCAAATTCTCCGTCAGGGCTCTGGAATCCAAGAATCTCAAGAGCTGCTGTCCTGGGGGGGGGGCGGGAACGTAGAAAAAAAGGGAGGGGGGAGGAATCTCTTTAGGCAGCTGAGTTTGCTTATTGAACAGCCGGAAACTCTGGCAAAGGGCCGGAATGTTTATAATCCCGGAGTTCAGACATGCTACGAGCTCGTTGGCCAAGATGCCAGCTTTAATTTGTGCCCACGGTTGGAGGCTGGCTATTCTGGTCTTGTGGAATTTACTTTCCAAAGTCTAACGGAGTCCGTTAGGTGGTCTAATCCGGTGGGTCGGTGGCTTTGTGGGGCTGTATATCTGGGGGAGTACAGCACAGGTAGTCCTTGATTTACGACCACAACTTAGTGCCCCCAATTTCTGTTGCTAAGTGGGATGCTGGTTAAGCGAATTTTGTTCCCTTTTATGGTCTTCCTGGCCAGAGTTGTTAAAAGAATCTCCACAGTTAAGTCAGCCATCCAGTTGTTAAGTGAATCCAGTTTCCCCGTTGACTTTGCTTGTTGGAAGGCCGCAAAAGGGATCGCTTGACCCCGGGACGCTGCGGCCATCATGAGTCAGTTGCCAAGCGTCTGTATTTTGATCGCACGGTCGCGGGGAGGCTGCAAGTGTGAAGAGCAGCCATCAGTCACTTTTTTCAGTGCTGTTGTAAGTTCGAACAGTCACTAAATGAATTATTGTAAGTCGAGGACAACCTGTAATCAGAAATGCCCCGAAGGTAAAAGGCTAGCAGTTGAGACGAAAATGCTTTTCCTTGACAGGCTAGATTTCTAAGCGCAGGGAGTTTAAAGCTATGGTAGACATTGAGGACGGGTCTTCACCCTCTCTTTCTTTTCTCTTCCCCTCTTCCTGCAGTCAGGAGCCGTCCAGGAAATGAGATCCAAATGTGGGCGAGAAAGACCTTGGAGCAATTCCCACATTTTATAACCTCGCGCAGGGTTTCCTCCGTTTCCGTGTAAGTGTGGAATGAATTGCGAAAGCCACGTCGAAACACTCCCCCGTCGGGAACTGCTCAATGAGGACTAGCCACTTTATTTGCAACGGTGCCGCAAAAGGTGGCACCGAGGTTTGCATCCCCTGAAGAATTGGGAGTTTGTATTTAAATACTGTAACATTTTAATCGGCGTAGTTTTAATGTGTGAACAGTTTAACTACTTTTACCTGTTTTGTAACTTCTAAGCTGCCAGAATCATCTTGCAAGGGATGGCATAAAAATTTAATAAATAAAATAATGAGTGAAAATTGACTCGTTGGCCCCTGGGGGAGAAAGTTAAAGATTTCCTGGATCCATTTTGGCCCCGTCCAGCCGGTCTTTTAAATCCTCAGGACCATCGCGCTAGGGGCATCTCCCTCGCAAGGCTTGTCCAAATGTTGTTGTTTTCCCCTTTCATAATTATGCCTTTTCGCCAACGTAAAGGGACAGAGTCTTTCATGTTTATCCTCTTCTCTTTTTTTTCTTACAGGCTAATTAATTACAAAAATAATCGTTAGAGAAAAAGAAAGAAGAGCATTTCTGCCTCACTTGAATTTTCTGTTGGGTCTTGTCGAAACGGGTTGCCAAACTCAAAACCGTTGAGTGAATTAGTCACCGTGTAACTTATCCTTTTTCAAAAAATTTTGTAAGAGCAACAGCCCCAACATCCATCACTCTGCACATGCCCAGTTGACTGTTCCTTTCTGGCATTGTTTGCTCAGCGGTACCCACCCCCAGGGTGGGGACAATTTTGCACAGGTACAACCTTGCAAAGAATTGAGGATTCCTTACCCAGAATCGACCCACGATGCTTCCATTTGTTTTGGCTCCTTTATAAACCCACCACACAGACTGAATTATTTGTGGTGTTTTTGCAGAAGTTTCTCCACTGGATTTTATTCTTCAGGATGTATCCTGGCCACAACACAAGACATTCTGGAGGCTATTAAGGTATGGGGCCACCATCTTGCAGAACAATCCCTCCTGATGCTGCCGTATCTCATTCTGGATTCCTTATAGCCCCCCCCCCCCAGGCCGAGGCAGGGGGTGCTAAAACATCTTCCAGTGACTGCTGATTTTTTCAAGGAAGCAGGATCAAAACCCAACAGCAATTCGGTGCTTGTGATATTTGTTGTTGTTATTATTATTATTATTATTATTATGGTTTGTCTTGTACTCAGCCAGATGTCCAGGCTGGATTTGGCATTTTTTTGCCTACCTGTCAAATTTATTTGCTGCCTGCCTTGCAGTTCGAAGTGACTCTAAGTGGCTTTTCTCCTTGAAAAGCTTTCTGTCCTAAATCGACCCCCCTCTGCTCTTTGCCCAAATGGGGATCCAGAAAAATCCACACATACCCCGCAGGTTGGCAAAGACGTTGGGATCCAGAGATGATCCGAGGGGCTCCATTCCTCAAACTCCCACAGCCAGGAAGAATTTGCCCCCTTTCCTTCGTGGATTGAAGCAAACACACACACACACATACCCATGCAGATGGACAGCTGGGAGATGGGGGCAAAATTGCCACCAGGATAAACCACATCTCTGCAAGCTTGTAAAAGGCGGCTGGAGAAAGTATCCCACGGAGAGTGTTTTGTCTGGAAGAGGCTCAGTGGGGACCCTTATCCAAAAGTCCCATCTTTGTTTGAACATGGCTGGTGTGTCTCTCTTCTCCAGCCAGGCTTGTATAAAAAAATGTGGAGGCAACGTTGTGGAAAGCTTGCTGTTTTGATAACACTTGTTTCCCAGGTTTGACTCTCCTGCGTTCCCATGCTTCCCTTCTCGCTCAAAGAGACTTTTAGAGGATCCAGCCTGGAGGAGAGAAAAAAAGTTTCAGATTCCAGGTTTTTTAGCATCCTGATATCTGAGGTTGTGTGAGATTTCTCTGTGGGATTTCTTTATTCTCCCTCTGAAACTGGAGTTGCAGAATCCACATGACGCCCCCCCCCCCCCCCGCTGAGCCTGGGAATCCTTAGTTGATTCCCACTGCAGCGGAACCCACACAATTTTCTCTTGGTGTCTTCAGCTCCATCCAGTCTCCCCCCCCCCCCCCGAATCTACTCAAATTAAGGGATTACAGGGTCGTAAAAAGAGGTTTTTTTCTGTGTCTCTTTTGTTCCTTACAAGCAGGTCAGTTCTGTAGAGGAAACCTTTAGAAGCCAATCAAGTTTGATATTTTTTTTCCTTTTTTTTCCGGCGGGAAAACAGCTAGATGTAAAATTAAAACTGTCCATTTTTGTCTTCTTTTGACCAGACAAAAGTTAGCTTTCCAAGTGGAATAGCTGTTTAGCTATCCATTTTAAAAAATCTTTTGGGCTTCCAAAGCCGAAGATTGCAACGCCCATTATTCCCAGCAAATGTTGGCAGTGGATGAGGGGATCTATAGTTTAACTTACCTGAAAAGCATCTTTTTTTTTCACTCCAAATATTTAGCTGATGGGTCGACGTTTAAAACAACAACAAGAACAACAAAAAATAGAACTTTTGGCATGTTTATATATTTTTTTTAGCCCAGCTGGTCTGGGGTTAAAAAGGATGGCTTTGGGGAAAAGAATAGCTGGGCTGTTCGACTATCTTTTATTAGCCAGAAAGTTATCTTTTTTCTTTCTTTTTGCAAACAAGAAAATTATCATTTGTGTGTATGTGTGAAAGGAGGAGAAAATATATTATTTGAATATAATGTTGCAATTGAGACACTGAAATCTGGGAGAAAGGGAGAGATATATTGTGCTGGTTTGGTCTTTTTTTTTTTTAAATCTTTTCTAGGCTAAGTGGAACAGAAGAATTATGTAATCTATTTCTTTCTCGTATGTTTCTGTGTTGCACAGAGTGTAATGTATGTTTGGAAAAACAAAATTAAATGGCAAAGGAGAACTGTAATCTTTTTTTTTTGAAGAGGGCATTTTAATAGGAATTCAGACAGCCAGTTCCTCCTAAATTTGCTTCTTGGCCAGGAGAACGTGGGAATGCTACCTTGACTGTCTTTTCTGGGATGTGTTTACAATTCATCAGGGACGGGAATTGCTTTTGAAAAGAAGCAGCCAGGTCAGGACCTAACAGGAGGTGCTGTTCACTGGCTGTAATGCAATAAATCAGATTTGCAACCAAAGGAGATGAACACCAGACAAGGAAAAAGGTTTCAGGATGAATACATAGAATATATATACATACATGCATACATACATACATATATGTATGTAAGGGCATTTTCTGAGATTGGAGGAGAACCCATGGCCATGCAGGCAAGGAGGATGGGAAGTGTAGTCCAACGGTCTCAGATGCCTCTTCAATCCAATAGAAGCAAACTGGCTGTAGGAATCAGAATTTTATTAAGTTTTTGTAGCACAAGGAGGGGGGGGGGCTCTTTGGAAAGTTCTTGCCTGATAAGCTAAAAATCCTTTTTTTTTAAAGGTCACTGGGGGGGAGAGAGAGAGAAATGCTATGTGCTGAAAAGCAGCTTTCTTTGCCCAAACCAAGGGTCCTTCCAATTTCTTGCAAATAAACTCATTTGCTTTGTAAGAAGAGGGGGGGATTCAGGCAGGGGTTCTATGAACGGTATGGACTGGTGGCGGTGTTGCTGTGGCCAGCTTGCTCTGCTCTGGCGTCTTTCGAACTTGTGGTCAGTGGCTGCTCTTCACTTGAATTGTTTTTGACTGAAAAGATAAGAAACAGTGTTAAGAAGCAATCAAATTCCACCAGCTTGGATAATGTGATTGAATAACAGAGTTGGAAGGGACCTTAGAGGTCTTCTAGTCCAACCCCCCCCCAGTCAGACAGGAAATTGAGGCAGGCTAAGAGAGAAGGTCCAAAAATTCTTATTTCTCTTCCTCTGCCTTTTTTCTCCAATACAGATCTTGCTTGAAAGGATATTCTGATCCAGGAAAAGCACACGCCTAAAGTATTAAATGCCAATTAAGTGACTGACATATTTTTCAAGTGTCTGGAGTGCGGGGGGGGGGGAACACTTCTGAAGATTAGTGGGGAAAGAGATTCTGTTCTCAAAAGTCAACAAGGTTGTTTAAAAATACATATTCAGGCTTTTTGCTCTGAGCAAAACCTCAACAAGTGAACAGGAAAAGCAGGTTGAATAAGAAACGACTGGAGTTGACTCAGTACTTTTTCTGCAGTTCTGGGGTTTTAAGACCTGCTGTTATCCTTTACAGACAGAAAAACCAAATTTTATTTTTCCTTGGAAAGGCAGAAGGGTATTCAGCATGGATATTTTGCTTGTTCGGGTTGAACCGCATGTGTGAACGTGGCCGATGCAATTTGCCATCTGTGGTTCATAGCTTGGGTGTTAGGTATGAACGAGGGCACGTCGGTTGACCCAGAAACCAAGATAGAATAAAAGGCGATTTTGTGAAAACCACAGAGGGGGGGGGGAAATCACCTTGCGGTGCCCTGTCCCACATCAGCAGGAAGTGTCTTTCCCCAAATTTTTAAGCTACTTTTTGATCAGCTCCCCAGCCGAGGGCGGCCCTAGTAGTGGAAGGGGAGCCTGCCTCTGAGCACGTGCGGAGTGCCCCCAAGACCGCCGGGGAGGGGGGAAGCGGCGCACCTTCTTGTCGCGGGGGAAGGTCTCCTTCAGGCTGCGCCAGAGCGCCTTCAGCCCGCCGTTGACCTTCGCCCAGAAGCGCCGCCGCTTCTCGTCCTGGTCGCGCTGGATGTCGCGCAGGGCGCAGAGGTGCACCTGGCCCAGGTCGCAGCTGGGGGCCAGCAGGTCGCACTGGCGCTTGGGCCGGCTGCAGGCGCAGGCGGCGTAGCTGCAGACCACCCGCTCGAAGCGCAGCAGGTCGTACTGCGCGGGATCCAGGCGCACGCCCGGCACGGCGTAGGTGATGTCGCGCACGCGGGCCATGCTGCCGGCCGCGCAGTTGCAGTGCCAGGCGCTCCACTCCTGCCAGGCGTAGCGCGTGTCGCCCACGATCAGCACCGTCCCGTGGGCCGCGGGGGCCGCCGAGGGCAGGGCGGGCAGCTGCGGCAGCTCCTTGGTGGCCGCCGCCTCCGCCTCCGCCTGGTTGACGTAGCCGGCCGCCACCGTGGCCTTGGCGGCGGCGGGCACCCGCTCCAGCAGCTCGGGGGGCGCCGAGACCAGCACCCCCTCCTCGTCCAGATCCTGCGTCCCGTCGGCCGCGCCCAGCCAGCGGCCCGCCAGAGCCAGCAGCAGCCCCGCCAGCGCCAGCCCGGGGGCCATGGGGCTCCGCCACCCTCCGGAGGCGCTCGCCGGGCGGGTCGGGGGCTCGCTAGGCAACGCGCCGGCCGAACAAAGGAGCGGCTGGAACGCGGCGGGGGGGGGCGCCCGCTCTGACGCCCACTCCTCGCGCCCCCCCCCCACGCTTTCTGGCCGGGAGGGGGCTGCCGGGGCGCGGGGGGGGCTCCGGGCGTCCTGGGAGGGGGGCGAGGCGGCCCCTAACTCTGGGGACGGCAGGGAGGCGTGTCGGACTGCTTTTCCTACCCGTTTAAAAAGAATAGCAAGACAGAGGGAAAGCGTTGAGTGGGAGGGTCTCCAGAGGCCATCCAGCCGGTCTGGCTCCTTGGGGGCCTCAGGAGCTGCTGCTGGACCGAGGTAGCCTGAGAGAGAAAAGGGGAAATAGAAGAGACGGTTGGCACTTCACACTCAGAAAATTGATTTATCACTTATCCCGATAAAGCCTTTTGAGGGAGGATGAAGGGGCTGGACTCCAGCCTCCATTCTCCCCAACCCAGGTGGCTGGACCTGATGGACAGGCCTTTGTGGCTTCCCCTGTCCTTTGCCAGTTCAGTGACCCCATGCGTGGAGGGTCTTCTGCCCCTAAAGAGGGTATATTCATAGTTTGCAAAGCTTGACCGTCTGCCCAGAGCATGTGAAGAGGGCACTCTGGCTGGCTTTGCAAGGCAGGGAGTTTTGCACTCCAGGCGGGGGGACAAACTGGACAGGGGAAAAACCAGACCCTACTCACTGCTGGACACAGGCCGGGATATGCATCTGTTGCAGGGGGACAATCTGGGCCAGGTCATCCAGGCTCTGTACAAACCGCACTTTCTGGCTGAATTTGGAACTGGAAAAGGGGAAAGGAGGACACTGAGGGTGTGTTTGTGTTGGCATTGCCACCTTTGTGGCTGCAACGCAACTCTTTTTTTCAAATCAACCTTGTCAATCGCCCCTTTTACACCCACCTGATGAAAGGCTTAAACACTGTCATCAGGGCTTTGATGTACCAGGTGGGATGAACAATGACCAAAGATTTCAAATTCTTCCGAAGCCTGGAAAAAAAAAAAGGAAAGGAACAGTGGAACTCCATGCCACAGGATTTCGATATCCTGCTTTGTTTCTCCTTTGTTTCTCGGGGGGGGGGGGAGAGGAGAGAAGCTTATATCACCGAGTAAAACTGGAGATACCGTGCTTTCTAAGTTGCCTCCACAGTGTGTGGTCTTGGGACAGTCAATTTTTATTTATTTATTAAAGTTACATGCTACCTGCCTCACTATTGGAGCAGAATATCAGAATGTGGATAGTCCAACCCCCTGCTCAAGCAGGAGACCCTAGACCATTTCAAATGGTTTGTCCAGTCTCTTCTTCAAAAGCCTCCAGTGATGGAGCACCTACAATTTCTGGTGGCAAGCTGTTCCACTGGTTAATTGTCCTCACTGTTAGGAAGTTTCTCCTTAGTTCCAGGTTGCTTCTCTCCTTGGTTAATTCCCATCCGTTGCTTCTTGTCCTGCCTTCAGGGGCTTTGGAGAATACTTTGACCCCCTCTTCTCTGTGGCAGCCCCTCAAATATTGGAATCCTGCTATCCTGTCACCCCCAAGTCCTTCTTTTCACTAGTCTAGACAAAGCCAGTTTGGCTCTGAATTGGGGCTCTTAATTCCTTGGAGAAAAGGCAGAGGGAAAAAAAAAAACATTTGAAAAAGAGAAATACTTTCTGCCTCTGTAAAGAATGTCTCCCCCCCCCCATTTCTATCTTCCAACAGATTCCTTTTGTTGTTTGAGACGGGCACTGGGCGCTCGAGTGCCGTTCAGCGCCCTTGATGACAAAGCAGCTGAATGATCGCCCACACTCCTTTCTGCAAGGCCTCACCTTGAAGAATTCAGGATCAAAAGATGCTTTGAAATGCTATTTATCCCCAAAACCAGCCCACGATGCTCTCCGCTCCCTATTTTGTGCCTCCCTTTCTGCAAATGGCCATTAAAAGGCACAAAGCAGGGCTCATTTTTGAAAAGCAGCCTTTAAAAAAAACCAAAAAAACCAACAAAAAAACACAAGCATCTCTAGGCAATTCTAGAAAAAAACGGAAATATGGGGGGGGGGAGGTGTGTGTTCTTCAAATTGCCTTAATTTGGAAGATGCTCACGGCTGCGCCTCTTACCGCCGGTCGATTGTCTGATAGCACTGCTTGATCCAGGCAAAAGATGGAAACCGGCTCCGGGAAGTGGCGCCATTCAGACACACCAGCATGTAATTCTCGGCTACCATCAGCTCCAGAGTTCCTATTATATACCTACAGGGAATGATCAAATAGGCTGGAGTCCATTTCCTGCATTTTACCTTGCAGAAAAGCCAAATTGATCCTCTCCCACAGCAGCAGAACAATCAGAAGGGAAAGATAACAGCTGGAGACTGTAGAATCTTTCTTTCTTTCTTTCTTTCTTTCTTTCTTTCTTTCTTTCTTTCTTTCTTTCTTCTTTCTTTTTCTTCCTTTCTCCCTCTTTCCCTTCCCCCCCTCCCTCCTTTTTCTTTTTCTTTCTTTTTCTTTCTTTCTCCTTTCTTTCTTCCTTTTTCCCTCCTTCCCTCCCTTATTTATTTTATCTTCCTCTTCTTTCTTTTTCTTTCCTTCCCTCCCTCCTTTTTCTCCTTTCTTTCTTTCTTTCTTTCTTTCTTTCTTTCTTTCTTTCTTTCTTTCTTTCTTTCTTTCTTTCTTTCTTTCTTTCACATAAAACAACAGACAGGTCTACCCTAATCTCCTTTTTAAGGATCAGTTCACAGAGAGGAGAGACACACGAGAAACTTGTAGTAGCAGGCAGCTGACACACAAACACACACCCCAGATGAGAAGTCTTTACCCTCTGCCGGGCTTTGCCCCATGACAGCATCTCAGCATGATGCGACTTGCATTTTGAGCAGGAAAATCAGCCATGTTTCCAGCTAATCAGCCCGAAGGATTATTTTTACTTCTCACTAATCCAAGGCCTAGCTACCACATTTAAAACAATAACAACGCAGGTTTCTGTTCCAAAGTGCCCCTCCAAGCTTCTCCCCCCCCAGCTCAGGTAGAGGGGCCGGGGGACGTTACCTGAACAGGTTCTCCATGATGTAGGGATAATTGGGGACGCTGCTTTCTGGCAGGTAGCAAGAAGCAAAAACGAGAACGGCGTTCAGGCCTTCGCCGTAATGGCCTGGGAAAAAGGAAGGAGGGCAGAGACAAGATCACCACGCAGGATCAGAATCGGCCTTCCCGTTTAACAAACCAGGAATGGTGGTTCCAAATGTAGGTCGCCGGATTACCTCCGTGGGAGATCACCCTCGTATAGGGCTCGATGGCGCTTAGATCCACTTTGCGCTCGTGTTCGTCTCCCAGGAATATGCGCCAGACCCGTCCGTCGGGATCCTTCGTGTCCATCACGCGGCCAGTGCAGAATTTCTCCGGCAGGTTGGCCTCCACCCGCCTGGCCCGCGGGAGGTCATCTGGGGGGATGGGGAGGGCAGAAAGCGGGCATCAAGTCCCAGTTTTATTAACTCGGAAAGGACCAAATCTCTGCCAGCTGGGATCTAATGGCAGATCAGCTTCCTTGAGACTCGAACTCGGGACCTCACCTTCCCATTCGAATTCGTGCCCGCTCTCCAGGCCCTCCTGGAGCTCGCTTTCGGAAGGCGTCTCCAGCTCATCCAGGTTGATGTCCAAGCTGCCGTCCGGGGTGCTTTCGGGGAGATCCCCGGATTTTACCGAACCCTCGCTGAGGTCCGGGGCCTGGAGACGCTTCCTCATGTGTCTCCGGCCGCAGAGTGCCAGGGTGTTGGAGGCGACTGCAGAGAAAGGAAGGATTGTAACGTGGGGTGTTGGGGGGGGGGTAGAGTGCCTTGAACGAGGGAGGCTCTACGAAAAAAAGCTCCAAAGGGCAGTATTTTTCCTGAATCTTACCCGGACTCAGTTCTGAACTGGAGGGCTCCAGATCTTCCTCCGAGGTTTCCTCCGGCAAAGGGCTGTAAAATCAAAGATATTTTGATTTTTTGGGAACTAAGCCATGATCTCCAAACCCCTTGACTTGGGGGGAGGAATCCAGATATATAAAGAAAGCCTTCAGATTATGACGTTATGTAGCTCCATAAAGCTATACGGCGAGAGTCACTGGTAGTTAGCAGCCCTATAAATTCTCTAAATAAAGAAATATATCAAGCTATAAAGGCAATTCAATCTACCGAGGGGATTATAAAGACTCAAACCTTGGGCAGGGGGCTGGACTAGAAGATCTTTAAGGTCTCTTCCAGCCCTAGGATTCTAAGCAGAACCGAGCAGGGCTCCCACGCAGAGAGAACCCTCTAACGTTGTTCAGTACAGATGACAATGTGCAAGTAATTTGCTTCAATTTAAGCAATCTGGTTTTATTTTATCAAGGATGGGGGGGGGGGGAAACAGCAGGAATTGGGGGAAGGAGGGAAGTGAGATGTCTGCCTGAATCCTAGCCAAGGGAACTTTTTTGACCACCAATGTTCAAGGGTAGACTGCTCTTGAACACGGAGTCCCCTTTACCGTGGGAATTCGTCGTCCTGCCATTCTTCTCTCAGTTCCAGGTCTCGGATGTTCCCCGCCGAGTCTGACGCCTCCATGGCTTCTTTCTTAAGCCTGCAAAGGCAAGAGAGCGACCAGATTTCCCACCTGCCCTGTTGGAATCGCAGGCTGCAATCTCACCGGTACAGAGGCAGCCCTCCTCCCCCCCCCCAGTGCCCTAAAGCAGGCAGGTTGGTTTTCTGTTTGCTTTGAGGGCTGGCAAACTCAGCCTGCTTGGGGTTACGTCCTGGCTCATGCCTGGGGTTGGCCCCGAGAAGGGATTAAGGCCATCGGAAGGTGCTCTGAGTGGTTCCTGAAGGTCATTTAGTCTGACCCTGGCTCAGTGCGAGGAAAGCATCCCCTTTGTGCTGGCTGGGGAATTCTGGGAGTTCAAGTCCACACCTCTTAAAGTGGCCGACTTTGGCGATCCCTGGTTTAGTGCACAGCTGGTCCTGTGGGGATGCCCACTCGAATCCTGCAATTTGCCTCTGAGAAACTCCCAAGCAGGACCCTGGGGCTGTGGTCCTCTCTCCCAGTCTTCCAGGCAGCTGGCACACAGGTAAAATGCCCTTAAACCTGGAGGTTCTATGCCTAGCTTACTAGTTGTTGGTTATTCCAGGCACCCAAAAGGTGATTTAAACTTTGATCAACAGTTTCCGGGGAATGCTGCCAGATTGGATAAAAAAATGTGTTGCCGGGCGCCGCAACCTGTAATTAAGGCATGACGGAGGGAGCACGGATGTATCTACGTCTGTCCGAAGGGCGTAGCAGAGAAGAAACCACACCCAGAGGGAAATCCATTTGAAGGGAGAGAAACAACCTTAATTTGGGGTAGGCTTGAGGGAAATGAAATAAAAAAAGAAAAAAAGAAATAAAAAAGAGAATCACTGGTTTTTTTCTCAAGAGTTGTAGAACCTCCAGCTCCAGCAGCAGCTGAACTTCAAAGGCCAACAAGGAAAGGCCCTTCCTTTCCAGACCTGGGGGCACGAAACAGCTGGAAATAGGTGCCCAGCTGCAAAAGAGCCATCTCAAGGAAAACAAATAAGGTGTGAATGTGAATTGGACCACTGCAATGGAAACAAAATCTGGATTTTTCATCCTGTGCATGATGGATGCATTCACAGGATGCTAGTCAATTTGCCGGATGCGCCCCCCCCCCCTTCCAGACAGGCCTCGAGTGTTGCCTGTAACTCAGGGAGAACCCCTTGTAAACAAGATGGCCAAAAGGCTGGAAGGGTTGAAATTAAAAACCCGGGATAATTTAAAGGTGCTTTGCCAGCAGGCAAACATGACGTAACGGTGTCAAGTTAATGAACCGGTTCAGAGATTGTGATTGCAGTTCACACCTGCAGAAAGAGAAGCAGACTTCTTCTGTGTCAGAATTGGTATCTGCCCCCCCCCCCCCGCACCCGACTCTTTGGGCCACAATCGGGCTGGACTGGGTACAATGGCCAGGCACGCGAAGCCTTCCAAATTTTCTCGCCTCTAAACTGGGCGCACGAATCTATGGCGTGGCTTGGCGAGATGGTTGCTACCCTTTGAAAATCAACGCAAAGTTCTTGACATTTGTTTTTACACAAAAAGCTTCGCAAAGGGGAAGCACAGCAACAGCTGAATTGGGAAGGCGAAGCGGGGTGGGCGGGAGACCACCAGGAGATTTTGACTTTAGGGGAAACGAAAGAAGGAAGGAAGGAAGGAAGGAAGGAAGGAGGGAGATTCCTTCAAAGCAACAATGTCAACAACTGTTTTTGTATTCAAGAAAAGTAGAGAGGTCCCTGGCTTGGCTGGAAGGAGATGTTTAATTTAGGCAGGACCCACAATGATAAAAATAAGACGTCCGGCACCAGCCTCCTTTTTTAAAAATTGTTTGCAGAGAAGCTGGATAACTACCTGGGCACAGGTAGATTTTTACCTTGTTTATTGAGGTGGTGCCTGTTTATATTTCAGGGAGGTTTAACCTGGAGAGCGAATGTTTTATTCTCGTGAAAAGGTGACAGAAGAGTTGAAGGATGGGGAAACCTGGTTGCCTTCCAGGTGCGGCTGAACTACAATTCCCATCTAAAGAGTTGGGGGGGGATCTCCTGGCCAGGTGCCAGCTTAGAGAGGAATTACAACCTTGCAGGGGGGTCGTGAATTCATTTGGCCCTGGGTTGGCCATGGAAAAGAAAGAAAGCCCGAGTTTATTGGAGAACAGGCCCTCATCCAGAGTCCTCCCCCCTCTTTGAAGGGACTCACCTTTCCGAGGCAAGGGTCCTGTTGTCTCCCACGAAGGAACCCATGGAGGGGGTGGGTTGTCCAGCCAGGTGCAGATCCAGCCTCCCCTACTCGTGACGGGCACCCGAACTCCCACCGCAGCCCTGGAGGTGTGGACATGCCAGCGGAAGCCGGGAGAGGCATCCCAAACTGGTTTTTCTGCTTGCTGGCTTGGCAGAGGTAAACTGGGTCCTAACGCCGAAGAAGAGCACCTGGGAAACAGCCACCAGCCGGCTGGGGACGATGGGAATTTTAGAAGAGTGGGATTTGGGCTCGGTCTCTCTTTGGATGCCATACAGGGCGATGGTGCCAACATGGGGAGCCAAGTTAGCTGAGGGGAGTTGAACAGGAGGGGCCTAACCCTGGCCGTTTTAAGACTTGTGGATTTTTAACTCCCGGAATTATGGATTTTTAATTCCCAAAATTATGGACTTTTAACTCCCAGAATTCTGGCTGGGGAATTCTGGGAGTTAAAAGTCCATAATTCAGGGAGTTAAAAGTCCACAAGTTTTAAACCAGCCAAGGTTGCACACCCCTGGTATAGTTTGCCGGTTGTGCAAGTATTGTTTTGATGGTCCCTAGGGAGTATTATGGGGTTTATGATCTTTGTGACATTGTTAAGTTTTTATTTACTGAGGTCGATTGAGGCCAGGCTGGGCCTTATGGGTGGGAACCCTGATTTTTTTTCTGCAAATATATAAACAGGAAGTCAAAATTCGGTGGGAGGAATCGCGTTTCCATCTGATCAGCTTTGTTTGTTGCCAACTTCGCCTGGGTTCGCATGACACACTCAAGAACAAAGGTGTGTCAGTCGGATGGGCGTTCCTTTTGTGAGCTGCCAAATGGGGTTAACGCGCAGGCAAGTTGGAGAAAAGGATGCGGATAAATACATCACCAGGATTGACATGTCGTAAAGGGAAAGACCAATGCAGGTATGAACAGACTTTGCGCTTTACCTATTGAATTAGGCCTGAGTAGCGGAGGGAGGGAGGGATCTTCCCTTTCAAACAGGAGAAAACCAACCGTGATGTCAGCTGGCGTCGCAAAGAGGAACACCCAGCTTTAGTGGCACTCTACCTTTGAGTGAACAGGAGCAAGTTTGACTTTTGGAGTGGCAGAAAGAGGGCAAAACAACCACAATTTACACCGTTTCTAGAAATGATCCAGGATTCCTACACGTCACTTTGTTCCCAGCAACCAGGAATTCACTCTTTCAGTAGTTTGCGTGTCTAAAAATTGCTTTATTTGAATTTTCTCCTTCGTTTTGGGGGCCACACAGCCAAGACAAACGGCTCCACCTGCCTATCCCAGGTGCTGCCAAGGGGGGGGGCACGAAATTAAGGCTGGAGTACAGAGGGAGGTGCATGGGGGCTCCAAGAGCCTCCAATTAGGGACCCCCTTAGAAGCTGCCATAATAAAACGCCGTATTTGTGCAGCAAGTGGATTGCAAAATGCCGTAAAATCTGCACAGGTATAAAAAAACAGGACTGTTTACACCTTTGTAGGAAAATGTTGGAAGGAATAGGAGAGGAGGGTTTTTATTTTAGTCCTGTTACAGCAGGACTCTCCAAGCTGGGCCACTTGAAGACGTGTGGACTTCAGCTCCCAGAATTCCCCAGGCTCCAGCTTGGAGACCCCTATTCTACAGGATTCAACCGAGCACAAAACGCACAACACGCCTGAGCTAAATGTTGCCGCAAGAAAACACGTTTTACATTTCATGCACGCACACGGGTGCAAAGCGAGATTTTTGCACTCTCCGTTTTTCTTTTCTTTTTGCAAAAAAAAAAAAAAAAGTTTAAAAATGCATCTCTGGAACGTTTTGAGGCGGGCGTCATCTCCGCATCCACAGCGCCTGAACTACAATTCCCGTTCCCCTTCAACAAGCACCCAGGAGAACATTTCCGAGGAATCTTAATATCCCGTCCGCGCAAATCCACTTTGGAACAATTTTGAAGGACGCGCTTGAGAAAAAAAAAAAGGATTTGGTGTGCCCCCACCCCTCCCCAAGAATCAGAATTCTGCAATGTTGCAGCAGGCAGCCAGTTTAATCTCCCCCCCCTCCCCTTTAGTGGCAGCGAATGTTGAGTTCGGCAGCCCCCACCCCTGCTTTCTATTCATTGCGAGGGGGATTAATCACAGATCACGTCCTACAATTAATTAAAGAAACAGCCTTCCCGGCACCCAGCGGCACCCACCTCCCGCTCGCCGGGAGTCCCTCCCGGAATTTGGCAGTGCCCAGAGTCACTTCTTCTCCGGGCTGCGTCTGCCCAAGGAGCGGTCGGTGGCTATGCGGTTGACCCTCTCAAAGATGGCCTCGGGCGAGACTTCGGGCAGGCCCTGGTGCAGGGGACACTCGTCCACCAGGCTGTTCATGGGGGTGGGGGGCAGCAAGGTGTCTTCATCGGCTGCGTCCTCGCCCAGGCGGAGTGGCTTCGGGGGCTCCTTGGTAGCCCCGCTGGGATCGTGGCTTCCGGTGCCCTGGGAGTCCACCCTGGCTGGGGGGACGCGACTGGAGACCGCTGGCTGCATGCTGGGGCCGGTAGGGCTGGCTCCGGCCCACTGGGTCAGAAATTCCCGGATGATCGGAAGGACTTTCTTGCGAGAGGCGCTGGTGTTGGCCTGCTGGTAGGCGCGTACGGAGGAGCAGGGGCTCTCCAGCTGGGAGAGGCTGAGGGATGGGTTGCTAGACCGCTCCAAGGCTTGGCACACCTGGAAAAGAGGGAAGCTCTCCGAAGGTGGGTGAGATCCACCTCCCCCCCCGTCCCCAGGACCCTGTGGGGATCTGGAAAGCTTTCAGCACAGCTTGGAAACCAGGGTACTGATGACGTGACCTAGTTTGGTCACGCAACGTCTAAAGGAAACAGCCATCTTCGGAGATCACCAAGGATCCCATAGACCTCCTCTTCCTTCCCCTTCTCTTCCATTCTGCAAGCCCCCCCTCTCCCTTCTAGCCCTGATGATGTTACCTAATTGGGTCGTGAAATGTCCGCAAGAGAACCACCAAGTTCAGAGACCGCCAGGGACTTCCCAGGTCAATCCTGAGCAACAGAGATTCTCATCTATTGAAATCAAAGCTTACTAGTTATCCTCAACTGCCAGTCCAAAGGTAGAGTGGCTCTAAACATGGAAGCTCCACTCTGAGAGAGAAGACCTCCAGAGGACTGGATCTCCACTAACCAAACAGGGACCTCTTTAAAGAATCCACAAGTCAACCATGAAAGAACCCCTTGTCTTGTGCCCAGGAAATCGGTTTAAAGGCACACTATTCCTAAAGATGGAGGCTCCATCGTGCTGGAGAGGCTGTATATTCCCTACTCCAGAATAAATAAATAAATACTGACCTCCCTTGCAGAGGATTGAAACTCTCACCCCGTTCCGTTTTTACCAAACCCTCCATGACCCCCCCCCCACTTAGCAAGCCAGAGGCAGAAGGCTCTCCCCGGCCCCTCTGCTCCCTACCCAACCCCAGCACCCACCTGGGCAGAGAGCCTGTCAGATGCGACGGCCACAAAGTGAGGCAGGCAGAGGCTGTTTCCCTCCACACCGCCCTGAGCTCCAGAGGGTGTTTTCAGCTTTGGCATAAAGGGGGAAGTTGGAGAAAGGCTACCACCAAGGATGACTCAGGCCGGCATTGGGGGGCTGCCGAATCCTGGAGGACTGGGGGGGGGGCAGGGGGGGAGAGAAGGAGGCTGTTGGGGGCAGAGATGCCGAAAAGGAAGAAAAACAGGCTGAGTCTGCCCAGCTGACTTCCATGCCAGCGGGCAATCACCCCTGTGCCAGGCTGCTCCAGAAATAAAAGTTTTTGGAAAGAGGAACACTGACATCTTTTATACTATGCCTGTTTTGTTTTTGTTTTTTTCCCTTTTCTCCAAGCTGGGCATTCTGCCATGCTACAAAACCTCCATTTTTCATTAAACTGACCCTCCTGCCTTTGTAAAGGCCTGGGGCTATTCCAAGTCAGATAGAAAGCTTGCAGAGAAGTTCCAGTTTGAACCCGAAGCTAGAAGTTTGTCCTTGCTGCTTGAGGCAAGAGGCGTTGTTGGGGTGATCTCATAACCACACACACACACACAGCTACCCCAGCTGAAACCCCTCTGCTTTTGTGTTGACAAGGCTGAGCCAAACCAACAGATCCTAAAATCACAGGGTGAATTTATTTGGCACGGTTGAATTAAACGTGGGCAATCAGGGGGGCTCAGATTCCTGCATCTGATATATTACAAAGCCATTCAGGCGTGCAAAGTGCAAGCTTATAAATTCACCAGTTAAGGTTTAAGGAGCCCCACCATATCTTCAGTGTTTCTGCAAGGGAACCCCCGTGGGGCTTAAAATAAATGTTCTTTTTAAGCATCATGATTTTTGAGTCACCCTCATCGGCCAACTCACCGAGAAATTTGCATTAGCTAATATTTTGTCAAGTAGGGTGGTGTCCAATTATTTATCTGCTTGGCAACATGGGTTAAAATGTAAATAAGTGGAGGGGGAAAAAAAACAAGAGCTGGTTTCGAACAGAAGGGCAAAAAAACTGAACGCAGAAGGCTTCAGAGAGTGGTCCGTTTCAGTTCTTGGAAAAATAATAGCAAATCCAAGATCGGTGTTAGCGAGGTCGGTAGGAAAATAATTCCAAAGTAAACCCAGAGGTTTGGAACAGAGAGACAGTTTGCCTGTCAGCTGATCAAATAACCCTCCCTGGAGATGCACTTTGCGAGAAAGTGCTGCAAATTTTGCATTAAAAGGGATTTTTTTTTTAATCAGGACAGAACAAGCAGAAGCTCGCTTGAAAAAAGAAAAAGAAAAAATAAGGAATTTGGAAACGGAACACTTAACCTTTGACCAAACCCAGATGGGGAGTTTCACTACTGACAATAATGACATTTTTTAAATTTTATTTTTGCCCTTCCCGTCACTGGTGGCAAAGCCCCGGGCACTCGAGTGGCAATTAAAAAGCCACAAAGCCTGCGACTCGTGCATTGCACAAGCGCCCCTGTTCCACCTTCCGGGCTTTGCTCCTTCGGATGGACAAGGCTGGATTATTCAAAGAAATCGGCAAACAACTAAGAGGAGGATTAAAATGGACTCCCTCCATCTCTCCCCTCATGAAATCCTTCGCCTTCTGCAAAACCCAGCGCTTCTGTTGACTGGGGTCCATTAAGGATGGGAAGGGGGGGTGACAAAAGGGGGGGAGGGGAAATGTGGGTGTGGCGAAGGGGATACAAAAGACCCCCACCCACCAAATCCACTGCTTACCTCCCAGCTGGAGCTGCTGCTGTCTAGAGGATGATCATGCCTGTGCTCTCTGGGCAGCCCCCCCTCCCCTCCGCCGCCTCGGCTGCTCCCCCCCACCTGCCTGCTCGGCTAACCGGCAACCGCAGGCAGGGACCTTTGGCTGTGGTTAATGAGTGGCAGAGGCTCCACGGGGCGCCTGCGTGAACATCCCTCCCGTTCTGCCACCTGCCAAACAGGCTCCTTACACAAAGCAAGACTCCATGCTTAAAGGCAGAAGATCGGCAGGAAGGAGAGAGAGAGAGAAAGAGAGAGAGAAAGAAAGCACAGGTGCTCACACCGTAAATTGAGACGGGGCAATGGAGGACACTTCCCCATGGCAGGATACAATCCCCCCCCTTCCCCCCCATTTTTTACTGGGGTGCGTACACCTCCCCAAGTATCTTAATTGCACCTCGGTTGTTCACTCCTCCTTTGTGCCAGTCCTGTAACCCGACAGTACGCCCTGATTTTGGTGCCACGAGAGACAGACATGGAAACTGGCTACAAGGGGTCCTTGACTTATGACCACAACACCCAAAATTTCTCTTGCTAAGCGAGACATTCGTTAAGTGAATTTTGCCCCGTTTTACCAACTTCCTTGCCACGTTGGTTAAGCGAATTGCTGCAATTGTTAAGTTAGCAACACGGTTGTTAAAAGGATCTCATTTCCTCTTTGGCTTGTCAGTAGATCACAAAAGGGGATCCCCTGACCCCGGGACGCTGCGACCGTCGTAAATACGAGTATGTTCGAATTTGGATCACGGGCACGCTACAACGGTCCTACATGTGAAAAACTATAATGTCACTTTTCCCAAGGCTGTTGTAACTTTGAACGGTCACTAAAATGACTGTTATAAGTCGAGCACTTCCTGTATTTGCACCAGCCAAGCTTGGCTTTCCTAAGCCGAGATAGACACAGATGGCTTTCTTCCTTCCTTCAAGCCACGATTAATTTAGGAAAATAAGATCAGCCTGGCACCGTTGCAGCCAAGCTGGAAAATCAGAAGGATTGAGTTTGGGGAAGGGAAAGGATGCTAAAGGCCAGGCAGGTTAAAGAAAAAACAGTTAATGTCTAGGAATAAAGATTGCGCGTTCAGAAGTGACGTTTCCCCCCCCCCCCGGCCATAATCCTCAGGGATTCGGGTTGAGATTCCACTCACTGCGTCTTGGAGTTGGCCCTGCTGACTGTACACCGCGAGCTGCCGAAAGGGCTTCTTGTCATCCCCGAAGGAGATGGTCATGGCGACCAGCAGGCTGAAGCCTCTTTGGTGACAGAAAGCGGCCAGATCCTGCTCGAGTCCAGGCCGATGCAGGAAATCCTGAAAAAAGGAGATTTAAAACACAGGTAGACCCAAGCGTGCCAACTTGAAGTCCACAGGCCATCCAGTTGCCAACGTTGGCCAACCCTGGTTTACAGGAAGCAAACACAGTTGGGGTTCACTTAGCTGTGAGAAGACAGAGGGCAAAAAGGGCGCAAAACTCACCTAACAAGTGTCGTATGTCGAGGATGACAGGCTTCACACTCACCTGGAGAGCCACGTAGACGGCGCTAATGGCCACCGTTGCTTTTTTGCTGGCCAGGCTTTTGAGGTCCTTCCGCAGCATCTGCTCGGTGGTGAGGCCTGTGGGAGGGAGAGTCCAAATTTTTGGGGTGTGTGTGTGTGTGTGTGGCCCCTGGCATTCCTCCAATGGTCTCCCTGGCATGCCTTTTGCTCGTCAATTTGGGGGGAAATTGACGGCCTGCCCTGCCCTTCTTCTGCCTCCCAGCAGATTCCCAAACAAGCCCACATCCTGCAATCTTGGCTTGCAGATGACCCTGGCTGGGGGTCTTAAAGGGAACCTGCCCAGGGATGATGCCTGCACACCTGAGACGTCAAACTTGGCTCTCTGCAGTGTGTCAAAGACCTGGTTTCTCGGCTGCAGCTCGGGGAACATGGATTCCAGCCGAGAAACGCAACGGGCGTCCTTGGGGGTTACTTTGCTGGCTTCGACGGCCATGTTCACACAATCCAGCAGGATGGTTCCTGGCAGGGCAAAAAAAAAATTGGCTCAAGGAAGGCCCCAATTCTGGGCAGTCCAGACGGCCTTCGCTGCAAATTTCCCGAGGCAAACGGGCACGGTTTGGGGTGAATTCGTGCAAGTTGCTCGCCCTCACCGTGCAGCAGAGCAGCAATTTGGCTGTCTAAAGTCGGCACCCTGGCTTGCAGGAGCCTCTCGGCCACCAGGGTGGCACAGGAGCCCACTAGCTCGGCCGTCACTCTGCAGGGAGGGGGCCTCTCCCACTCCAGGGGCCGGTGGTCCAGCACCTCCACCACGGCTGCCTCCAGCTCTGCGTCTTTGCTGGGGAAAGAGACAAAGAAGTGGGGATAAGTACTCCCCATCCCATCAGCCGCAGCCGAGAGGGGCTCGCCGGAAGGTGGCAGTCGTTGGAAGATGGAGCACAGCTGGGGGACTTTGGATAGAGGTAGTCCATGACTCACTCCCCAGACATTCAAACACAGGGGGCAGAGACGCAATGGATGGGCTACTCCTCTTCTCACCTGGGCAGGATGTGGTGGTCCACCAGCGTCATGGACAGCAGCCCGGCCTTGTTCAGCCCCGCCAGGTCAATCTCATCCCGGAAAACGAGGACTTTCTCGGGGATACGTTGCTGATGGAGAAGGAAGGCGCTCTCAGTCCGCAGCGGGAAATCGACCCGGGGGATGTTGAGGACTGGAACAAAGGCCGCCTCAGAGTCCAGAGAGGTCTGGGGGGGGGGGCACAAAAGGATGGTGGGAATTTGCACGGGGGAGGGGAACAGCAAGGAACACGCAGAGCATCAAAAGGTGGAAGTGGAACCTCAAAATTCCCGGTTCTTAATAAGACCAAGACAGGACTTTGTGGAGAAGGACACATCCGTGAGGTGGCAGCCAAATAAATTGCTTTAAAAACCCAAAATGTCCCTGGGGGGGGGGAGGGCAGAAGTCTCTGTATCCTCCCCAGGTCTGAATCCTGCAAATCGCCGCCCGGCACCCAGTTTTAATTCTGCAACATGGAACTCAGAGGAGCGAGGGCCCCAGGAAGGGGCCTGGGAGATGCATAAGCAAATTATGGGAGGGGTCCTGGGGCAGACCCAAGGCTTTCTAGCGAGATCAGAACCCAGAGCGGCACATCGAAAGGCTGACCTTTGCCAAAAAGTAGGCGAGGACCAAGGCGGACACCATGGAGTCGAGATCACACGCCTCGTTGCCCAGCACCACGTGAACGGCCCTTTTGCTCTGAACGTGATCCTGCCAGGGGACAAGCAAGGAGATGAAATAAGGACGAAACAGAGAGCTTCCAGAGACGGGGCACAGCAAAGGAGAACGTTCTTGGTGATCGAAAATTAAAAGGAAGGGCTGCAGAGCACACAAGGGCTGGACCGCAGGGCCTGAATTCGAGGGGCAAATTAGCACTCCAGCCCCCTCCCCCTTGTTCAGCCAGGGGCAGCGTCTGTAAAGAGGGCACGATGCCAACTTTCAGAGGGGGACAGGCAGGGAAGCAGGGCACCTACTTCTGGGCTCATTCTCCTACTTCGATTCCTTTACCAACCAAGCGGAAAGAAAGAGGATAAATGAAGAAAAATTCAAGTAAAATGTCTGTATTTGGCTCATAAGACAGCCAAGTTTTCTGAATTAACTCGGTTGAGATTAGAACCGCAAATGGACGTGGTTTATTTATTTTTTTTAAATTAAGGAGGGGTAAAAGGGTTGCTGAGAAGCAGGTGGTGCCCCCTTTAAATCCATTTTGCCAGCTATAAGCTTCCCCCGCCCTCCCTCTCTGCAAACAGACCCTGGTTTCCCAGCACCAGCAGAACGTCGTCGGAAGACGTCAGCCAACAAGCCACCTCCTGCTCACCTGAGGCTGGAAAGGTGGGACACGGCCAGGGTGGAAGTTTAGCGGCAGAGCAGATGGCTGGGGGGCAGACTCGAAATTAAAACGGGAGGGGGATTAAGAAGCTAAAGAGGCCGGGCGTTCCCACGGAGAGGCCCTCAGGGGTCCAACGGAAAGGGCTGCCTGCGCAGAAGCCATCTGGACAAGCAAACTTAATAATGGTGCTGCTTAATGATGAGTTTTCTGGTCTGCTGTAGTCGTAACTCAAGGACGTTGGTGCAAAATGTAGGTCTGGAGCAGGGGTGTCCAAGCTTGGCCACTTTTAAGACTTGTGGACTTCAGCTCCCAGAATCCCCAGGCAGCCAGGGAATTCTGGGTGTTGGAGTCCACCAGTGTGAAAAGTGGCCAGACTGGACACTCCTGGTCCAGAGGGACAATGGGAAGTGCTGGCCATGGTGGAAGAGTCGCCCAAGGGCACCTGGAGGGCCAGAGAGCCAGGGCATCGGAGCCTCCGCCCACCCACGGGGCCTCTGTGCCAGGGAGGCTGCCAAGCAGACGGCAGAAGCAGCTGACGGGGCTGCCTGACTCACCGCCCTCCAGGCAACACAAGACCGTGAATCACCCACAGACGGGGGTCAAAACAAGGCCGGGAAAACCTCCCTCCCTGGTCAGGATTCGAATCCTGCCCATGGCCCCAACCTCCTTCTTCCCTCCCCCCCCCAGAAGCCGGCAGGGTTGGGGGCTGCTTAAGAGAGGGGGAATTCACATTTCGGTCTCTACCTCCTTAGTGGTGGGAGGGGATGATGGGAGTCAGATGCTGTCCCTGTGCAAGGGTGGTGGGCGGGGATGATGGGAAGTGGTCTGGCACCCCCAGGAAGGAGCCGGGTTTACATTTGACCAGCAAGTAAGACAAAACTAAATAAGGGAAAAGATGGGAGTCGGAGTCGTCCCGCCCCCTCGGGAGTGGTGGGCGGGAATGATGGGAGTCAGATCCATGGAGAAGTAATGAGTGGGGATGATGGGAGTCCGACTGGCCTAGCCTAGGCAGGGCGGCTGGGGATGATGGGAGCGAGCAGAGCCCGGGGAGGAGGAAAGAAGCGGGCCATGGGGCTGGAAGTCCTCCCGGGGGGTACCTGAAGGGCGGCCCTGCAGCCTTCCAGGAAGCTCTCCATGGCTGCGGGAAGCCTCGCCCCTGCCCCACCAAGGGCCTACCGCGCCACCACACGTGTGAACGGAGGGCGCGCGGACACGTGTCGAGCCGGCCGCCGCCGCGGCCCCCTCAGGGAGGCCATCGGGCTCGGCGCCGGCGTGAGGAGCCGAAACAGCCGCGCCTGATTGGCCGGCCCGGAGGCGGAAGGGCGCGGCTTCACCCGCCACTCTGCGCAGGCGCGGAGGAGCACCGCCTCCCTCTCCCAGCTGGCGTGAAAAAGGGCGTGGCCGAAGCACGCGCTCTCCCGGCGACGTCACCGCGGCCGGGGCGGCTTTGCCTACCTCGCAGGGCGGGCGGTAACTGGGGGGGGGGGACGAGCCTCTTCCCGGGACCCGGGCGTGTGGAACCAGGCGGCTCCGGATTTTATGCCGCTTGCACGGCCGTCTGAACGTGCGTTTCTCACGGTGGCTTTTGCAGCAGCGGTTGCACTTCGCTCCGCTTTTGCAAGTTTCTGCCCAGAGATGCCAGCTGGAGCCCTGGAGCAGTGAAGGGCTGGCGGGGCGGGAGGGGCCTCTGAGCCGCCGGGACCCCCCCTCGCTTTGCTTCCTGGCGATCTCGGACTTCTACGGAGTTTTTACGGCGCCCCAGCGTCGTTGCCCTTCCGAACCCCTCCTCCCCCCTCTCTCCTGCGCCCGGTTGGCGCAGCAGCTGCCGGGGGAAAAGCACCGCCCGCATCCCGACCGCCATCCGAAGCTCAACAGGTAAAGCCTTGCACCCTCCCCCCCCCCCAGGAACCGCGTGGCAGGTTGCAATGCAGCTGCCCGCCTTTGCAACACGGCCAGGCTGGATCCGGCTCCAGACGAGCTCCGTGCAAGTGGAGCCAGCTTCCTTTTCTCCCCTACGACGCCGGAACCCCCAACGCCCCTCCCCGCCTTGATCCAGAAAGATTTGCGCCTTTCCCGAACCCGAATCGGTCCCTTTCGGCGAGTTGCCAAGCCTCCCCTCCTCCTTCCCTGGCAGCGACTGTGTTTTAATTTGCTTTTCCTTGGGTGGCTGCAGAGTTTCCTTCCTTCCTTCCTTCCTTCCTTCCTTTGTTTTCTTTCCTTCCTATCCCTCTTCCCCCCCCCCCGCCTTCCCTACTACGCCCTTGCGCTGCGGTGTATCCTCCTCTCCCATAGATGTCCCTGCAGAAAGGCGAGAGGCAGGGCAGGATAAACCCCAGCTAGTTTTTTAAAAGAGTTTTTTCTCTCTCTCTGCCAGGCTGGGATCCCCTCCTCCCGGGGTTTGCCTAGCGAAGGGGGGGGGGCTGGAGGGTGGGGGGTGGCAGGAGGAAAGGAAGGCGAAGAACAGGCTGGCTGGCACAAAAACCAGGATTTCTGCGGAGAAGGATTTGAGCAGGGAAATCCGTGTCTAAACAGGTATGGCGCATTTGAGTCCCCCCCTTCAATCCCTGCCGTGCTGCTGGAGTAGAAGAGGGGGATTTGAATCCAGACCCGAAGCTTCGGTGCCTCCTTCGTGCCTCGGTTTTCCCTCGGCTGTCTGGCACCCCTCTTTCGGGATTCTCCTCCTTGGCACCAGCTGGGTTGGTTGGTCTTAAAGAGAGCACCCCTCCTCCGGTGCTTCCCCACCCAGGAGAGGGTTGCAACAGCTGAGCCTACCCAGGGTCGGAGGGGGGAGGAAATGAGGCGCTCTTTCCCACCTCCCCAAAAGCAGACGAGGAAACGTCTTTGTTTTGCAATCCTGCAAAGCTGTCGACACCTCTGGTGTGCAACAGTTTCCTTCAAAAACAAAGTTTGTAGCAGAACGGGAGGGGGGGCTGCAAGCCTCCACCCGTGGAAGGGAGGAGGGGAAATTTATTGGGAGGAGGGTTGCCACTTAAGGGAGAGATTTTTGCCTGGGGAGACGGAGAGGGATAAAATTTATGATCCGAGAATGAATTTAATTCTTTTTGTTGGTAGTTAGTTTTCCTCTCTGGTGAGGAAAGCTGGGGAGTATGGGATTTGAAGTCCCTGTCTGAAGAGGCTCCCCACTCTTAGCGTGTTACAGACAAGCCATATTTTGGGAGAGGAGGGGGCCTGGCCCTAAGGACGCAGCTCTATCTGGGGGGAGGCATTCTTGCCTTCCTCTCCCTCCCCCCCTTACGGGAAGTTTCCAGCTGTTGCTTAAAAGCAGCAAGATGTTTTTGTCAAAATACTGGTTGGGCGGCTTCTTTCTTGCAAAACAAGCCTCTTTGTCAGCAGGTGAACCCTTGCGTGTACACACACACACACACACACACACACACACACACACACACAGCTCAGTCACGTCTGCGGTGGCTTATTTGCTTCCTTGGTGCAGTCGGTTCCTTCCAGATGTTGAAGCGCCTCTGCAGCATTTCCTGCTGTGGACCTTGCTGGACACAGTTGGCCCAGGAACAGCTGGATGACCCCTGGTCAATCCAGGCCTGTCTTTGGGTGCCTTTCTTTGGCTACAGAAGGAAACATCTGGAGATCGTTGCACCCAAATCTCCAGGGCAGGCATCCAGATGTCCAGGCAGGTCTGCAGGGGTCCTTCAAAACCTTCAAAACTCAAGAAGTGTGAGAGTTTTGTGCACGTTGAATTGCAGGCAGTTTTGTGTACAGGTGGTTCTCAACCTACACCTGTTCGTTTGGTTACAACAGCACTGAAAAAGTGACTGGTCACGAGTCCTCACCCTTCTGCCGTCACGGTTCAAAATTCGGGCACGGCTTGTATTTACCACAATTGCAGCATCATGGGGTGGGGTAGGGTGTCACATTATCACCCCTTGCAATCTAGGAAGCTGAATTCCCTTAATGACTGCAGTGATTTGGTGCTTAACAATCGTGGCAAAAAAATAGTTGTAAAATTGGGTGCATGTGACTGACTCAACAGTCGCCTCGCTTAGCGATGGATATTCATGTGGTCATAAGCCGAGGCCTAACTTTTGCAAAATCCGGAGGAAGAGAGATTGCAAGGCACGGAAGAGTTGAAAAAAAAAAAAAAACTGATTTTCTAACCTTTGTTTCACTGACCCATTTGCTAGGCTCCGGGCTGGACGGAGGTTAAAACCCCTGCATTTTCCACAAATACAAACAGCGGACTAACCTTTGGGCCATGAAGCTGGAGAGGAGTAGATTTCTGGGACATCTGTTTACCGAAAAGAAGACCCAAAGCTGACGAAAACAACATAGGAACCGCCTCTACACTCTTTGCTGAGCTTCAAGGACAAAAAAAAAAAAAAAAGATTTAAGGTCCATGAAACACAGAATTTTCCTTCTACTAACCCCTTAAAAAGACTGGAATTTTGGTCTGTGTGCATGTTTTGCTTTAAAATATCACCCACAGAGAAAACACATTGCATTTTTAGCGCTTTTTAAAAAAAAACACAAGCATAAGTTTCTTTTATTGTAAGGATAGCGTCAATATTTTTTTTTCTTTAAAAAAAAGGTCTTTGTATTCCTTTTTTTCTGGGATAAGAAAGAGATTCCCTTTAAAACAAACAAAAAAGGGGAGTGTTGTCTGTTGATCCTTATCCAGATCCGGAATAGATCGAAGCTTGCAAGTGAAGGTAATGCGAGAAACCCCTGGGTTTTAAATAATTGAGTATAAAATCGGGGAGAAAAATGGCAGAATTGAAATTTCAATGACCCTCCCAGGAACTGGCAAGTGAAAAAAAACCAAATCAATTAAGGGACAATTTGCATCCAGTGTTCACCAGTGCCTAGCCAAAGGAAAAAAGACTCAGGGCCAATAAAACCTGGGGCCATTTTTATGAAACGGGGGTCTGTTTATAGCAAAGATCAGAAAAGAATCTGTTGAGGGCAAACACGGGACCCAGCTTAAATTTTCTGCAAAGTTTTCAGCTACTGGAAAGGAAAACTCTTAACATCCCCACTGTTGATGAAAGAGACTTGTATTTTTTTTTAAGTTGGTGAAGAGGTCCTTTGGGGTCCCTGTCCAGAAATAGACAGCTTAACCCTTTTTGGACAAACCTTGAATCTGATTTGAGAAAAATTGAGAATTAAGAAGCCAAAGGACGATTCTTCTTGATGGAGACCGACGTGCCAGCTGCAGAGGAAGCTCGGCAGGAGACGGAGCCCACCGAATCTGGGGGTCCTGAGCCCGCGGAGGCTGGGGTGGGTGGCGAGGAGGGGGCTGCTGCTGCTCTCCCTGCGGGGGGTGAAGAGGAGACCCCAACCCACCTGACCCACGACGGTGCCCAAAGCGTCACGCAGACAGACAACGGGCAGCTCTCGCCTGTAGAAGCAGCGAAAGGGGAGCAAACAGAGGGACCCCCAGCCCCAAAGGAGGAGGCTTCCCCTCTGCCAGCCTCCCAGAGCACCCCTCTGGTGCCCGCCAGCTGCAGCGCCCCCGGGGATGCCCCCAAGCCGCACACGTCTCCAGCCAGCCAGCCCAATCCACCGGACTTCTACTGTGTGAAATGGATCAGCTGGAAGGGCGAGAAGACACCGGTCATCATGCAGAGCGAGAACGGCCCCTGCCCACTGCTGGCCATCATGAACATCCTCTTCCTGCAGTGGAAGGTAACGGGCACCGGGACGGCGGGGGGGAGGGCACGGGAGGGGTCTACCGCCGGGATGCCCCAGAAGGGGGCTGCAAAACCGGGGCCCTCAGTTCTTGCCGTCCCCCAGGTGAAGCTGCCTGCCCAGAAGGAAGTGGTCACTTCGGACGAGCTGATGGCTTACCTCGGTAAGGAGCCCCATCGGGGTTGGTGCCTTCCCACTCCCGGGCAGGGCGGCTCCCAGCATTGGCAAGCATCTCCTGCCATCCCTCCCTTTTTTCCCCCTCTGCACAACAACCCAGTGAGGTAGACCAGCTTTCCATCTCCGCCTCCCTAGCGGAAGGTGCTTCCAAGCGGACTCCATCAATTGACTCCCTGTCTCCCTCCCTCATGGAGACCCCTGCCCCAAGGCTGCCTAACTGAAGGGTCTCCCCCCCCCTTCTGCCCCTGCAGGGGATTGCATCTTGTCCATCAAGCCGCAGGACCAAGCTGAGGCTGTCCAGCTGAACTTCCAGCAGGTGGGTGGACTTGCTTCGGCCGCAGACATCCAAAACGGCCTATTTAGGGCCCTTTGGGGCCAATTTTCCAGGCCTGTTTGCCTCCGGGGCTTCTTTTGAGAAAATCCCGATTTTTCTTCCCGGGCAGAATGTCAATGACGCCATGATGGTCCTTCCCAAGCTCTCCACGGGGCTGGACGTCAACGTGAAGTTCACCGGGGTCGCCGACTTTGAATACACGCCCGAGTGCCTCGTGTTTGACCTCATGAATGTCCCCCTTTATCACGGCTGGCTGGTGGACCCCCAGGTGGGTGGCTTTCCTCCCCAGGCGTTGGAGGGGGGCAGACGGAATTGCACCGAGGCATCTGCACAGCCAGAGACTTTGGTATAACTGAGAATGTCTCCATCTTGGAAACTTTAAGAAGTCTGGACTTCAACTCCCAGAATTCCCGGGCTGGGGCATTCTGGGAGTTGAAGTCCAGACCTCTTAAAGATTGCCAAACATGAGAAAAGTGGCATAGTTAATCCGTTGCTTCAAAAGTGGTCTAGCCAGCTGGGAAGAAGTGCTACCCTCCCCTGATGGATAGACGGCAGGCTTCACTTCAGGGGGAGAAAAAGAAATCAAGCTACTAGTCCTCAGGGAGAGGAGCAAAAGTTTGGCACTCTGGATCTTCGCAAGGTTGACCAAAACCACAAGAGGGAACTGTAAACATCCTGTTTTTAAGGCATTATGTTCCGTTCTCTCAAAGCTGTCCTATAGGCAGTTCCGCTCCCTCCCACCCTCCCTATTTGATACCGACGACACCCCTGCAAAGCGGCACTGCAACACAGAAATGTAAACCCAGTTCTTGCCGTGTCCCCTTCTGCCTGTGCCCTGGTTTTAGAGTGGGTATTTCTCTCCCCCCCCCAGACTCCCGAGGTGGGCCAAGCCGTCGGCAAGCTGAGCTACAACCAGCTGGTGGAAAAAATTATCACTTGTAAACACTCCAGTGACCCAAACTTGGTGACGGAAGGTAATACGGGGGGGGGCTAGGTCCAAACCACCTTTTTCAAATGGGGAGGGGTCTTTTGGGGGGCATTGCTGGTGGCTGGCAGGCCTGGGAAGGTGCCCTAGAAGCCGCTAAAGCAGGGGGCTCCAATCTGGGTAACATTTAAGACTTCTGTGGACTTCAACTCCCAGAATGGGGAATTCTGGGAGTTGAAGTCCACAAGTCTTAAAGTTGGCTGGGGAATTCTGGGAGTTGAAGTCCACCGAAGTCTTAACGCTGCCCAGATCAGACACCCCGAAATGAAGGGATGAATTGTCTTGTTTCTCTTTCTTCCTCCGTCTCTTCCCCGCCCAGGCCTGATTGCGGAACAGTTTTTAGAGTCCACGGCATCGCAGCTCAGCTACCACGGGCTGTGTGAGCTCACGTCCACGGTCAAGGAAGGCGAGCTGAGCGTCTTCTTCCGAAACAACCACTTTAGTGCCATGATCAAGCACAAGGTATTCCCTTTTCCTGGAGGCATTAGGGAGTGGGGAGTGTGTATCGTTCCAGACAAATAAAGCTACTTAGCACCAGCCGAGTTTGTCCTTTGCAGTTTGTGCTGCTTGTAAAAAGGATGAAGAAGGGCTTCAGATCTAGCAGGCTTTTCATATTTTGTTTTATAGGATCATTTTTTTGTCTTGTTAGCTGCCTTGAGTCACTTGAAGGCAGGATGAGCAGCAATCAATAAACTCAATTTCTATTTTAAATCTTTTACTTACAGCTTGTATTTGGCAATAATTGTAATGTGATGTGTGTGTATATGTGTTTGTGTGTGTGTGTTTATATAGGTTTATATTTTTATTTTAAAGTTATAAGCAGCCCAGAGTCACCTTGTGGTGGGAGGGACAGCAAATAGATTTACAAATTAAATAAAGAAATGCAGTTAGTCCTCAGTTTATGTCCACGGTTGAACCCAGAATTTCTGTTGCTAAATGAGATATTCAGTGAATTTTGCCCCATGTGATGATCTCTCTTGCCATAGTTGTTAAGTGAATCCCTGCAATCCTTAGTAACATGGTTGTTAAGGGAAGCATGTCAGAAGGTTGCAAAAGGTGATCATTGCAACCGTCATAAGTATGAGTCGGTTACCAAGCGTCTGAATTTTGACCATAGGGATTCATTCATTTCCTTTCCCTTTCTTTCTTTCTTTCTTTCTTTCTTTCTTTCTTTCTTTCTTTCTTTCTTTCTTTCTTTCTTTCTTTCCTTCCTTCCTTCCTTCTTTCCTTCCTTCCTTCTTTTTTTTCTTTTTTTTCTTTTTTTCTTCTTTCTTTCCTTTCTTTCTTTCTTTCTTTCTTTCTTTCTTTCTTTCTTTCTTTCTTTCTTTCTTTCTTTCTTTCTTTGTTCTGCTGGGCTTCAGAGCCACCTCTACCTGCTGGTGACCGACCAGGGTTTTTTGAACGAAGACCAGGTGACCTGGGAGAGCCTGCACAACGTGGACGGTGACAGCTGCTTCTGCGACGCTGAGTTCCGCCTGAGCCACGCGCTGGGAAAGGAGGCGGCGGGGGGCTCCCCGGTGGATCAGAGGCAAGTGGACCAGGTAGGCCAGGGATGGGCGTGGAGTCCTGGCAGAGGGGCCCAGCGGGGAGGGCAGGGGTGCAACGCTTCCCCCGGTGGGATCGCTCCAAGAATGGGACCCCAAGGGGACGTCGGGGTCTCTGGTAAAGCATGAAAGTTTTTTTCAACCTGGCTGAGAATTTGCAAACATTCCCCCTCGGTTCCTGGGAACTGGAGTTACGCCGGGTACTTAAAGCCAGCAACTTTAAGACTGACGGATTTCAATTCCCAGAATTCTGGGAGTTGAAGTCCACAAGGCTTAAAGTTGCCAAGGTTGGAGATCCCTGGTCTGAGGTGGGGATAAGAAACAGAGGCAGCCTTTCTGACCCCCCCTCCCTGTTTTTCTCTCCCCCACCCCAAGGACTACATGATTGCCCTGTCTCTCCAGCGCCAGCAAGGGGGTCCGGCCCTGAGCGATCTGGAGCTGGCGCAGCAGCTGCAGCAGGAGGAATACCAGCAGCCCCCACCGCCAGCCCCCTTGCCCTCCCCAGCACAGGTACAGAGAGCCCTCCACCCCACCCCCCCGCTTTGGAGGGAATTCTACCCCCCTCCCCAATTAACACCCTCTTTGTTTTTGCTGTCCTGCCTTTAGGGGAGAAGCCCACCGGCCCATCGCCCTACTGGAGAGCGCAGACAGCGGCCGAAGGTGGACACGGACTGCACAGTCCTCTGAGGTCAACCTGCGGGCGTCCCACGAGAGCCCCCCCCTCCTTCCAGGGCCTGCAGCTGAGAAGGAACCCCTCCCCTCTATTTGCTACAGGGGCACTTCAGACAGGGCTCTCCTGCAACACCCAAAAATGCTTCAGAAGGGGGGAGGGCTCCACACACCTGGGGGACGCCTCCCCGTAGTGGATTTGTGTCTCCCACTTGGGAGGATGAGCGTGGGAAGGGGGATAGAGAAGCGAAGAGGGGGCTAAGCCTGGGCCGGTCTCCCCACGGAGGCTCGGCCAATTTATGGGGGTCTTCCGTGGGAGTTTCCCATCTTGGGGGGGGGGGGCAGAAGGCTGCTTCCGTTGGAGGAACTGAGTCCAGAGCCATCGGGATGAGGGCCACCCGTGCACGGAGGAAGGACCGCCTGCAAAGTTACAATGGGAGCCATCCAACGGGAGCAGTTTCCGCCCTACGGAAACATGGATTTCTTCGCCAACAACAGAGCCTGGCACCTTTTGGGAGGCTTTAAAACTCTTGTTTTTTCCGCCTTCTCAAAGGCAGTCAAAACCGGGCAGAAACGTCTCCGTGGTGGAGTCCAAATGAGCTCTTTCTCTCTCTCTCTTTTCCCCCTGGTTTTTGAGGGCTAAGGACTGGACTAAATTCTGCATTGCTAAGGCCTCCGTTTTGAGTCGATTAATCAATTAAACCTGCCTCTGTTTACATTGGAATAAAGCAAGTCCTTCTGAAGGAGCGGGAAGCCTTCTTTTAACCCCAGTTCATCCACTGAGAGAGATCCCAAAGAAGTTTGGGGTTTTATCTGGTTTATTTCTACAAGCAACGTTTGTAGGACCGTGATTTTTTCTGGGGAGGGGGGTTGTGCAGGCATATGGGCTGTGGCTGATGGGTTGGGATCCCTTGGAGCAGCAGATGGGAGAGAAGAGACCGTAGGGGGTGGGATGTACAATTAAGCCTTTTTCTAGAAATCGAAGCCCCCTCGGACTGAAGCTGTATATCTACTCCGAGGGTCCTATTTCCCAAAGCTGGCCAATGAGAAAAGCCTGTTGGCATTTCCCGGCAGAGATAGATTGCTGCTGATGCTGGAGGTTCTGTAGGTCTTTGCTACTTCTTATTATCCCCTGCTTTTAAACTTTGACCGAAGTTTTTTTTTTTTTTTTTTTTTTGTAAATACCTGATAAAACTTGCAGATGGCTAAATCTCCCCCCCCACACACACACACACACTCAGGCCCCTGGAAAGCATCGGAAGAATTTGGGCTGGGAGAGAGGCGGACATCCGTCCAACTGGTCAGGCTGAATTCCGCAGCTGCCTTTGGGGGGGGAGGGGCTCCTTTGCAACTTTGAGAGGCAGCTTTGCTGGAAGGAAGTGCTGGGGGGGGTCTCCTAAGGTAGACTGCCTCTGGACAGAGAGGATCCTTGGCTGGGAGCCAGTCTCACAGATCTTCCGCCTTGCACAAGCCGAGCAAAGCCGCCTGGTATTCGTCTTGCGTTTCCATCTGGGGGGTGGCAAGGAGGAGAGTTTGGGGAAAACCCATCTGGAAATAAAGGGGGTGCTCCAGAAAAGATGGGGTGCTTAATTCCTGGGGGGGGGAAAGGGAAATTTCTTCCCGTCTGTGGCTTCTAGATACTTTTCAATAAAGAGCAGGTTGTCCTTCCTGTCATCTGCCGGCCCCCAAACTCTTAACATGCAGATAGACTGCTCCTGCAGAAGGAGGTTCTGTTCCCGGTGAGTGGGCTTCAAATAGGTTGCATAAAATTGGGCTGCTCGGCCAAAAAGCCTACCTCGTAAGAGCGTTGTGAGAATAAATTGGAGTGGAGGCCTGGCTGGGTGGGAGGGTCCTTCCCATGGTTCCAGGGGGGCTGCAGGTTTCCCTGGGGTCTCTAACCTGCCTTTGCCTCCCCCCCAATACTACCCGGGGCCTCACCTCAATGAAGGAGTAGAGCGAGACCCCATAGCGCCTCTTGAACTCGGCGCGGATGCTCAGAAGGTCCGTCTCGCTGCGGGAGACCATGATTCGGACAGCTGTCCGGGGATTGTGTCCTTCCTGGGGGGAAAAATGACAATCGCCTTGGGAAAGGTGTAAGCCACCCAGAGTCGCTTGGAAATGAGATGGGGGGGCAAATAAATTTAATAAAAAATAATAACAAAAAGGCTGGGAAGCTGGTCAAAGCTTTGGACCAGGCTGTTTAACACCCTCTTTCAATTGTTCTCAAGCCAGACTGTAAAAAAGGACTAAAGAGTCCACCTCTGCCTTTCTCTTTCGCTTTGAGAAGGAGACCTATGGGCTTTCATTTGGGGAAGGGTCCTTGGGGGCAGATGGCAGGGCAGCGGGGGCTCATATCCACCAGAGATGATCCTCACGCAGCCGGTCTCCCATGCGAATCACAACCCGGAAGCAGAACACCAAAGACAGGCACATCTGGGGCTCGTGGTAGCCCGGGTGGGGATAATGGGGATGGGATTTGGGAACAGGTGGGCACCAAAAGGAGAGACCCTCACCTTAATGGCCGAGTGGAGCCTGATGGCAAAATATAGCGGTGTGTTTCTCAGGAGGGAAACTGCAAGAGAATTATTTTTACAAAATAATTACAAATGTATTTTTTTGTTGTTCTCCTCATTTCTGGGCTGAAAGGGCTGCAGGGGAAGAGAGCTGCACAAGTTGAATTTCTGCCTAACAAAGTACCCGCAGCTAGAGCAGGGACGGAAAGCCGGTCAAGCAGAACAGAGCTGGTTTGAAACTTGCTAATCAACTTGCAAAGTTCCCAGTCCCTGAGCTTAATGTACTGCTAATTGTGCCTGGCTTAGCCAGTCTGGGGAGAAAGAGGAGGAAAAAGCTGATTTAAGTGGCCTTGCAACTCTTATCTTAACTTAAGAGATAAGGTTCCGTAAGGATTGTGCTAAAATAGGATCAAGAGGACTAGCAACTTGCATTTTTAAAAGCAGGGACAAGAACGAAGACAATTCTCAAATCCTCTTCCGAGTGTCCTCAGCCCAGGCTGTGCGAAACAAGACACAACTGAGGTTGACAGGGCTCCTGAGCATGTGCAGAAAGCCCCGCTGGAACTAGTTTTTTTTTCCCCCTCCTCAATTTAATCCAGACTAAAACTCAGATTCCTGGGTCTTTCTTGCCCTGCGCCTGGGGTGCACCTACCCAGCGTTAAACCTGCTTCCCGGAAGTCTCCCTGGAAATGTTTCTCCATAGTTTCCTCAACTGAGTTTCCTGTCAGCTCTTGGTACCAGCTGAACACTGGAAAAAAAGGCAAGGAAAAAAGGGTGGGTTTTTTTTTTAAATTATTGGGAGAAGACACCCTCCCCCTTTCTGCCCAGTTTTTCTTCAGCTTTTGAACAGGGACTCCCATCAGGGTTGCAGTGGGAATCCTCCCTAGCCCAATCTGGCCTGGAAAACGAGCAAGTTTGGGGATGCCAGCATGGCGAAACACAACCGCACGGTGTCCTGCCTGAAGCATGGGGAGACTGGCCTTGCCTCTCCTCAAATGCTCGGGGCTGCGTTGAGCCAGGATCCGGACCCACGTGCTCTGCTCCAGGCCTCCAGCGGCCGCATCGGCGAGGGCCTGGGGGGGGGGAAAGTCCAGGTGTTTGGGGGGGGGGACATTGGAAAAGGGCATCGAGAGGGATCCAAGCTGCTGGCCCCATTCGGGCGTAGAGGGGACCCCGAAGCAAGGCGTTCCCGTCTCACCTTTGAATCTTGCCGTATCAAGACGTAATCGATCAACCCCAAATGGCGTTCCCGCTCACCCTGCGTGGAAGGAAGGGGTGAGCAAGTCAGCTGTGAGACTTTGCTGCAAAATATGTTATTTTCCTAAACGGGGCCAAGCGCTGATTGGGCCAAACATTTTGGACTTAAAAAGGATAAGAGGCAGAGCGCTTTGAATTTTAGGAAAGCACACACACACACACACACACACACCCATCTCTGGGGTTCTTACAAAGGGGTATTGCATTGCACTGCATTTTTATTTATTTTTATTTTATTTCTATTTTACTTCACCTTCATTTTATTTTTACCTTGATCAAGGCAAGAAGCAGTTCTTGAAAGCCACCGGTGGTGCCACAAGCGATATCTGTTTCCAGGTCCGATTTGAAATCTACATCAGCGGAAGAAGCGAGAAGGAGGGAGAGTTTGGGCCCTCTTTACATCAGCAAGGAGAGGAGGATCTCCTCATTTCCCTTCCTGAGAAAACAGTGGGAGGTAGACTACTCTTGCACAAGGGGGCTCTGCATAAGCTCGGGAAAGAGGCGTTCTTGAGTGCCTCAAATAATTTACGAGTCGTGTATGATTAACAGGGCTATCCTTCCTGAAATTCTAAGGCAGGCGTTGTTGTTTTTTTCTGGTAGCCCAATAATAATATTTGAGTTTTCCTTAGTCTACATCAGGAGTGTTCAACCTTTGCAACTTTAAGATCTAGGGACTTCAACTCCCAGAATTCCCCAGCCGGAATCCTGGGAGCTGAAGTCCACAGGTCTTAAGCTTGCAAAGGCTGGACCCTCCCCTGGTCTATATGAATGCTCAACGAAATAAAATACCACCGCTTTAAAAGTCAAAGCTCACGATCCTATCATGTTGCAGGGAGTTCTGCAGGCATGAAAAGGAGGGCGGGTTCGTCTTCCCTTGGTTTTGCAAGTTTATCAGGCAATTTTCTCTCCCCAGCAACTCCCCTCTCCTATTTCTCTGCTTTTTAAGAACAAGCAGGGATGTTTAATTTTTTTTGTTCACCTTGTTTATAATAAGCCAAGGTTTCCTGGAGCTGTTTTGTCCTTTGAGTGGAGACGATTTCAATCAGGCTTTCCACCTCCAGACTCTGCAAAGGAAGTATGGCCCAGGTTAGGAAACGACAGTTGTCCACTTTGCAGGGTGTGTACGTGTGTATGTTAAGAACGGGAGGGTCGTGGGGTTTCCTTGGCAGAAATGGGGTGCCTGTCTTTGGAAGGGGGTACCTGCAATCCTGCCTGGATCTCATGGGCATCGTTCTGAGCCGCCGGTCGGAGCAGAGCCCTGATAATGGTCTCAAACCGGCTGGGCATCACCGCCTCCAGAGTTTTCAACAGGCCCTAAAAGGAGGGAAAGACTAAGAGAAATTTGGGGAGACCCCCACCCCCCAATGGAGCAGGACCCTCAGCCGAACACATTATGGCTGGGAAAGGGAGAGTTTTAGTGGCTCTGTCCTAAAAAAAAAAAAAAAAAAAAGAACCAGAACAGTCTCCAAGGGCTCCCCTACACTGGCACATTGCAGTAGTCCAAGCCAGAGTGACCGCTTTGCTCATTTTTCCTTTCCAGGAAGGGCCATTAATTTCCCCCCCCCCCCATCCCTTCCTGGCCTAACCTGTTGGGTGAAGTCGAGGAAGGCTTCAGCAATCTGCTGGCGATGCTCGCTGCTCCGGCTGGTCAGCAGGTCAATGATGACTCTGCAGTTGACCCCTTTGGGGGGACCCGAGGGTCCCGGTTTCAGCCGAGGCCCCCAAACCAGGAGTTTGCAAACTCTGCTCCTGCCCCTCGAGTTAGACGAGTTAGACGTACTCCAGGAAGAGTCGAAATCTGCATATGCAAATCGCCTACATCAAAAGCCTGGTTAGCATAGTGATTTTCTCAGGCTTCTGCGGGGCTGAAATTTAGGCCTCTCATCAGCGTATTTCTCTGGGCAGATGTCCTAAAACCATCCACTTTGTTTCAGGATACGCATCCATCCCTTATCCGGATTTTTCCAACTTTACCATACTGGTTGGAGCCGATGGGCATTTGAGTTGTGTCCTGGGTTCTGAGCCCAACTTCCCGTCTCTCTGCAGAGCCCACCTCGCAGGGTGGCTGTACGGAGGCAGGTGAGAGGGAAGGGAAGGGGCAGCGTCTTACCTTCCCCACTGATGACCTCAAAGAAAGTCTGGGCATCTTTTGCTGCATCAAAATGCAGGTGAGGGCGGATGGTTCCCAGGGTGCCCCACACGGCCACCTAGGGCAGAAAGTTGCAAAGAGCGAGATCTGGATGACCAGCTGAGCCGAGCCTCCACTGGCCTCCCCAGTCTACCTGAGGGACCTTTCCATCCCTTCCCTCCTCCTTAGGGGGCAGCATGTTGCGAAGGCCGGTGGCCTCAAAATACTCCGCGGTTACTTTCTAAAAAAGAAGTTAGGTTCGGTGGCACCTCACCTTTTCGGCCAGCGGCAACTGCTCCAAAATTTCTTCGGCCATGGATTCCTGTTCCAGCCGGTTCCTTGCAGGCTTGCCAAGTTGTGGGGGTGTGGGAGTGTGTGGAAGAGCCCCACTTAGGCAGCCCTCAAGCAAGCCAGCGCTGGCTGCTGCAAAGAAGAGGATTTGCAAGGGCAGAAACCCCAGGAGGCTTCCAGTTCAAGCTAAAACAATGGGGGGGGGGGGGAGAGAAGCAATACAGGCGAGGAGTTAATCTAGGAAACGTCCCCTCCCCCGCGGGGCAGCAGAAGGAGGGGCTCCGCATTTGAGGAAGTGGGGGCAGAGGGGGGAATTGGAAAGGAGGAAAAAAAAAAACCTCCCCAGTTTTAGGCAGGAAGACCAGGCTGAATTTCTAAAAAGGAGAAAGTGGAAAGGGAGAAACGCACCTGGAGGTCTTCCGAGTCTCAGTGTTGCTTGAAATCGCCCCCCCCCAGAAGACTCTTCTGACCCCTCCCCTTTCCCTCCTCCCCAGGAGCAGAAGAGCCCCAGAGCCCCTCTCCAAAGGGGGATCTCGCTAGCCGGGCGCTCCAGCGAAGGAGCCGCGCGCAAAGTCTTCTTCTTCTTCTTCTTCTTCTTCTTCTTCTTCTTCTTCTTCTTCTTCTTCTTCTTCTTCTTCTTCTTCTTCTTCTTCTTCTTCTTCTTCTCTTCTTCTTCTTTTCTTCTCTTCTTCTTCTTCTTCTTTTCTTCTCTTCTTCTTCTTCTTTTCTTCTCTTCTTCTTCTTCTCTTCTTTCTTCTTCTTCTTCTTCTTCTTCTTCTCTTCTTCTTCTTCTTCTTCTCCTCCTCCTCTCTCCTCCTCCTCCTCCCCTCCTCCTCCTCCTCCTCCCCTCCTCCTCCTCCTCCTCCTCCTCCTCCTCCTCCTCCTCCTTCTTCCTCCTCCTCCTCCTTCTTCCTCCTCCTCCTCCTCGTCGACAGGCCCCGCGCGATCCCCAAAGGCGGAGGGGCGGGGGCGGCAGCGGCTCCCCCCAGGGCGGCTCCGCAGCCAACCAGCGCCGAGAGCCTCGGAAAAACCAGTCCGGGCTGTCGCTCTCCAGCCGGGCTGCGAATTGTCGTCAGCTCGGCGGATTCTGCGCCTGGCGGAGCGCACCTGCCGCCGTGGGGCGTCCGGGAAGATCCGGGCGGCCACTGGGGGACGCCGTCGCCCAGGGGGGAAGCCTCCCCAGGTCGCAGGGGAAAGCCCCGCGGCGCCAGAGCCCCCCTCTGCGCGCAGGGACCCCCGACTCAGGCAGGGTGGTCGTCAGGAGGAGAATTCGCCCAAAGACCCGCGCAGGATGCTTCGCTTTTTCGGGACGTTGACAGGAGCTTCCCTGACATCGCGTCTCGGCCCACGCTGCTTCTCTTCCGAGCCTCTTTTGCGGGACTGGAACTCAGCACCTTTGCTCATGTTCACTCCTCTAGAAAGCGGGGCCTTAAGTTCCGAGGGCGCGGGACCAGCTGGGAGAAGGGAAGACGGGCCCCCGGCGAATGGGGCACTCGCAGAACTGAGTTCCCTGAGAAAGCCTGAACGGTTCCTGGAAGTGTGTCTGTCCGGCAAGAAGAACACCCAAGTGAGCAGCAGCCTTTCCCACGTGCTCGCTCCCAGCCCAGCCTCCCGAGCGCCGTCAGAACGCGGGACGGCGAGACCTCGCTGGTTCCCGGCTGGGGGGAGCTGTCTGGGGTGAAGCCCCGACCCGGGTCTTCCAATTCTCCGGGGCCTCCGGGTGCCAAGCTGGAACTCAGACCCGCAACTTTGGAGAGTTCTCGCTGCACAGGAGGAGTTGTTTTCCCTGCGCAAAATGCTGGACGGGAGAAAGAAACCAACCCCCTTTGTTGTGCGCGCCCGGAACCTGTGATGCTTCCTCGGATGAAAGAGGTGCTTTTTGTGGCTTCCTTTATTGACTGCTCGTGCTTGCAATGCTTTCCTTCCTTCGGAGGGCTTGGGAGGACAAATCTCGCTTCTAAAATCGCCTTTTGCAGTTAAAAAAGAAAAAAGGAGGGGGGGAAGCGAGGAAGCTGTACTGTTACGATGTTCTCCACCGGGGGCGCTCTGGACTTCCCTTCTGAGGGTGCGGGGGCTAGCTGAGCCACCAAAGGGCAGCACCTCCCTGTTCTTCATCCAGGTAGCGGTGTGTGTGTGTGTGTGTGTGTGTAAATCAGCAACTCTCTAAAGCAGAGCCTCCCGTCCAGGAGCAGTCTTCCTTGGATGACTAACCTAGCAAGAACAACAGACCTGCCCTGGGCCAGCTTGGCAGAAAGATCCCGTTCTCCTCCAGGAAAATGAATTTGACAGCTCACTTGGAAGAAGATATTGACTGGCCTCCGAGCTCGCCCAGTGGCATTTCCGCCTGGAATTCCTGGACAGAAAATGGTGGAATTCCTACCTGCCACCAGCAAAACTTGGGACTGGCAATTGAGATTTTCCGCAAAAGAGAAGGTGGGTGCAACTTGCAAATCTCAGCCCGTTCCGCATTTTATTTCTGTGCTGCAAATCCCTCTGGATAGAAAATTGTGCTCAGAGGACTTCCTTCCATCAGGAAGCAGAACATCTGCGGTCGCTAGATTTTTTTTCCACTGGAATAATTGAATTCTCCTCCTTCCTCCATGGACTCTCAGTCTTCTTTCTTCTCTGCTGCAAGGATTCTGCATATTTTTCCATTAGGGAATTCCTGGGGATTTACCACGAAGAATGATTAAGGATTGATCAGTTGGGAAAGTGCAGAGGGTGGCATAAATTGGTCAGCTCCTGCGTGCCTTTATCTCCAACGTGGGTGAAGTGTTTCCAAACACAGCCATTGCTCTAATTAAATTAATGAAGACAACTACAGAAGTCTGGAGAGAGAACACGGTACATCGCTGGGATAGTATCGCTAGGACTGGGATTAAGCCTGTTCATAATCCAGGTTGGCTTTGCGGGGTCCAATTTGTGACAGACCGGAATAAAATTGCTCATCCCAGTTTAAGAAGCCGTAAAATTATGCCCAGATTCCAGCCTTTATCTGTTTTTTCTCAGCATCTTGATCATTATTGTGCCTTATTTTATGAAGACGCTGCCCTTTTAAAGGAATACTTTAAAAAAATGCCCAAAGCACAGTCCCATTAAAAATAATCTCAAAAAATACAAGCGGGTTTATTTCATTTATAAAGTGTGTTCACTTTATAAATTCAGACTTCAAGTGTGGAAAATGTTTAGATCTCAAGCCGAGCGAGAGAGACCTTAGCAGGGAGTGAACTGGGCCTATTTTTCCAACAAGAGAGTTCCAAAAACAGGGGGGAAAAAAGCAGCGGTTTTTTAGTTTTTCAGTGGAAAAATAAGCCGATCCCCACCCCAAAGCTCACAAAAGCAACACACCCTGCCCTTTGTAAACAGGACAGAATGCTTACAGGGGCCGTATGGATCCTAGCAGGGGGAAACTGAAATATCTTTTAAAAATTCTGGCTGCAATGCCCATTTTTCAACCCATGGATGTTTCTGCTGAAATGTCTTCCCGATTTTATTTTAAATGTAGATTTGGGGAACACAGTAGGGGGTCAGGGTGCCTTTTGAGGGGTCTCTCCACTTGGCTAAAAGATGCAGCTTCTTCCTGCTTCTCAGATGGATTTTAAAAAAAAACCCTTTTCTGTAGTTTTCAAGGATGGGGTCCAGCGACGGATGCTCAGAGAGGCTGGGGGGGGAGGAGGGCACCGCTTCTAATCCCCCCTCCTCTTTCAAAAGGAGACAGGGCTGAAATGGGGGACCCCCGTCTGTCAGGTTTTCCCCCAACTCCTGGCCAATTCCAGCTAACTTATTTATAAACAGTCATAAAAGCAGGATAAAAGAGTCGCATAAATAAGAAACTTTTCCCCCAACCTCTTTTGTGCACCTTCTTTTCCGGGGGGGGGGGAGAGAAGAGGCACCCCAGTTTCAACCTTGCCCCAAAGCCGCTTTTTGGGACCTTACGGGGCTTCTCTTTTTCCCGCCCCCTCCCAAAGCCTAGAAAGAGGAAGGGGCTTCCCGCTCCCCCTTTGCCCCCCCTTCCCGGCCCGTTGGTGAGAAGGCGCGTCAGAAGGGATGACTCAGGCGGGGGGGGGCGGTCAGCTGCGAGCCCTCCCTTTCGGGTCTCCCCCCCCCCCGGCAGCCGCTCCCTCCGCCCCTCCCCAGCCAGGCGGCGCTCCCTCCGCGCTCGATTGCTAAGGCTGGGCCGGGAAGCCGAGGGGGGGGGCCGTCGGGGAAATGGTCTTTTGCCCCGGGTGGGGCGGCGGCGCTGATCCCGGGGCGCCTTTTCCCCTCTTTTTCTTTACTTCCAAGAAGCCCCCCTCGCTCTCCCTCCCTCCGCGCTCCCCATTGCCAGAAGGGAGAGGGGGGCGACGAGCGGCGGCCCCGGCGAGGCGAAGCGGCAGCGCCCGGAGGCGGGAGGCCGCTTGGCTCAGGCAAGGTGAGCGCCGGCCCGGCCGCCCTTTGGGGGAGGGGGCTCCCCTCTTTCTGCCCCGGCTCGTCGCGGGGCGGAGGAAGCCCAGGACGGCGGGTTGGCGGGTCTTCCTGGCCAAAGCAGCGCCCCCCCCCAGCCTGGTCCGGCGGAGGGTGGGCGGGGGGCCGAGGCCCCGGCGCGGCCAGTAAAGCGGGCCTGAAGGTAAAGCGGGGGGTCCCCGCCCGAGAAGGGCGCAGATGCGCCACCGACCCTCCCCCACGAACCTTCCTTCCTTCCCTCCTTCCCTCTTTCATCTTCTTCCCTTCTTCTGTCCATTTCCTCCCTTTCCTTCCTCTCTCTTCTCTTCCTCCCTCCCTCGCTTTTCGGGACCTGCCCCAGGCCCCCCTTCCGTGAAAAGCACCGTGCGACGGGGGGGGGGCGGGCAGGAGGGAGGTGGCGCCCCAGCCCCCCCCCCCAGGCCTGGCCTGACCCCTTTGTCCGGGTCGGCCTCCGGGCGCGCGAGGGGGCGGGGCCTGAGGCCGCCTCCAGCCTCCCCCCGCCCGCAGTGACTCAATTTCACGTGGGGGGCCGGCGCTGCTCCGCCCCCCCCGTTCCTCCTTCCGCTTCCGAACCTTTCCCGGATCCGCCGCCAACGAGGTAAAAACCCGCCGGGCAGGAGCAGCATCGCCCCCCCGGCGCCCCCCGCGGCTTTGTGGGTCCGGGGGGGCCCCCTCTTCCCCCCTTTTCTTCCTCTTTCTTCGAAGCCCCCCCCCTTTGGGAGCGGAGGGAAGTTCCAGGCGGTCGAAGAAAAGTGAATTCGCGGCGGGGGGGCGGCGAGACACTTTCGCTTTTCGGCCCGATGCGGGAGGAGGGCGGCGGCCCTTCCCCCCCTTCGCCAGGCTGGGATCCCGGGGAGGGGATCTGTTGGGGATCGGAGGGGGGGATCTCCCATCCGCCGCCCCCACTCCCCGCCCCGTTGCACGGGCATCGCTGGGCGGACGCGTCGCCGGGCCGGAATGAAGGAAGTTGGCCGCTCCCCCGTCGGACCCGGCCGGGCTCCGAGCTTGGGAAACGGGCCGGGGCGGAGGCCGGGGCCATTGCCAGGGTTCTGGCCGGGGGGGGGGGGACGGCAAAAGCTTCCCAGCGGCTCCTTTTCTCCTGGACAGAAGGAAAACTCTCCGAAATGGATTCTCTCTCTCTTTTTCTCTCTGCCTGCCTTCCTCCCTTTTTCATCCCTCCTTCTCTCTCTCTTCTTTATCGTCTCGCCAGCCAGCCTGGCACCCCCACCCCCACCTTGCTGTGCTGAGTGAAATCCCCCTGCCCACAATGGCTGGCTGTTCTCTCCCCTCTGCTGCCCAACCAGGCCAGCGAGCTGCTTCCCCAGCCTCTGGCCTGGAATGCACTGGGGTGGGGTGGGGAGAGAAATGGAGCCCCCCTCCGCTTGGAAGATCACCTTTTACGCACTCCCTTTCCTGTGTGATCCTCCACCCCCCCCCCAACGCACACACCTCTTCTTTCAGATCCAGGAAGTGCCCAGCTTCCCCCGTCCTGCACCCGCTCGGCTTTCTTCTGCAAAACGCTTGTTTTGTTTTGGGCGCAGGCCGTAGGTAGGGAAAAATGCTTATTTTGCTGGTAATTATCCGGCTATCCCTCCCTTCTCTCCCCTTGCGAGGAAGCCAGGCTCTGGGGCGCTGGAAGCCTCTCCCTCCGGCTAGCTCTCTCTCTGCGGGTGGGAAAACAAACATCCAGAGTGTCAGTTCAAACAACCTGCAGGGCTCCCGTCTCAAGCCTGGCGTTGCAACGTTGCACGGGCAGGAACAGCCCACCCTCCCCGATTTGGACCCCCCCCAAATCAGCTTTTGCAGGCAGAAGGGGAGGGGCCCGGCCTGCGATAGTGAGTTGTGTGAACTTGACAAACAAAAGTCCTGGGAAATTGGTTACTTGCCGTGAATATGAAGTTTTCTGGAGGCTGGAGAGGGAAGCGCCTTGCTGGGAGAACCTCTTCTGGTTGAGGTGGAAACTTCCAAGGTGGGGTGGGGGGGTTGGGAAGAGAGAGACAGGCGGTGGCATCCTCTGATCCTGCATCCAGAAAGAGCCAAATGTTTTCACCTCTTTTTTGGCCAACGCACCAAGCCAGAAGCATAAAACCACAAGGAAGGAATCACCCTTCAGCGAGTGCTTTGGCCTGGATTTTGTGTGGCAAATTGTAGGGTGATCTCTTTGTGGGAATCGGGGCAGCCCCGATTCAAGCAGAGGTGCATAAAAGAGGATTGGGAGGCTGTAATTGCTCTGATTCCCTCAGAGCAATTTGTTTTCCAAGCTAAGCTGCCTCTGAAGGTGGAGGCTCTATGGAGTTATCACCCCGTTAAAGTTCTGTTTAGCAAATTGCCCAGGGTGAAGGCTGCTTCTCACCAATTTCTAAAACGGTTATCACCCAAATTCTTAGCCACCCATTCCATCATCCAGTCGTCTCTCTTTCAAAATTTCCACAAAAGTTTATACTTTTTGGCAGTTCATCCTCACTGTTCGATTGGATCCTGTCTGTCTATGACTCCGGCTGGCCTTTTACTCCATTTTGACCCTTTTTTTGATAACTGTAAATCAACAGCTGTCTCCTCCTGTTATTAATGGCTCCCTTGATTGGATTTTAAATTCATCCTGATCGTTTTTCCAATAATTCCGGGTGCATCAACCGTTTGGCTTCGCCTGCTCTTTCCCTTCTGTGACCTGCTTCTTGAGCCAGGAGCCAGGAAGATATTTCTGGGCACAACCTGAGTTTATATCTCTATTCCAGGTTCTCAATTTGGCAGGCCTAATTAAAATGATTTTTAAAGTCCACCTTAACTTCATCGGGCCATTAAAATCTGTGCCACCGAAACAGACCTTCAAGCTTTTTTTTTTGGTGATTCTAAGAATCGAACGCCTTGACGTACCTTTTATCTGACTTTTCCTTTCCTACCTGTTTTTGGGGGGGGGGATTAAAACCCACACCCTGGTTAAGGAGGGGCCACAGTTTGAGAACTCCGTATGCTCTGAAATCCTGGAGCCAGCCATTATATCCAGGCCTTTATCTCAAGGCCTTTAGTTCTGTTCCCAAATACCTAAAAATAGTTCAAGCAAAGTACAAGGGGGAGCCGTTAGCGGTGTCTTTCTTGCGAAGCACAAATTCCAAAATTCAGAGGCAGCGCTATAACTTTGTAGAATATAACTGCTTAACTTGGTGCGCATCTCATGATTTGATTGCTTTTATTTAAGTTGATTGCTTTTGCTTGTATGTACACGGAGAACTTATGCACCAGAGACAAATTCCTTGGCAGATAAAGAATTTGAGACTGGAAAAGCCATTTGACTGGGATGGTATAAGGCAGGGGTCTGCAACCTTGACCACTTTAAGACTTGTAGACTTCAGCTCCCAGAATTCGTCAGCCAGCTTCTGAGAGTTGAAGTCCACAAGTCTTAAAGTGGTCAAGGTTGCAGACCCCTGGTATAAGGTCTCCTGCCTTGACAATAACAATTCTCCACACAGCCAACTCGCCATGGCCGACAACTCATTGTTATTACACTAATAACAAAGAACGGTGGGATAGAATCAATTAAAAAAGGATGCCAAAGAGGTACGGAATTGAAGTGTGACCGACAAAAATTAAAATAACGTTCTATTTATTTTAAATAATTAAATAGAATTATTCAATTGTTCTGCAGTGAGTCGTCCCAGGGTGAGCTGGCTGTGGCGTCTCCTTCCCTATAGCAAGGGGTTGGACTAGAAGACCTCCGAGGTCCCTTCCTGGGATTCTGTGTTGAGAAGGTTCTCCTCCCTGTGCAGAGACAGAGAGGGCTTGTTTGTGGAAGTGACACCCGGATTCTTAGAGGCAAGCTGCTGGACCCTTTGCAAGACGATCTGCAGGTCTTGTGGACTTGTGGCGTTTTGCAATGCTCCGTGAGAAAGAGGCTTTTTATACAATGAGGAGGACGCTGTTACATTCTCTGATTGTCTTTGCCTCCCTTGGAAGGCCTGGTGATTTGCAACAGACCGCCCCAACCAGGTGTCGGCTGAAGGGCTTAAGTTACAATTCCCATGTTTCTCTTCCTTCGCCTGGTTTGGCAAAGGCCAGCCCACCCTGCATCGTTGCGGCCTTCGCACAGCCCTTGCGTGCTGGCCTCGCGGAGGGTTGGGTAAATCTTGTGCAAATGGGGAAAGCCACGGATGTGATCAACAGGTTAAACCTGTTGTCTGAATCGGGCCGGACAAGCCGTGTCGTGCCCGGGTCTTGCACCAGGGTGAGAGTTAAAGGAGGGGAGAGGTTTTCGGAGAACGCAGTCAAGGGGAAGTTGGAAATCCTGGAAGGGACGTAAAACAAGGGAAGTTGGCTTGTTTCCCGATGGGCCTGAGAGAGGACTGGAATCAGAGGAGCCTCTGGACCCACGGATCTCTCCCTTGCACATCCGGGTCTTTAAACCTGGCCACTGGGCCTTCTCTCTAACTGGGTCTCCTCCTCTTCTGATCTTCCCGTCGGGTTGCTTTTCAAGTGGCAGGGGGTTCCGTAGTTCAGAGTTGCACCATGTGAGATTCTCTGTTTTGGGGGAGGGGCCTCTGTTGTGAATCCCCCCCCCCGTCCTTCAGGCTCGCTGGATGGAGTTGAGCTTAGACCAAGGGAAAACGAAATGATTTCTTTGGATCAGGGATCTGCCGCCATCTTCTTCCCCTTCTTCCTTCCTTCTCTGGAATAAGCGCCTATTTGATGGCGCGGCTCTGTCCACTGCCAGAGAGGCTCCCTGTTGTGCCTCTGGGTGAGTCCCTGTTCTGGGAGAGAGGGTCTGTCCCGGCCCCCTGATCCAGAGGCGGTCGTCTGTTAAATAACGAACTGCCTTTCTCCTCTTAGATGCAGTTCCAGGCTCTGGTTTTCACCTATCTTGAACTTGGACAATTGCTTAGAAATTTAAGAATTTGGGGGCAGAGACTCCCTTCTGCTTGCCTTCAATGGGCTTTGCAAAGAGCCAGGACTGTCCTGAGGCTTAACTCACCTCTGCAGACTCTCTTCTCTCTCCTTTGGATGGTGGGAAATGGCGGTTCAGTCATTGCCAGGAAGACCCAACGGGACTGGGTTGAGGGAACGTCTTGACTCTCTCGCCGTCCATCTGGGAGCCGTGCAACATGGGTGGGCAGTTTTGGAGCAGGGGCAGCTGGAGGTCCATACCTTGGGCTAGCAGTGGCCACCTCAAAGCCGGGCGTGAGGATAAGTCATCAATGGAACCAGCTTGTCTCCTGGGATGGTGGGTGCTCCAGCCCTGGAGCTTTCCAACACAGGCAGTCCTTGACTTACAACAGTTCATTTAGTGGCCGTTCAAAGCTACAACGGCTCTGGGGAAAGTGACCATTTTTCACACTTACGGCCGTCGCAAGCATCCCTGTGGTCACGTGATCAAAAGGGCAGAATTGGACTAGAGGACCTCTGAGGTCTCTTCCAGACCAGGATTCTGTGTTCTGTGTTCAAAACTTGGAAGGCAGGATTTTAGACTCCGATTTTCTCCCGTTCCGATTTCTGGCTGGCCAAGGCAGCGCCAGACTCGGGAAGAGGAGCTGCTGTGGGCCTCTTCAGCTTGGCATCTTAAGAGTCCTTCCTCTCCCCCCCCCCTCCATTCTACTGATCCTCCTCTTCCTCTTCCTCCTCTCCTTCTGTTTTTGTTTGCCAATGGGGCAAACAAAGGAGCTGGGAGGGGCGGATGTGTGGATTATTATTCTTGTCACTCTCTCCTGGATATTCTTGTAATTAACTCCAGGCAGTAGGCGTGATTAATCGTCCTCTCCCTCCTCTTTTCCCCAGAACAACTGCCCTGTCAGGTGAATTTAGGCCAGCTTTCGTGCCTGTGGCGGGATTAGAACTCGCCACCTCCCCGGATCTCCAGCCCAAGCGCCTTAACTGCTAGCTAGAGCAAAGCGTCTTGCTGATCTGCTGCACTCCGGTGAAGAGAAATCTCAGCTGGAAAAAAGGGGGCAACCTCACCCTCTGGGGAGCTGGCATTTTTGAGGGGGGGGTGTCTGACCCTGGAGCCGAGATGCCGAGGAATCCGGCCGAGCTGCCTTTGAACCCTGCCCGGCTGCTTCGTGGAAACTTTGCAAGCAGAGAGGCCAACCAGCCAGGTGCTCCCAGCAATTGCTCAAGCCTTGCCCAAGCCACAGAGGGAAGCCTCTCCCCTCCTCTGACTTGGCGGGAGTGTGCGATTGTATCAGGCAGCAGCTGTTGGTTGTGATGTTCACCACAGAGGCTGGAGTCCGGGGGCACTTCCCTGGTGGAACCCCGATCAGCTGGCTTGTAAGCAGGGCGAGGATCCCGATGACGCCCCGCCTACAGCCTTGCCGGGTGCCGAGACACCCGGTATTTAGGTTGGCGTCCAAGTGCATCAAGCGTGCTGCGCTTCCCGGCCGGATTCAGGTGTGGAGCAAAATTCAGATCGAGGTGAGGAAGGGTTGAGAAGAGAAAACAAGGGGGTGTTTTTCCTCTTGTTTCCTCCCCAGTTGACATGCAGCCCCACTTAACCAGGCCAGGCTGCGGGGAGGGCCCCCAGCTTGGAGCTCTGCCCTCCTCCGGTAGAGAAACTGCGTTGAGCAGGGGGTTGGACTAGAAGACCTCTGAGGTCCACCGCTGGGATTCTGTGTTCTGAGTTTGCTCCTCCGCCGGGATTGTCCCGCTGCTGGATCTCTTTGCATGGAGACTTGGGAATTTGCCCAGTAACCGTGTTGGCCACCCCTGGAACGCAGATACCTGATTTGCTCAAGGGAACCCAAAAAAACGTGGCCTGCCATTGCCAAGGATTGGGAACGGTGATGGTTTCGGAATCCGGTGGAAAAGGGAGCCCCTTTCCTCTAGGAGGCGCTGTGCTGCACTCTCCTTTGAATTAAGAGAGGAAACTTTTTTTAAGAAAAACAACAATTAGTGCAAAGCTTTGTTTGGGAAATGGGTCTTTCTTGCTTTTTCTGGTTGTAAATGACAGTTTTTGTAGTCTTGACACTCCTGAAGGGTGCCAGGTGAGAGAAGGGGATTTGAAAAGGGGGGTTTTCCTCCCTCGTCCGGGAGGCCGGCATGGATTGGCGAAGGATGATGGCGTCTGTTCCTCTGTTTTTCTCCTTTCCTTCCTAACCTGCTTCAAAGCCGTGGAAGGACACTTGTGGTTTTGGGCTGGGTTGTTTAAGTGCGGCCCACACCCTTCACCTGCCCCAACATTTGGGAAGACAAAGCCGGCAGATTTTTGCCTTCCTCCTCTGTGCCTCCCACATAATTTTCTAATCAAGTTCTTTTTTCTTTTGTCCCCGGGATAGTTGAAAATGGGTTGTTATGTTGTAAGCTTGTTTCCAGCGCACAGGAGCGGTGTCAACAAACAGGCATTGTTTGCACCCTGGCGCCTGAAAGATTTTGCAAGGAACAGAAGCCTTCTCTGAATGTTTATGTTCATTGCCTTTTTGTTTGTTTGTTTGTTTGCTTGCTTCTGTTCCTCTCCTTTTATTTGCAAACTCGTTGGTTTCTTGGTGAAGGGACTCTTAAAGCAGGGCCAAGACGGTTATATGTGCATTCAAGAAGCTGCTGGCAGGTTTTTCCAGTAGCAGGCAGTCCCAAAGACAAGGAGTCATGCCTAGTTGGCTAAGGCTTTTGACAAGCCTTCTGTTAAACTGCAGTTTGCTTGTCCCTTTTTTACGGAACATTTCTGTAAGCTGTTAGTCACTCTGGAGTCAGCCAGCACAAAATGGAAAATATATGTATATATACAAATAAATAAATATTGTGGAGCCCTTAGTGTCTCTGAGCTGGGCTGTTTGCAGATGTTTCATTACCCAACAGGATCAGCATCCATCTCAGAACTGAATAAATATTCTTGAAGGAGACCGTGGCTATTGATTTCAGGCCTGCTTCGAGAATATGAGGACAGTTGTATATAGCGTGTCCCTCATCAAAACCAGGGGAAAAAAGATTGACCTGGAACGGCTCTGGAATTTCACCCCCAGAGTTTGCATTGCAGCTTATAAGTTGGGAATTCCACCTTCCTGGTTTGGAGGCGATTAGTGGTGAGGCAACCCACAAACACACACTGCTTTCAGAACACACTTGCAGCCTGGCAGGCTGAGGGTGGTCATCCAAGTTGCCAAAAAGGAGGTAAGCGAATTAAGGCTGAAAACCAAACGTGGTTATTGTTTGTTCCCTTAAGAGTTCCTAAACCAAGATTCCTGCTTAAGAATACGAGTTCCTTTAAGCTATGTGTGTGTTTGTGTTTGTGTGTGTGTGGCCGAACACCTCACTCCCATCCGCTGTGGCAAGTGGCATCCAAACAATAGCCGATGAATCGAAGGATTGTGTTGTTGGCACAATCATACATTGTACAAATTGCATTATTCATGCAGGCCATGCCATTGTGGGTGAGCCGAGATTGTGATGCTGTTTGAGGCGCCCAAATCCTGCAATTTACATTTATGTCCCCATCAGTCAATTTTGCTTTTCCTTCTTTCCATCCTCTGAGCTCTGAATTGGGTGGATAATCCTTTTTTTTTATTTCCTGTCTTTCAGGTGACTTGAAACTGTCTTTCCTTTGACAGTAAGGAAAGGGGGGGAGACGTTGCACCTCAAGGGCCCCAAATGCCAGCTCAGAGAGACCTTTTAATTCCTTTTCCAGCTTTGCACGTCTTTGGTTTGATTTTAAAAGCTTATCAATGCAACCTCTTTGCTGGAATGGGCCGTGGGTTTATTTGTCTGCTTTCCCCTCTAATACGGAAATGAGATCAGGCAATTCCTCTGTACTTAGAAACAGCTCCGGAGTGATTTATGGATGGTTTTCTCCCCACCAGCCAAAATGTGCTTGTTCTTCCATTTTCAATTTTCCAGTTTCAAACACCTGCCTTTTCACAAATGTGTTGTTTACTGTTTTTTTTCTTTTAGCTTTTTTTACTGCCCCCTGTGTGGTTTTATGGCTTTCACCCGAGCTCTTTCTCTCTCCCCCCTGAATAGATTGGGGTGAAGATAAAATAATTTTTTTAAATGGCTTTGTCCCCTTTCGGCACACAGCAGTCGGTAGGTGTGCGAATGCTGCTTCGAGTGCTGGGTTCGATTTGCTGGCTGAAAGGATTTTATTGACTTATTCCGATGCAAGCTGGCAGTGCAAAATTTGCAATGAGCCAATTTTTTTTACGAAAGGTTGAGGTTGGTGCCCGGCCCTTTGCTCTCTAGGGAGCAGGGAACTCAGCCAGGGAGGCTCTTCCTCCACCTGCGTCCGGCTGGAGCAGAGTCCATGTCCCAAACCTTTGCCCCTCACGTGGAAGGAAGGCTGAGTTGAGTAATCATGAAGCTGCCAGAACAAGAGTAACTGACATCTGCTTCCTTCCGGAGCCATTGTGCGCGAAGAAGCAGTCCAGTCCAACCCCAGCCATGCAGAAGGCTTTCTGCGTCTCCTGGTGGTCCCCTTTCCAGGCCAGGAAATGCTGCCTACGTAAAGGGGGAAGCTGGAGCGGAATTTGGCTGCTGCTGATTGAAGCCCCCCCCCCGTCTCACTGCACTGTCTTAGTGGTCTCCTTTCCGGGTACCGGTCAGACCGATGGGTTTTTAATTTATTTTGGCAGTTTTTGGGTTGGGTTTTGAAGAAAGGAGACAAAATTAAGCCAACTGGGTGCTTATGGAAGAGCCGAAAGAGGAAATTGTTGAAAAAGGAGAGCTATGTTTTGACTCGCTTTGTATTGGAATAGTTGTTCGTCCATCCATTTCGATGAAGACCTTGACATCTTGTGGGTTATGGGCCATCAACGATGTGTCCGTAGGTGGCTAATAAGACCGATGTTAGCATGGAATGTTCTGCCACATACTGAACAAAGAAATGTAGACACTGTTACTTCAGCATTTACAGCTCTGGCTTTGCGGAGTGCTCGCTTCTCTTGTGCCAAGATTGTCCTTCTGTGTTCATATGTCTGGCAACCCTGGTACACCAAGGTGCGCCATGTCGGTCGATCGTGCGCCAGAAGTTCCCAAGAGATGGTGTTAATATCCAGGGACTTAAGAGAGGCTTTCAACGTGTCTTTGTATCGCTTCTTTTGTCCCCCGTGCGATCGCTTTCCTTGAGACAGCTCACCATAGAAGAGCTGTTTAGGGATGCGATGATCTCGCATCCTTACAACATGGCCTGCCCAGCGAATCTGGGCTTTCATCAACAGGATAGACACAGTGGAAACCTGGGTTTTTTTCCCCCTCCTGGCTTTGATACATTTTGCAAACGTGTTCAGCTTTGGGACCTTTGTTAACATGCCAGGAGATGCAACATGTAGCTGGAAAGCATCAATAAACGGATGAAACGTAGTATCCAGGACAGCCCAGGCGAGAGAGGGTGGCTGAGGCCTGCATCTCTCTCCTGAGGCTCATCTGGATTTTGATGGAAGGTGAAATGGCTGCATTGTGGAAAGAATTGGGGTCTGTCTCGAACTCGGCTTGGGCCAGGAGGGCAGGGAGGCAGCTGTGAATTGCCCAGGCCTTCATTCTGAAAAGGAGGGGGTGGGTGGGTGGGCGGGGATATCTTGGTGGTCTCCCATCTGGGAATTGGCGAGGGGATTGAAGAGTTCCCTCCCTCCCCCCATCCCTCCCTCTGCCCCTTCTTTCCTCTCATCTTCCTTCCTTCCTCCCTCCCTCCCTTCCATCCATTTTCCTCTTTCATCTTCCTTCCTTCCTTCCTTCCTTCCTTCCGTGCATCTTCCTTCTCTTCCTTCTCTTTCTTCCTTCCTGCCTCACCTTCACCACGGCTTCTCTCCTCCCATCTGCAGGATGTTTCAGACCTTGTACAACTACTTCTGGTGGGATCGGCTTTGGCTGCCAGGCAATCTGACCTGGGATGACGTCCAGGGCCTGGATGACCAAGTCTACAGCAAAGCCGCTCACCTCTACTACACCATTCCTCTGAGCTTTGTCTTCCTCATCGTCAGGCACTTCTTCGAAATGTGAGTAGCCCTGGAGCACCAAGGAGAAAGATGGCAGATTCCCCTTCCTTCCATCCCTCCTTCCTCTTCCTTGTCTTTCTCTTTCTTTCTTTTTTTTCTTTCTTCCTTCTTTCTTTCTTTCCTTCCTTCCTCTCTTTCTTGTCTTTTTCTTTCTTTTTCTTCCTTCTTTTTTCTTTTTTTCTCTCTCCTTCCTTTCTTTCTTTCTTTCTTTCTTTCTCCGTCTCTCTCTCCCCTTCCTTCCTTCTTTCCATTTTTTTCACTCTTTTTTCCTTTCTCCTTCAGCTACGTCGCCACCCCCCTGGCTGGGCTCTTGAACGTCAAAGATAAAACCCGATTAAAAGCCAGCCCCAATCCGGTGCTAGAGAAATTCTACTCCACGTCCTGCAAACATCCCAAACAGGTAAGGGGGCCAAGCGGCCTCCGCAGGGAAGCGCTCCCAAATTCAACCGGCTGGCTGCAGAAACGGAGCCTGAAAGAGAGGGAAAAAGAAGGAGACCAGCTTCCGGGGTGTGAATTGTCGCCCGCCTGCACAACCTCCCACGCAACTGACTTCTCCGAGTCTTCTTTCTCCCGGCAGGCGGCGGTCGAGGCGCTGTCTAAAAAAAGCGGCTGCACCCCGCGGCAGGTGGAGCGCTGGTTCCGGCGACGACGAAACCAGGATCGCCCCAGTTTACTCAAGAAATTCCGGGAGGCCAGGTAGCCCCCGTGCATGATGGGAAAAGTTTTATTTCGATGCCTCGAGAAAACTACGGTCAGGAACTAGTTGTCTGTTTCTTCCCTGACCTTCTGGCTTTCTCGCTGCGGGGATCGAAGCTCAGTTTTTCTGCGGGAAATCTTCCATACTGGGGGCAGGGGGAGGCTTTGATTTTTTTCCCCTCCTCATCTCCAGATGCTGGTTTATTTTTAAACGAGGCTCAAAATCTGACATGCTTGTAATCTGCGGAGAAAATGGTTTTGCACAAAGGGGGAGGGGGGGAGAGATCAAGAAAATCAGAGTTTGCAAAAATGTAGTGGGGGGAAAAAAAGATAAAACAGGGTGGATTCAGCAAGGATGCCCAAAGCTCAGCTGTAGGAAAGGAGGGGGGGAAACCTAGAAGATGGGGAGGGGGCACTGACTAGCAAATTGCAGATTGTGTTTAATAATTCTCATAAAATAAACTTGACCGCCACTAAATGGAAACTCAATTTTTGATTTGATTTGGAACAAAAAAAACCCCTGAAAGGCCCCTGATAGGTATAGGATGCAGATTGAGGCCCCCTACCGGCCAGAGCCAGGCACTCTGCATATGGCCTGGGGCAGTCTTGACGCTCTTGAAGTAAAATCTGTTCAGAGAGAAAAACAGCAGCCAAATAACAACCCCACTTTGTTGCTTCCTTTTTTCAGTTGGAGATTCACGTTTTACCTTATTGCTTTCATTGCTGGCATGGCTGTGATAGTGGATGTGAGTACGGAGTCAGAAGGACTTAAAACACCTTTCTTAATTTGTCACTCTTTTAATTTGTCACTCTCCGTAATTCCCCGGTTCCTTCCTTCTAATGGGCTTGTCTCTTTTTTGTGTGTGTCTCTCTCTGTGTGTGTTTTTGTGTGCTGCAGAAACCTTGGTTTTACAACGTTGAAGAAGTTTGGGATGGCTACCCCAATCAGGTGAGGGCATTTTTCACCAAGAATTTCTTCTGAAAACGTCACGTGCATTTTTAAAAATAAAAGTGTAAACCCAAATCAGGGGAAATCAACATTGCAAAGAAAGGGAAAGCTAAATCCATATATTTGCAACCCTGTAAAAAATCTAGAGGATTTTGCACCCAAAAGGGGGGGGCTGTCCTCCGAAACGTTATTATGCACCTATTATTTTTGGGATATTTTTCCCCTCTTTGGATTTACAAAGAAGAACAAAACTTGTGTCTTTCTGGCAGGTCTTGCTTCCTTCCCAGTACTGGTATTACATGACCGAGCTGTCGTTTTATTTGTCGCTCTTGTTCAGCGTTGCCTCAGACGTGAAGCGGAAGGTGAGCTGGCTGGAGGGGGGTGTGGGGGGAAGCCTTGCAGGGTGGAAAAACAGATTTTAGGGGTCAAAAGGAGAGATTTACCTCCAGAACGTTCGTTGATGGGGGGAAGAGTGCAGGTTGGGATCCTGAGTTCGGATTGTGCCCCTCTGATGACTTCTGAGCAGAAGAGATGGTTTCCTAGAGAGGAGGAAGAAGGAATTCTCCCCCTCCCCCACAAAAGTGCCTCTTCCCAGACCCCCCCCCATCGGGTCAGGGTCTCCCCTTCCACCTCCATCTCTTCCTTTCCTTCCCTTCCATTTGGGGACAGGATTTCAAGGAGCAGGTGATCCATCACGTGGCTACCATCGTCCTGATCAGTTTCTCCTGGTTCACCAATTATATCCGGGCCGGGACCCTCATCATGGCCCTGCATGACGCCTCCGATTACCTGCTGGAGGTGAGAGAGAGTCAGCCAGGATATTGGGGCTTCACCCACTTTGGGTCCCTGGGGCATCAAAGCAGCTCCTTCACCTGCTCCTCTTCCTTCTCCTCCTCCACCTTCTCCTCCCCTTCCTTCCTCCCTTTGTTCCTCTCTCTCTCTCTCTCCCTCCCTTTCCTTTTCTCCTCTTTTTCTTTCTCTCCCTCCCTTTCACCTTCCCTCCCCCTTCCTTCCTTATCTTCCTTCCCTCCCTCCTTCTTCCCTCCCCTTCCTTCCTTCTTTCCTTATCTTCCTTCCCTCCCTCCCTCCTTCCTTCCTTCCCTCCCTTTCATCTTCTTCCTTCCTCCCTCCCTCCCTTCCTTCCTTCCTTCCTTCCTTCCTTCCTTCCTTCCTTCCTTCCTTCCATCCATCTTCTTCCCTCCCTCCCTCCCTCCCTTCCCATTTTGGATGGAACCACCTTATATCTCTTTGTTTACAAGAAAGTAAGCAAAGGAAGTAAAGCCTAAAAGAAGGTAAAAACGGCCATGTGCCCACATTCCCTTTCTTTCCCTGCTTTGCAGTCAGCCAAGATGTTCAACTACGCCGGCTGGAAGAACACCTGCAACAGTATCTTCATCGTGTTTGCGGTCGTCTTCATCATCACCCGCTTGATCATTCTTCCTTTCTGGTGAGGTTTTCATGGGGTTCTTCAGGGGGGTGGAGAGATAAAATGGCACCGATTAAAAAATAAAGGAAAACTTTACGAATTCACAGATAAAGGAATTGAATATAGGGTCTTTTATCCTTGGCAAAATACGATCCATTTTGGAATTCAGTTTCTCTATAAATGTGTTTTATCCCGTTTGGAATTATTTCATCTGTTAGGTTAGTAAATAGTATGGTGCCACTTTTTTTTAATTTTAATTAAAGTCTTATTAAAAATTACAGAGGTAAAGCTAAGCAATACACCACGGGCTGTACTGATTACAAACTACGTTAAGCCACAAACAAGCAAACCCAGTTTGGGCATTGAGTTACATGTGAACCTCATCTTACTTTTAAATTTTTTTAATTCTCCCTCTGAAACTGGGGTGGCCTTTATCAAAAATTGCCTTTGCAGAAGTTGGGAGAGTTTTCCTCGTGAAAACTCTTTGCAGAGATTAAAGAAAGGGAAGACGCTTTAAAATAGGAACATTTAAAATATTAATCCTTTCTCTGGTTCCTCCCCAAGGATTCTGCACTGCACCATGATCTCCCCTTTAAAGGTGTATCGTCCCTTTTTCGGCTATTACTTCTTCAACAGCATGATGGTGATCCTCCAATGCCTCCACGTATTTTGGGCCTACCTTATCATTCGCATGGCTCAGAAATTCATAACTGGAAAGGTAAGAAGGAAGTTTCTGGGAAGCTTGGAGGCGGAAAGAGGGCAAACTTTGGGCAAACTTTGGAAAGGGATCCTCCCCCCCCCCCAAAAAAAACCCCACATGGAAGGACAGGACTTTGGTGCTAAAAAGGAACTGGCAAATGTCTCAAGAGCTTGTTGTTAAGCTTGTTGGCAAGCTCAGATTGACCATCTTGGGTTCCTCTGGTTTTATAAGAGCTTTGAACTCTATAATAATTTTTTTAAATTAAAAAAATCAGCAGAAAACGCCTGGGGCCACCTCAGTTTTTGAGGAGAGCGGGGTGTCCTCTACGGTGGCCCCAAATCAGAAAGCATCTTTGGTGACTATCCAACGTTATTAAAAGCCTCGCGAGAGGCAGAAATGTGCTCTTTCTTGAGGGGGTGAAGGCTGGTCCTCCATTCCCAGCACCGGTTTTTAAAATGGCATAAAAGGCTCTTGTCTTTCCCTCCGCTTCTCCCCGCAGATAGTGGAGGACGAGCGAAGCGATCGGGACGAAACAGATTACTCCGTAGAGGAGGATGAAAAGGCTGTTGCTGCGGACACCGTGCCCAGCGCGGGAACCAAAAATGGCCCTCTTGCCAACGGGCACCCCATCTTGAACAATAACCACCAGAAAGTAGAATAATTCCCCACGGCTACGTTTTTTCCCGCGGCCCCCCTCTCTCTTTGGCCCCAGCTCATCCCGAGTCCATTGCGCGACGCGTCACCTGAGACTGGAGGGTGTTTCGTTTCGTGGCCAAGCCAAAAATTGGAGGAAAAAACGGCTTAAATTCCAGTACGAGGGTCCTCGGCCTACGATGATCCGGGACGATTCGCCCCATTTTTTCCTGTCACTTTCAGGGGGAGGCCGTGCTCCTACCGCCTGCGTATCTGATTCAGAAGGAATCGTTTCCCCTCGGAAGGCGTCCCCCGCGAGACCCCCCTCTTCCTCCTCCTGTTTGCTCCCCTAAACTTCACCAAACTGCCTTAAAAATCACATCGGGGAAGCCAAGATGAACGTCGGTCCTTCCCTCTCTAATTTTCCCTCCCCACTTCCTGAACCCCCAAATGCAAACGAACCCCTAAAGAAGGGCAGGGAAGGAGGGGAAAAAAGGCCTCTCTCCCCATCACGGTGGTGTCCGCAGCTGCCAGATTTGCACCCATCAAGATCAAGTGGAAAGTTCATCGAAGTTGCCAGTCCTCATGGAGAATTATGCCCTGTGCCAAAAGGCCAGTGGGTCAAAAAAAGGGGGATTTTTTTTTTAATTTTTTTGGCTCTCCTGGAGCGAAGCGACATCGGCTGGGAATCTCTGCTGGGCCCGTCTGGTTTCTCAAGAGGAGCCTGGATATTTTTTTGAGGGGGGGTGGGTGGAAAATGGGCCCTCGGCTGCTTTTTCTGCCCTTGTGCACCTTGTCCTGTTTCGATTTTTCTGTCCCTTGGATGCTGCAAAATTTGGGGAGGTGGGTTTGGTGTTTCGAGCCGAAATAGGAATTCATGTTTTGGTCTCGCACACCTGGGGCGAGAAGGGAAGGAAAAAAACCCCCTCCCCTGCCTTAATTTTCCTTCTCTGCCAACGTCTTTCGCTTTATATCCTATAATAAGCCATGTTTCCCCCTCTGGGGGGGTTGAGGGCGGGTGGGTGGGGGAGAATCTAGCTTTGTCAGCCACACCAAGCCTAAAGTTGGGGTCAGTTCCTGTCCCCAAGATCAACCTTGCACATGGTTTTTGTAGTTGCCAAGAGCAGAAGTGCTGGAGAAGCCACCGCCTTAAATGTGGGGAAGGGGCAGGTTGGAAGAGCTGGATAGAAAGGTGGAGAGCAGGTACGCCTTTTTTTGGAGGGGGGGGGGTTTGGCTAAATTCAATAGGTCAACCACAGCCTTGGGTGTTAAAAGCCAGTGAAGGTTTTATTTGTTTCTTTGCAAAATGCTAATTTTTCTCCCTGCGCCCACCATGTCCCCCCTGTTGGTCCTCCGGGGATGTCAGTCCCACCCGCCCCCCTTCCCCTCTTTTTTCCCATCCTGACTTTTCAAAGCAAAAAGGTACCATGAACTCTGGAGATCTTAATTAATGTTTAATTTATTAGGTAGGCTTTTCAACTGTAGCCCAGTGGGAAAACGCGAAAGGAAATGATGGCATGGATTTCAGGCTGGTCTCAGAATGGATGAAGGGTATTCTGGCCCAGCTGACCAGCTGAAATGGCAGTATTTTTGGGGGGTGGGGTGGGGGTTAATTTGGGGTGGGGGAGGGACACGAAAGGACAACTCATTATCTTCAAACCAAAATGTTTTTTTTTAAAAAAAGAAAGTTTAATTATATTAAAACTTCAATTAAACTAATAAACTTCTTTAAAAAAAAACCTTGATGTTTATATTGTTATTCCTGGAGGAGGTTGGAAAATAAGCAGGACTGTTTTATTTGTGAATTAAATTTATATGCCAACCTGTCTCGGGATCAAGTGATTGTTTTTCTCTCGGCTTCAAGGTGTTTTTTTTTCCTGCTCCGTTTTTTCCTCTCTTAAATGTGTTTTGCCTTCTAAGGCTCTGGGGATAACTTCTGTGCTTGTTTTGGAAAATAATCTTAAAAAGACAACAAGGTGGAAGAACAGAACATAGTGTGGTTCATCAAGGACTCTGCTTTGGAAAATGTTTAGGGCGTTTGCTACAAAAGAAGAGGACTATGCACAGCATCAGCTTATTTGATGCTGGTTTGTTGTTAGCAAAGATAGAGGAGCTTTGCCGGGGGGGGGACATAATGTGGTCAAAGACGTCCCCCCTTAGATTTCAGAAGCTGTTGTAAAATCGGGTCAATTCAAAGCAACTTTGAACCGCCTTTAAGAAAAGCTCCCCAATTACTTCATTTATTTTATTTTTTTACCCCAGTCCAGCACTGATGCTATTACCTAGTTTGGTCATGAAACGTCTGCAAGAAAACCACCCAGCTCAGAGAGCACCAAGGACCCCCTCATTTCAACCCAGAGCTACAATTATTCTCCTTTAATTTTGCCCTCCCCTCCCTCTCTCGGTATCGAAAATCCGTGCCCAAAGTTTTCCAAATAAATTCTCCAAAACGTCCGTTGTTAAATGAAACATTGGTTAGCTGAGTTGCGGCAACCTTTTCTTGCCACAACTGGGAAGTCAACCTCTTGAGGTTGTTAAGTTAGTAAACACAGCCGTTAAGCGAATTCGGCTTCCGTATGGGCACTTGGCTTGTAAGGAGGCCACAAAGGGAGATCATGTGACCCTGGGACACACTGCGACCGTCATAAACACCAGTCGCTTGCCAAGCGTCTGAATTTTGATCATGTAGAGCAGTGGTTCTCAACCTTTTTAATGTCGCGACCCCCAACCGGTCGTAAGTCGAGGACTACTCAACTGGTGCAGCCCCGTTTGCAGAATGGGACTTTTGGCGGGCTCAGCAGGGCAGAGACAGCCTGGACAATTCCTATTGGCTTTTGAAAGCCAATAGAATTAGACTTTATTCAAGAGAGTCTATTCTACTGGCTTTCAAAAGCCAATAGAATAAAAGGGAGTAGCACAGCTAAGGAAAAGGGGGGGAAATGGCAGACTGCGTTGTTTGGCGACCCCCGTGAAATGGTCGTTCGACCCCAAATGGGGTCCCGACCCACAGGTGGAGAACCACTGATGTAGAGGCTGCGATGGTTAAGTAGGCCAAGCAGTTGCAAGTCTCTTTTCAGTACCATTGTAACTCTGAACAGTGACTAAACAGTGTCGTAACTCAAGGACTAGATTTCTGCGGTGGAATTATGAAAAACGTGTTATTTTAATAAAGACTGGATTTTCTTTATTGCTTTACAACATCCAATTGGGGATGGGCACAAAAAAACCCTTTAAACAGAGGTCAACACGGGGAGCTCCCCCCCAGCTGTGCTCAATGGGACCCACACGTGGGGCGAAGAGACGTGAACCACGGAAAGACGGGGGGGGGGGCGAAGAGTGCTGGCAGGACAAGTCCCACTTTCACCAGTGGGAGGGGGATTTTGGGAAAAGAGAGGTCTCTTTCCCCCGTGGGGAAGGAAACAAAACTTTTTACAACAAGCGGCCTCGGCATTCAATGGCACCACAACAACACAACAGTTTTTTGCCTTCGACACTTCCTACTTCGTAGTTGTAATCCCAGGTGAGTTCCGTCCCGGCCCGGATTCTCCTACAAGGAGAAACCGGCAGATTATTATGTTTTTAAGCCATGTTTTTCGTCGTGTTTTTTTAAAATGTTGGGCCCGTAAAAGCCAAGATTGAGCAAGGAAGGGACTGAAAAGGGAGCGCGGGAAAAGGGGGTCTGAGGTTTTCTGAAGGAGGCCGTTGGGATGGCAGGTCTTCCAAAAACGGGGCCTCCGTTCTGCGGTCTGTGAAATGGGCGCAGGAGCACCTCGAGCTCTGTGCTGATGGAGAAAGAAGACTTCCACCCTGCTAAGCCATGAATTTGTTAAAGGTGACCCACACATTTCATGCCAGAATCTGATGCTTTGGAAGGTTTTTCCCCCCCCTCCCCTGCCTTTTCCCCTCTGCAGTCAGCCCTCCCAGCCGGCAGGGAATTTACAAGCGCATAGTAGAAAAATGAGAAAATCAGCGCGCAGCTGATTCTTTTTCCCCCCTGTGGAAGGCTCAGAAGTGCTGGTTTCTTAAAAGAGTTTGGGGGGTTTCCTGGGGGGGGGAGGGAAACAGCCTTTGGACAAGCTTCTTAAGCGCCCACCTGGAAAGGAGGGGAACCCCACTTTTGTGTGCATGTGTGGGAGGGTGAACTCGCTTACTTGCTGGCGAAGAAGGCCACCCAAGGAAAGCGGAGGTCGTGCGTGTCCACGAAGACGTTCTGGACGAAGAGGTTGGGGCTGCAGCTATGCTGGGGAAGGGGAGACGGAGGAGAAGGAAAAAAGTCAAAAATCTTGGCCAGGAATCGCTGGAGAGGGGGCAGTCTCCCAGGGATGAACCAGGAGGGATCCGGGGAGGGGAGGGGCAGCCAATCCAGGCCAAGCCCAGGGAGGGGGCACCCCCGGGTCTCTCTCTCACGTTGAGGTAGCGGCCCAGGTTGCCCTCCAGCTTGGCGTCGATGATGTAGCAGGACTCCTCCCCGTCGTAGAACTGGCGCGTGTTCCTGCGGAGGGCCGCGCCCTCCCCGGAGGCCAAGTTGGTGGACTTGATGGCGATGCCGTGCGTGGATTTCAAGGCGAAGCCCCGGGTGGACTTCACCGCCACCTGCCTCTTTACCTGCCCTGCAAGAGAAGCGGGGGTGTCTGTGTGTCCCGTGAAAGCTTCCTGCTCCAACAGCGGGTCGGGCTAGATGACCTCCAGGACCCCCTTCCAACCCGGCTAGTCTCTGTTCTTAACCAGAGGCAGCTGTGGGAAGTCGGGATCCAGCGGCACCCGACAAGAGTGACAGCGCTGGAAAAAGTGCTCTCGTCACGCGACCAAAACCGCACGGCAATCTGCCTTGGAACTTATGCTAGCCTAAAGGGAACCTCCACAGCCAGGGGCAGTCCATCTCACCCAGCCGGGAAGGCACGCTCTTCTTCTCCTCGCGGGCAGCCGCTTCTTCCTCCGAGCCCGACGAGATGGTCTGGATGTCGTCGCTGTCGTTGGGGTTGACCTGGACGGGCCCCGGGGTCAGCCGGACGTTGTCGCCGTCGCTGTCGGTGCTGCTGGAGAGCATCAGCACGTCCTGCCGAGGGAAAAAGAGACCTTCCCAGTGGTCCCCCTTCCACGGGGGGAGGGGGGAAGAAAGCGGCCTCTGGATTGGAAGACCTCCAAGGTCCCTTCCAGCTCTCTTATTCTGTATTCTGAGCAGGGGGCTGGACTAGAGGACCTCCAAGGTCCCTTCCAGCTCTCTTCTGATGGATCGATCGTCCTTCGCGGAGATCTCCTTCTCCACAAAAGTAGGAAAACTCAAGAGGGTCGAAGGAGGAAGCTCCCCCACGAACGAATCAGGAATAAAAGAGCCCCCAAATTCTGGTTTTGAGAGGCTCCAGATAGGGAGACTTCGAGCTGCTTAGGAACCCACCCACCCCCTTTTTCCTGCCCATCCCGAAACCTTTGAGCGGCCGAGCTGGGTCCCCCTCCTCAAATGTTCCGGCAAGAGTCGAGGCTTGCAGGAGAAGCCCCCCCCCACTCACGTCAGGATTCTGCCCCTCGGAGTGTCTGCGGCTCTGGTGCGAGGTGGTCTTGCTGGGGGGCCGCCGGGCCCCTTCGGGGATGGGCGGGTTGGGGTTGTAGCCGTAGACCCGGCTGGTGTGGCTGGGCCTGAGAAAGAGGGCAGGGAGAAGCGGGGCTGAGCTCCAGAGCCGTGGGGGAGCCCTGCCCTGCGGGGGGGGGACGCCAAGAGGCGGGTTATTTGCCAAGGTTTCCGGAGCCCTTCCCCAAATTACAGAAAAGCAGGGGAGTTTTTGGGGGGGGGAGGGAGAAAGGGGCAATTCATTGAAGTTTTGAGAGATGCCCAGGGGCAGCATTGCGAAGGCAAAACAGATTTATGGGGTGCTTCCAGGGAACGACCCCTGTCCGGCAGCAGACAGACACAGCGGCCCATTTTTCCTTCAGGTACTGCTTTTCTGCTTGCGGGGACTCCGGAAATGGCTGAGCTGGGGAAAAATAACATCGTCTCCTTCCCTGCTGCGGGAAGAGATCTCAAGGCCAGAAAGGGTTTATTCTCCCAGGGCTTAAAGTCAGTCAGAGAGCCCCCCCCCTCCCAAAGGTGGGCAAGGAATGCCGAAAGGTCTTACGTGGGTTTGCCTGGATCGTCCGGTTCCTACAGAAAGAAAAAAGAAATTAATTCCGTTTCCTTTCTCTTCCTTCCTTCCTTCCTTCCCTTCTTCCTTCCCTTCTTCCTTCCTTCCTTCCTTCCTTCCTTCCTTCCTTCCTTCCTTCCTTCCTTCCTTCCCTTCTTCCTCCCTCCCTCCCTCCCTTCCTTCTGCCCATCTCCCCTACAAAGTAATTCTGGGCTGCTTTTCAGCCCCCGATTGTCCCCTCTGGACACTCTGTCCAATCGTGGCTCAACTTGTTTTCACTCGCTGTCCCAACAGCCCTGGGGGGGGGTTGGGGGGGTGTTTTCCCTTCCCAGCTGAGCAGGTGGACATTAAAAAAAAAAGCACACACCCACCCAGGACCGTGAAAGCAGGAGAGGCGTTTGATCGCCTGGGCTGGTCAAGGGGGCGGGGACCTCTGGGCTTCCCCACGCCACCCCCCACCCGCCTTCTGAGCAGAGACCCCACCTCTTTCTTCTTGACCTTCAGCTCCCCCTCCGGGCCGGGCTCGTCCTTGGTGGGGTGCCCCCCGGTCTTCTCGGCCTCGCCGGGTTCCACCTTGGGGGGCTTCGCCTCGGCCGCCTCCTGCATGCGGAAGGAGGAGCGGCTGTCGCTGTCCTGGTAGCCGTCGGCCAGGGTGTTGGAGCTGAGCCAGGAGGCCACCTTGTTCTTGGGGGTCTCCTCCGAGACGGGGGGCTTGCAAAAGGGCAGGGGGCCCTCCGCAGGGCCGGAGTCCTTGGAGGCCGTCTCGGAGAGGCCGTTCTCTCGCTGCCCACGCGTCTGCCGGCGGGTGGCGTAGCTGCGCCAGACCGAGCTGGTGCTGAAGTCCTCGTCTTTGCAGAAGTTGTCGTCCGAGCTCTCCTCGTTGGACTCCTCGGCCTCCTCCGAGCCGGACTGGCCGTCCTCGTCATCCTTCAGGTTGACGCCGCTGCTGTCCGAGGAGCACTTGGCCTCGCTCTCGTAGCCCTCCTTCGAGTTCTCCACACTCTCGATGTGGTCCAGGTTGGCGAAATACTCGTCCCCCATCTCCAGGCCCTCCTTGTCCGCAAAGTCATCCGTCAGGATCTTCCCTGCCAGCAAAAAGGGGAGGGGGCGGCTGAGGGCACCTGGTTCTCCCCCTCCCCCCCTGATTTCCCCAGGCACCGGGACTAGAAACTTGCTATTCGCAGAGATAGCCTGTTGTTTTACAGCAGAGGTGGGGAACTGTGGCCCTTTAAAGACTTGTGGACCTCAACTCCCAAAATTCCTGAGGCAGCACGGCTGGCTGAGGAATTCTGGGAGTTGAAGTCCACAAGCCTTAGAGGTTGCCCAGTTTCACACTTACGATCCGTTGCTGAGCCGCCCTCCCCCCAGCTGCACGGGTCGAGAGCTTCCCCTGTGGAAGCGCAGCCTTACCGGCGTAGATGCAGACGAAGGAGCCCTTGGCGATGTCGTCCAGACATCGGATGCCCCAGCCTTTGTTCTGTGTCTTGAAGAGCTGCAGCCGGACTTGCAGGCCATGCTGGACCAGGCGGTTGGTGCACATGTCCAAACTGCACTTGCAGCCTTTGTTGCACTCGTACACCCTGGGGGGAGGATACGGGGGGGGGGGAGAGAAAAAACAGACCTAAACACCGGGGGGAAAGTCCTGGCCGTTTGAAAATCAGAACGAGGTCATGAGTGCCTTTTGGGGGGAAACTTTGGTCACTAAGGGTCCAGTCGTAAGTGGAGGACTTTCCGTACATAGGAATGAGCACCCGGAATGGAAATCCAGCAGGAGCCAGGCTGAGGGTTGGGGTCGATCCTGGCTCGGGCTCCCCCCCAAAAAGCCCCACTCACCCCGTGGGAAGACACTCCTCCAGCCGCTTGTGCTGGTAGCCAGAGTTGTGGTTGAGCTGCCCGCCGGGGGTGCAAGCTGTGGCCTGGACCGTCAGCTGGTGACAGGCGCATTTTGATCTGGGGAGGGGGGAGACAAACAGGGGACACCACGGTAGCTTCTTGGCAGATAAAACCAGATCCCAGGGCTGGATCTGGCTTAAATGCTCAAACCGGGATTTGGACCCCTTTGGAGGAGGTGACCAGGCTGAGCCCGAGGGAGGGAGGGAGGGAAGGGTCAAGCGCGTCACCAGTCTCGACTCCCTTCGGGCGGGAGGGGGGGGAGAATATATGTGATCAATCAATCAAATAGAAGACCAGGGAGGGGGAGGAGGGAGCAGATAAAGCAGAAGACTAGGGAGGGGTCCTTTGGAGGAGGGGGCCGAGACGGGGAAGGGCGCTCACTTATCCCTGCAGCCGTCCTCGCAGTCGCAGCCCACCAGGAACTCTCGGCTGGTGTTGATGAAGACCCCCTTCCCGGGCAGGCGCTCCTTGCTGTAGGCCACCTGGGGCGGGGGGGTGCTGTCGATCTCGTTGACGCAGGAGAGGGGCACGTCCTCCCGGCCCTTGGTGATGTCCGCGATGTAGTAGAAGGGCTTGTAGGGCTGGAAGCGCCGGTCCACCAGCACGTAGGGGTCCAGGCAGAACATCTCCAGGAAGAGGAAGTTGCACTCCGTCTCAAAGAGGTAGCGCTCGATCTCCCCCATGCTGCGCAGGCACAGCCCGCAGGGCGTCTTGTACACCACGTGGAAGCCCGTCTTGCGGTTGAAGCGCCGCCGCGCCGTCATGCGCCGGAAGTCGTGCAGCAGCGGGATCAGCAGCGGGTTGCGGCTGCGGTGCAGGTCGGGCCGGCCGGGGCGCACCCGGCTCAGGCACTTGAAGCTGCAGACGTGGGGCAGGTAGAAGAGCTTCTCCAACGGCGCCCGGTAGGAGGGCTCGCTGGGCACCCGCTCCAGCATGCTGTGGAAGGAGGGCACCGTGCCCGCCGGGGGGGCCTGCGCCCCGGAGAACCTGCTGGGTGGAAGGAGAGGGAGGGAGGGGGGCAGCGTCAGAGAAAGAGGACCGAGCGATCCAGGAGAGCCCTGGAAGGGACCTGGCAGGTTTTCCAGTCCAACCCCCTGCTCAAGGAGACCCTATACCATCCCAGACAAGTGGCTGTCCAGTCATAAAAACCTCCAGTGACGGAGCACCCACAACTTTTGGTGGCAAGCTGTTCCACTGGTTAATTGTCCTCAATGTCAGGAAGTTTCTCCTTACTTCCAGGAATTGCTTCTCTCCCTTGATGAGTTCCTGTCCGCTGTTTCTTGTCCGGCCTTCTGCTGCTTTGGAGAACAGGCTGACCCCCTCCTCTTTATGGCAGCCTCCCAAATACTGGAAGGCTGCTATCGTGTCCCCCCCTGGACCTTCTTTTCGCCAGACTGGCCTTACCCAAATCGTGCAACCTTTCTTCGTTATGTTTTATCCCCCAGCCCCCTTTGTTAGGGGGAGGTGCTCCGAGATGGGATCCCCCCACTCTGCAACACTTTGGGGCAGCCCTTTGGCGATGGGACCACTCCTCCATCTTGGCAACAAAGGCAAGGGCCTCTCCAGAGTCCCGGGACAGGGAGGACCCTGCAAAATCCTTCCCAAGCAGGCGGAGACCCTCCGAAGACGGGGCCTCTTCTAGTCCCCAGTCCCAGCCCACCTGAACTGCTGGGTCACTCCTGTCCGGCCGACGGGCGGCATTTCGCTCAGGACGGGAGAGGCTGGGGGGGAGAGGCCTGATCCGGCCGAGCCGGGCCGTAAGAACGAGGTGCTTTTCTTCGCCACCTGCTGTTTCTTTGCCTGAGCAAGCTGGCTCTCCGAGCTGCAGGAGTTAAAAAAAAAAAAAGTTTTATAGGCAGTCCTCGGCTTACAACAGTTCATTTAGTGACCGTCCCTGAAAAAAGGGAATTGGGACCGTTTTTCACCCCGATGACCACTGCAGCCTCTCCACGGTCGAGGGATCAGTATTCAGACACTAGTCAACCGACTCATACTTATGACGGTCGCGGTTCGTCCAGGACCACGCGATCCCTTTCTGTGGCCTTCTGAAGTCGGGGGGGGGGAGGCCCAACTCGCTCAACACCTGTGTGACTAGCTGACCAGGACTGCCTACATTTTGCTCCCAAATCGGGTCAAGTGAAAAGGCGAGAGGAAGCTGCTTTATGGGCGGCTTTGCAAGAGCCCCCCCCCAAGAAGCAGAGACTTTACCCCCCCCCCAGCTTACTCTGTCTCCCCAAAGAAGAGGGGCACTGGCTGGGCGGTGGTGATGGGAACCGGGGGCTCTGCGTGCTGGAGCTGCTGCTGAGGGCTGGTTCCGGTCAGGTCGTGGATGTACTGCACCACTGGGCCCTTGGTCCGCACGGCCCCTGGAGGGGAGGGGAGGGGTAAGTCAGGGATTTTATCCCGGTCCCAGCCCAACCCTACCAGTCAGGGGCTGCCTTTGTTTATTATCCTCCCTGACTTTCCCTCTCCAGCCCTGCGGCTGCTCTTCGGCCGAGGGGCTGAGCGTTGTGGGGAGAGCGACGTACCCACGTTGGGCCGCATCCTCATTTGCCCACCCTGTTTCTTGTCATGGGTGGACGCTGTGGACGTCTTCATGCTGAACATGGGCTCCAGGCGGGTGGAACCCCGGTAGATCCACTCGCAACGCTTGTCATCCTGGCAAAGAAACGAATAAAAAGAGAAAGGCAGAGAGACAAACGCAGAGAGTAAGAGAAAGGGATAAAGAGAGTAAGAGAAAGGGATAGACAGACAGAGAGAGTAAGAGAAAGGGACAGAAAGAGTAAGAGAGAGAGGACGTTGGGCCATGCTGGAAACAGAGGTCAGCAGGGGAAGGGAGCAGAGAAGGGACCTGACCCCGGGGGAGGGTGTGGCCCTCGAGTGGGGGCCCTGAGCCCCTCCTACCATGAAGAGGATTTTGACCAGGCTGCCGTCCACCTCCTCCACGCGCGATTTCCACCAGGTCCCCTCCCACTCGGTCTTGATCTGCTGCCCGCTCTTGAGCAGCACCATCGGCCGGTTCGGGTAGGCGGTGACGTACTCCTCAATGAAATCCCGGCAGGAGACGTCCTCAATGTCTTCCCAGGCCTTTTTGACTGCGCGAAGGAGACCCCACACCAGTTATTTCTACAGGGGGGGCTCGGCTGACCAAAGCTCGTTTAGCGACGGAAGAGTAACCAAAGACCCCCCTACCCCTCCCCCCCAAGCCCAGCTCGTCTGCCCAAAGCAGGACCCAGGAGGGAACGTTCGACTCACGTGATCTGCAGACGAGATAAAGCTCGTGCTGAATGACGTAGGAGGCGTAGCCATCATCGAAGAAGATCAGGAACCTAGAAGAGGCACAGAGAGGAACGGTGAGTTCCGGTTTGCAGCACATCAAGGAGAATCAATGGGGGGGGGGAAATAATAGCAATTTTCCACACTTCAGAAACAAGCTGAAAACAGGCAGGAGCCCTAGTCAGAATACCAGCCCAAAATTAATTTTGCAGTTAATTTTTCTTTTCCTGGGTTGGTCTCCCGCCTTTAGTGAAGGAATCCTAAATAAATACTTCCTGGTCTTCACAAACTGATATTTTTTCCCCCCTCCTTCTGTTTTTAAAACCCAAGAGTGGCTTGCCCTGACCTCATCTTATTCTTGACGTTGGGCATCTCGGCCACGATTCCAGCGTACAGCCAGACCTGGTTCCCATCTTTGTATTTGGCCACAACCCGGCTGCCGACATTCAGCTTCTCGGGAACCGGGTGGCTGTCATAAGCAATGTGGTTGCCTGACAGCAAACTCTTCCCTTTATTGTCGAATTTTACCTTGTATTTCTTCCCAGGACCTAGGGGAGGAGAGAGAGAGAGAGAGAGAGAGGGAGAGAGAGAGAAAGGTTTTGTTTTAATTTAAAGCAAGGCTCTAGTCCTCATGATGATCAGAGACAGATGGCCAAGAGAAAGAACTGTAACTTGCTGGAGAGAAGGCTGTTCAAAATATAGTTCTTTTTTTCATAAATAGAGGCACGGCGATTACATGGGCTGGAGAAAGGATACAACTGTAGATCTCCAGATGTTACAAAATCAAAGAGGGTTAAATAAAACATACAATACTGGTCGAAAAGGGGGAAAAATTACAACTGGTTAATACTAAACTGACTCAAATGTTCTTTTCTTTCTCTTCTTTCTCTTTATGTCTTTCTTTTCCTTCTTTCCTTCCTTCCTTCCTTCCTTCCTTCCTTCATGTTTGTGGTTTTTCTTGCGAATCAATTTCAAGAGACAGCTTTTTGCATACTTGCCAAATGTAGCAACCTCTTGGGTTTAGTGAAGGCCTTTTCACACCGCTCAAGGCTTGGCCAGGCCTGCTAAGATCCCGGGGGCAATTTGAGGGGTCCTTACCCACTGTCTGGATGGCAATCAAGGTGCCCTTATGCCAGGTCTTTGTCCGTTTCTTGCCCAGGACACGGTCGCCAACCGTCAGGTCGCCATCCTGGGTGAGTTCACAGCCAGGGTTGCCTTGCTGTAATCCTGTTGGGAAAAATAAAGGGTTTTTGGGGCAGTATTTCGGAAGTGGTTTGCCACTGCTTGCTTCCCAAAGAGAATGACTCACCCAACTAGCTCTGCACCTAAGGAGGACTAGAACTCATGATCGCCTGGTTCCTAGCCTGCCGCCTTTATTGCTACGCTTAACTGGCTCTTGCGGATGAGTATCAGATGAAAAAAACACAAAGCAATCAACTGCCATATATGGTTGTAAGACAGATAGCGCCACAAGAGCCGGGTCAAATTTATATTTTTGTTTTTTTCTCCACAAAATGAAAGCTCGTTGCTAGTCCTCATGATTTCAAACAAAGACGTGGAAGAGCAAGCAACACCTGCATTTCAGAATTAGGATTTCCCAGGACGGGGCCTAATCCTGCCACAGAGTTCACTATACTTTACCCTACGTCGTGTCCGTTTATTCTTGGGCTCCGTTTTAGACCGCATTCTTTCCCAAGGATATCCGGGTATCAAAGAGACCCCGAAAGACTGCTTCCCCCCCCCCAAGGCAACTGTGTACAGCACACACACACCTCTCTGGGAATCCAGGCTGCCCGTCTTCTTGTTCACCGCGTCCATGAATTTCTGAACGTCTTGAGCGGATTTCCTCATGGCAGCCATGGCTTCTCGGAGCTGCGGGAGAGAAGCAAAGCGCCCATTTGATTTCCTCATGGAAACAGACAAAAGCTGGGAGGAATTCAGGCATCTTAGAAAAAGGAAGTTTGACTTGATGCCGTTTGTGGGTGCCAAGTTAAATCTTTTCGGCAGGGAGAAGACGAGACTGGTGGTCTGGATAATATTATTTTTCACATATCAAACGACAAGCAAAAGCTGGTTCAAAGCAGGATTTCAGCTCAACAGCCCTCACCCAGCGGCACCCACAGGACCAAAGTAGAGTAATCTAATTTTTCCCCCACAAAAGGAAGACCTATTTCATAGCTTCAGTTTACCTGTTGAAAATGCCCACCCACCTCCCTGGGTTATTTTTTTCCTAACTTCCTAACTAGGTTAGTGAATTAAGCTGTCGTTTCCCCTCCCAGTCCCACCAACTTACCAGGGTCTGGTCCTTTGCAATTTTGTTACTCGGATCTGCAAAGGAAATACAAACAAAATGCAGCGTTTTCCAGCCAAAAAGGACCGAAGCACAATTTTAAACCATCCCGGCTAGCGAACAGCTGACAGATGCAAAGTCTGAGCAAACGTGGGCGGATCCCACCGGCTGGCCCACCTGAGTCTACACTCATGATGTCGTCGTCATCTTCGTCGGGGATTTCAATCACTTCCATGGGTTTGCTGGAGCTGTTCTCTGAGTCGGAGTCTGTTTCTCGATATTCCAGCCCCAGGTTGACGTAGATGTCTTTGACCAGCACCTCGCATTTATCCACCGCCCTGGGAAGGAACCGGAAGTAAATATCGGTTGAGGCAGAACCAGCAAATCAGAGCTCCTGGCAGCTTTCCAGGAAATGGGACCAAATACTCGACATTTCACAAGAGTTTGTTTACTGGCCATTCGAAGCTAGAACAGTGCTGAAAAAAAGGACCGTTTTTCCACACAACCAGTATAGCAACCGATTTACATTTATGCTGGCTGCAGTGTCCTGGGGGAGGAGGGGGTCGCAGTGTCCCCTTTTTGTGACTTTCTGACCAGCAAAGTGGGGGAAGCCTGATTCACTTAACAACTGTGATTCCCTTAATGACGGTGGTAAGAAAAGTCACAAAATGGGGCAAAACCCCCCTAATATGTCTCGCTTACCAACAAAAATTTCAGGCACCATTGTGGTTGATACAAGTGGAAGACAACCTGTGCTTTTGACAGGCCTTGAAATGTTCAACGTGTTCCATGTTGTTTGTTGACCATCCCAGCAGTGGTGAAACAGCCTGATTGCTAAATAGTAACTCACCCCTGACAAGCTATGGGTTAGGCTTAAACAACTAAGAGAAATAATACAGAGATTTCCCCTCCCTCGGCGTGATTTGTCCTTGATTTAAGACTAGTCACTTAGCAAACCCCTCAAAGTTATGACAGTTATGTCCCTTGGGTTACTTATGACACAGTTTTGAAGTTTCAATGGTTGGGCCAGAGGACTGACTTATTTTATCATCGTCATAACTTAGACCCCAGATGGGTAAAGGCTCCATGATGGTTATATCCTGAGGACTACCTGTATTTATTCTCTAGTTTTCCACAAATGTACAGGTGTGCCAGAGGCCCAGCTGTTTTGCTTACTTCACCGCGTTTTCAAGGAGCTGGTCCACATGGGCCACTTCAGCCTCCTTCTGCTTCACACAGTCCTCCAGGCGTTCCAGCTCCTCCTTGCGCTGCTTGACGTACTCGGATTTCTCCAGCTCCTCTTCAATCAGCTGCTTGAGGTCTTCCAGGGAGATGCCCATCTCTTCCACCACCTCCCGCTGAAGCTCTAGTATGTCCTCGGACTCCGCCATGACGGCTGAACCTGAAACGGTTCTGAAGAAGAGCGAGTGACACCTGGGGGTCACCCAAGTGGGCTGGGTTTGGTTTTCCCACCCATTTTCTTCTGGTCTCTGTCACAGGACAGATCTTGTCAGCATCTGCGAAGAATATATATGTGCCACAAAAGCTAAGAGATGAAGTCTGTGAGGCGCAGGAATTTAGGAACGTGAGAGAAAGTTCAGACTTAGAACTTAACTGCAATATTTCTCTCAAGACCCTGAAGAGGGGCATCCAGAGTGGCAGGTGGGGTCTACATGCCACAAATTGCAGTTATTATTTGATTTTTTGCTTTTAGGATGGGAAGCTGCTCAGCCCCCAGAAACAAAGGGGCAGGTAGAAAACAGGTATTTACCTTTTCTAATGCATTTTTTTTTTGCACAAATGCAAAATGGGTTGTCTCCTGGGAAGAGACCCCCCCCCGCAATAGGGAGTGCAGACCCTCCAGGTTTTTTTTTGAGGGGGGGGGGACTTCTGCTCTAAATATGTCCATCTCTCCCTTGGCTTTGCAAACCCAAAACCACGGCCCGCCTTTAACTAAGATTAAAGCAAACCAGGGTTAGTTATATGCCTGGGGTGGCTGTGCCCAGGCAAGCTGAGCCTAATGGACATTGTAGTCCAAGACCAGAGAAAGCGGGGGGGCACACCTGAGTCTGTTCATTCCTTCCTGCTCCCCATTCTGCCCCCCCTCCCCTGCGACCCCTCCCCTTTCAGAGCAGCCCCCCCCCAACTCAGCCCCTCCCCAACTCACCTTCTCCCCCCGGGGGCGGGAGAGGAGGGGGGCTTATTTTGTCTGGAACCCAATTAGGCTCCGCTGGGGGGGCTGGAGGGGGGGCAGTTTAGGCAGAACAGGAAATCCATTTAACGTGCTTCCGGGGCGGGGCGTCGCTTGTACCCCGGACGAGGCGGGTGTGAAATTATACGCATGCGCCTCTGGGAGAGCGGGCCGCGCGACGGCGCGGGGGAAAGAACGAAGAGGCCCCGCCCTTTAGTCAGAGGAAGCAGTGCGCATGCTCCGTTCTCTTGTTTTCTTCATTTTCTTTTTAAATAACAGCAGCCTGGCTTTTCAAGTGAAGGAAAACTTTGTATTTTGAATTCTGCAGAGCTGTTTGGCTTCTTCTCTGGGCGAGGAGGAGACAGTGCAGCTTTGGGGTTACAGGACGCCCAAATAAAAGGGGAAGAAAGTTCAGTGAATGCTTGTATATGCAGAGCTAATAAGTTACAAATAAAATTCCATTTACCAGTGAAAAAGGTGTTCAAAGGGGAAAAAAGGCAGCTGTTGCTGCAGAGGCCGCTTCTCAGAATGAAATAGAAATGGAACGCTGGAGGAAAAAATAGTTTATTGTTTTGCTTTTACATGTTGCAAGCAGAAGTGGGTCTCTCTCCACCCTAAACTTGGACACATGCAGAGAAAAGAGGCCTCGTCTTTGAACCTTTTGAGGCCTCCCTGGTGGGTTTTCCCACCCTACAATTCCCTGCTAATCATCTGCCCCCTTTTGCTCAATCTCCAGCAGCCCCTGGAAAATGGTCCAGAGGGTTGAAGCCCTGCTCCTTCCATGTGGCTGTGAGAGAAGGAAGGAAGGTAGCGCTATTAAATTATGCTGCCCTTGCAGAAGATGACCAAGAGCCTTCTGAGGAGCAATAAAACCCAGCTGAGCTGTCCTGGTCTAAATCATGGCTGATCAGCAAGCAGAAACTTGTATACTTTGGGCGTGGGATACAAGCAGATGATGGAGCACAAATGTCTGCCTCCCTTGAGGATGTCGAAGACAGATGCGAAAGCAGAATTCTTGGTCAACTCTGGATTATCACAAACGATCCCCATTTCAGTCTTTCAGACGACCAACTTTCCCCATTGGAAAAGAGGGTTGTATGTGAACAACATTCCCAAATCTATAAATTTGGCCCTGCGTTTCCTGCAGGCCTTGTGGAGCAATGACAAACAGAATAACAAAGCTGGAAGGGACCTTGGAGGTCTTCTAGTCCAACCCCAAAGCCAAGAGAGATTAGGGATGACAATTGCTTTTTTGGAGGCCGCCAGTCCTTTCCGTCGCTATCAGATCAGTCCAGGGGTTCCTCCTCCCAAGCGGAGGTGGGCATGGCCATGTAGGGGTCCACGATCAGTTTGGCGCACCTCACCATCATGACCAGCAGGAAGAGACACATCACGGAGAGGCAGGCCAGGCAGATGCCTTTGTCCACGTCCACAAAGGGCTCTGTTGTGGGACTTTCCATAGCCTGGATACCTTGGCACCAATCTGCTCAAAAGGTTTCCAGCGGATGGAGGGAAAATCTGAGTCCGAGGCTCGGGATTCAAAGAAGTGCTACAAGAAACGAGGCTGGTCTTGCAAGGAAAGGGAGGGCGCTCCTTGGAAGGAGCAGGGGTCCCCTCCGATCCACAGGGACTCCACGCCGGGCACCCGAAGGCTGTTCCTTGCCCTTCCGGAAAGCTGGGGGGCCACGTGGGAGAAACCGGCCTGCTGCTGCCGAGCTGCTCCGGCTCCTCCGAGCTGCCCCTGGAAATATCATGAATACTTCAGAAGGTGGGGCAGCAATACAGTATCACGTTTCCTGCCATCCCAGCGGAAGAGAGAGAAGGAGCCGGAGAGTCATGGTCCGTCTGGAAGGGGGGAATCTGTTTTTCATCCCCACTGGTGTCCAAGGGAGGACCTGGGCAGCTCTGGTGGGACGAGAGGTTTCAGCTGTGCTCCTGAACATGTGCAAAAGGCCTTTTGGCAGGGATTTCCGCACTATGTCTGGGGGTCCTTCTGGGTCTTGCCATTCGTTTGCTGGTGCAGCTGGACGGGAGGCGAAGGAGGGAGGGTTCTCCTGCAGGGCCTTCCAATGCAGCATTTGGCAGCGGCAGCCACAATCTGAGGACTGGACAGGGTAAAGGCGGAGAGAGGCTTGGGCTGGACTACACCTTCCATCCATCCCCCACCGGCCCAAAGGGTCCCTGTCCTTTGGGGTGTACAGAACTGGGCTTTTCCTTCCCTTGGGGGCAGCACAGGGACGTTGCCCCCAACCTTTCCAAATAAGGAAGCACCAGGTGGATTGGCTGAGAATTGGATTGTGCTCCAAGGGAACAGTTAGGAGGGGGATGTACGGTGGTCTTGCGGGGCACCAAAGCAAATTGCATTTGAAGAGGTCAAGCCAGCCCGTTAGGCTGGGGCAGATGGACTCTGTAGTGATTCGCCTGATGGGCTGGGGACGATGGGAGCCGATCCCAGCCCTGCCCTTGAAGGACGGCGGCGTCGCGTGGGACCTTTAAAGCGACGTCACTAGCTGGCCCGTGACGTCACCTTCGCCCCGCCCCTTCCCGGCGCTCAAGCCTCCCGCGGCATCACTTTTCCCCTACTTTTGGGCCACGCCTCCTTCCGCAGCGACGCCGCCGCGGGCCGCACCCACCTAGCGGGGCGAGCCAATGGGAGCGGGCGCTGCCTCTAGCAGCCCGCCCCTCGGTCCGGCCCCGTCAGGGATCGCCCGCCGCCGCCATCTTGGACCTGGCGCGAGTGAGGGGCGGCGGAGTCGGGGTGGGGGGGCGCCCGCCGGTGCAGCCATGGCAACCGCCGCCGCGGAGCAGGGTGAGTGAGAGTCGCTCGGGGAAAAAGGGGGGATGGTCTCAGGAGGGGGCTGGGGGGCTCTCGGCCCTCATTGCCTGCTGGGACTCCCTCTCCCATCTTCCGCAGCCAGCGCCTCCCTGGCTCTCCCAGGCCCTCCTTCCCATGCTCCCCAGCCACACCCGGGGAGACCTCCAGCTCCATCATCCCCCAACTCCAGAAAAGCTGAGGGAGGAGCCCAGGTGCTCTGGAAGACAATTCCTATAATCCCCAGCCGCCGTGCCCAAGCTGGCTGAGCCCCATGGGCCCGGCCAAGCCTTGGCAGGACAGCAGGAACGGCCCCTCGCTGCCCAGTGCTAGAAACAGCCGCCCATTGCGCTAGACTGCCGCTGGGCACAGCTTGTGGGGCGGCCCTTGGAGACGATGCCAAGGAAGCAGGCGGGGCCTGGAGGCTCTCCCGCCAGGGGGTCCTTCCAGGATGGGGGCTGCGGGCTGCCACTCCCTGGGACCCTCAAGACGAGGCCCAAAGGGGGCCGTTTTGAGCAGGGCGGTCATCCCACGACCCTCCTGGGTCCAGTTGATCTCTGCAGGTCATGGGCAGGATCCCAAGTCCCATCGCTCCCAGCCAAAGCAGCAGTGGCCTCCTGGACTTTCTGGCCTGCCTGCTAGGATGGACTGTGCTTGGTTAAATCTCTGCTCTCCTTGCAAAGCCAGATTGCAAAATCTGTTTTTTTTCCCCTGCTGCTGGGTTCCAGTTGCAAAATCCATGCGGTGCTGCTTCGTTCAGGATACGGTGAATAATAGCCAGTCAGTCTACAGAAAGTGTCCTTTAAGAGTTGTGTAGGCAAAGCTGAGCTTGTTTTGGCCCAGAGTTAGAGAAATGAAAGAGTGAGTTGGGTCTTGCCTGTTCAGGGGGTCCTCGCCTTACGACCACGATTGAGCCCAAACTGCTGCTAAGTGAAACATTAAGTGAATTTTGCCCCCTTTTACGACCTTCCTTGCCACAGTGGTTAAGTTAGCAACATGGTTCTTAAGTGAATCCGGCTCCCCCATTGTCAAAAAGTCACAAAAAGGGGATCACGTGACTCCCCCAGACACTGCGACCGTCATAAATATGAGTCAGTTGCCAAGCATCTGAAATTGGATTACAAGCGTCTGAATTTTGATCATGGAGATAGATGCTGCAACGCTCATGTGAAAAATGGCCACGAGCCACTTTTTTCAGGTCACTAAACAAACTGTTGTAAGTCAGGAGTTTATCTGTATATATCTGTAAAGGAAGCCACTCTTTCTACTTCTCTAAACAGCCCTTTTGTTATCCTGAGAAAGGCTTGTGAGAAACTCAAATGGAAGCGTAATTCATTGGTAACACCCTCTCCACACTCAGCAAATTTTTTATAGGACTTAAATAATTCTTAGTTCTTACAGTTACCGGAACTCAAGTGTGGCTTTTAAGATAGCGCAGCTTTTTTGTGATGCAAACTTCGTAGAGAACGCACACACATACACACCCCAGCCGTCTTTGTATACAGAATTATTTTGGAAATTCTTAGGAGGAATATGTCAGTGCTTGGCCAGCCTCTGATGTTTTGTTTCTGGGTTTTGAGACAGACCCCTGGCTCTTTTCGCAAAGACACTTTATTCTGGAAAAGAAGCCACAGCTTCAGATCTTGTCGGCTGTGTATTTAAAGCCCCAGGTTTGACCTGGCATTTGTGGTTTTAAAAAGGTCGGCTTGGTGTAGAGGCTCAATTGCAGCCCTGAGGACTGATAACTACTGCGTTTCATGTTGAAAGGGTTGTGACATCAAGGACTTCTTGTTATTGCCAAATTGCTACTCTAAATGCTTCTGTTTTCATATTGCAGTTCAGTTTGGAAACCAAAAAGCCAGTGGAGTCTGCCTGTAAATATTTATTTATCATAGGTGTAGCAAAATAGAACAGGTTTGGTGTTGTCTGTGCAATTGCGGTATTTTCTTTCAAAAGTCCAAATCTTGAATTTTTTTTTTTCTGCCAGGAAATCAACAGTTAAAATTCTTCTCTGGGAAGAAATTGTGGTGTGTTTTTTTCTGTTTATAGACATTCTAGGAAAATCTGGTGTCGGATCACCTCTGTTCTTCTGATTCGAGATACTTTTTTCATCTTTTTAGCTGCTTTTTAAAAGGGGGGGCTTTTAAAAGTGCTTTAGGTGGTTCCTAGTTTGTTTCTTTGCTTTTGCAACCTTTGTTACTTAATTCAGTTGGGCCTTCTTTTGAATGGGGGTGTTTGGGGTATTTCCTGGCCAGCAAAGCCATCTCCAACGTGCTCCGTTCGAATTGTGCTGCTAAGTTCTTTCATCTGGGCTTCATAATTCAGTGCAGAGTTTGCAATATTTTTTTCCCCCATGCGGCATCAATTTTCTTTCTCAAATTCAATGGGAGTGAAGGAAGCTGTGCGTTCTAGCGAAACCTGTGGCCTCTCAGAGCCTTTGCGTGTTTCCTTCATTTCCACAGTTCAAAGAATTGGTGTGACTTTCTGTGCTCGAATGGGTGACAACCAAGTTAGATCTTGCTTCAGATGTGGCTTACTACTAATAATAAGCCATCCTTTCTTCTTTTAGTGCAATCTTCTGAATGGAACCACAGGCATCAGACTGGGGCCTTCTCCCTCTCCAGGCTGTAATGTCTTTAAGGGCTATAACAGCTGAAACTATTTAATTAACTTGCATTTTTCAGTTTTCTGGAGAAATAATCAGTCTTTGAATTTGTTTCCGTATGTTTGAGACGTCATACAGGTAGTCCTCGAGCTTATGACCACGACTGAGCCCAAAATTTCTGTTGCTAAGCGAGACAGATCCTAAGTCTCTTTTTTCCAGGGCCACTGTAACTTCAAGCAGTCCCTAAGCGAGCTGTTGTAAGTTGAGGACTTCACGTTAGGATGAATGTTTTTACAAGCTGCCCAGAGTCATTCTGTTTCGAGCTGAGCAGCAAATAAGTTCAATAAATAAACGCCCAGCCCAGCCCCTCCAAACACCGTCCCATTTCTCTGCCTGTCCAGAAATGGCCTCGGATGTTCCTTCCTTGGGAGCCACTTCGGGCACGGCGGGAGCAGCCGCGCATCCCGCAGGAAGCCTCAGCCAGAGGAACAGCAAGCGGAGGACGGGGTACGTGACGTTAGGTGGGGTTTGGCCCGACAAGCGGGGAGGAGGGGCAGGAAAAGTCCTCTTGAGTGGCTCAAGGCTGGGCCTGACCCGGAAGGACTTCGCCCGCAATCCCTGTTTTTGTTCCTGTTGCGTTTTAGGCTCGATTTTGATGAAGATAGTGACGGGAACGGCAAATTTCTCAGGTGAGCTTCTTTTCCATTGGCAAGGAAGTTGGGGGGGGTAGAGGCAGAAGAGGATAACAGAGTTGGAAGGGGCTTTGGAGGTTTTCTAGTCCCACCCCCTGCTCAAACAGGAGACCTTGTACCGTTCCAGACATGCGCCTGTCCAGTCTCTTCTTCAAAACCTCCAGGGACAGGAGAGAAAGAATGCGCTCTTAAAGGCTGCTTGATTCAGAGAGAAGGGGAGGCTTCCCAAAACTTTATCCCAGGAAGCTGGGATATTTAACTCAAGCCCTTTCACGACGTCCTTCTCCTTGTTTTTCCAGATGTGAGGATGACCAGCTCTCCACCGACAAAGAGCGGTTTGCGAGGTAAGGATTTTTGCCCGGCGAGGAGAAGAGCCGCAGGGGATCCCTTGAGCCCGTTCCGCAAAGCGAGAAGTGGCATTTCCTGTGTTCAAATATAAGCAGCCTTCTTCCCTGATTCTTTGCAAAACAGTGGCTTTTTAGAAGCCAACATGGCCTAATTACGCTGAGTTAATTAAAGCACCACAGGAGGCTTTAATATCAATATTTTGCTATCCTTTAATATTACGCATCAAAGCTCCTTGCTTTTCCAATGGCAAAGTGGTTGGCTGGAAAAAGAGAGCGGCCGCCGGTATCCAGGTGTGTCTTTGTCATTTATGATTTGCTAGCACCTTGAACTAAGTTCATTGCAAAAAAAAATTTCCCCTCTTTATTTGCCAGTTTTAGGAAGTTGCTTGGGATTTTTGAGAACCATGAGGTTGCTGGCTGGGGAATTCTGGGAGTTGAAGTCCTCTCCTCTTAAAGCTGCTGAGGTTGAGAATCATTGGATTAGAGGCATCATAAAATTAACTCTGCTGAGACTGGTGCTCAAAAGCCTGAGGCTGTGTCTTGTTCCGTCGTTTTCTTTTCTGCTTTATCCTGGAAGAATTCTTGCTTTTTCTTTTTTTCTTTTTTTGCACTGAGGGGCTTGCAGCTTTTTGGGGCAGGGGGCAGAGATTGCCTCCCTGCTTCAGACCCCACCTCCTGAAATAATCCCCTCAACTCCCTCATTGCTCCATCCGCCCTTCCCTCCCTCTGTCTCTCCTTTCTCTCTCTTTTTTCTGCGCTTGTCGGGTCACGCCGACCCCCTCCTCACACTTTGGACTTCTTCCGGTGAGAACCAGGCCTGTCAGTTGGGTTTCCCCTTCTCTTTCTTGGCCTGGGAGGAGAAACCCACCCACCCCCTCCGGAGTTTTAGCTTAGCTCCCCCGTTTTATTTCTAGGTCTGACGACGAGCAGAGCTCGGCGGATAAGGAAAGGTTGGCCAGGTAGGAAGACCCAGGCTCTGGATTCCCCACGCATGACAAACCACAGTTTGTTCACTTCCCCCCCCACCCCTCCTCTTCTTCTGCTTCCCACCCACCACCTTTGCAGCCTCCCTCCCCCCCTTCCCCTTTTTCTTCCTTACTCAAGGGCTCCAAAGTGGATACACAGTTTGGGGGATCGGCCTTCCGGTCGGAAGCCATGAAAAACCGACCAGAAAAGGTAGCAGGCCGGGCTGCTGAAGTCTGGCTGAAACTAGTCGGGGTTTTGTGGACTCATTAAAGTCTCCGGGTCTCCCTTTGAGTTCCATTTTACAAACATTCTTGCTGCCGTTAATTGAGTCACTGCAGTTGTTAGCCACAGGATTGTTAATTGAATCTAGCTTTCCCAATGACTTTGCTTGTCCGGAGGGTGCAAAAGGGGGTCACGTGACCCTGGGAGACTGCAACCGTCATAAGTACGAGTCGGTTGCTGAGTTTGGAGAGACCTGCTGTAAAGCACCCCAGGATGGCCACGTTTGTCTCTCCCGCATCCTCCTCTTCACCCCACCTCCCAGCAGAGATTTCCTCCCTCCAGTGACTAGGGAGGATGGAGCAATTTAAAACTTCGGGGTTTTTTTCCTATTAAATCCGCCTAAAGCTTTTTCTTTCTTCACTACGTCATCCGCCCAGATCCATCTTCCATTCCGTGCTTCCAGGTGCCGGTTTTCTTATTAACTGAATTTCTCTCTCTCTCTCTTCCTCTCCCCTCTGCTAACTCCCACCCCCACAGAGATAGACTGCCTCTGTTCATGGAGGCTCCATTCACAGTCCCCATCGGACCCTGACCTCCAAGCTCTTTCTAAGAGCTTCCCATTGTTGATCGAGGGACAACAGATCCCACCTCCCCACCACCCCCCTGTCCTCCCCACCTGTAATTGGATTTTAATAGATTAAAATTAAGATAGAGATGGATGGATGGACGGACAGACAGAAAGACAGACAGATAGAGATAGACAGATTTTTATGATTGTAAACCACCCAGAGTTACCACGTAGTAAGATGGGCAAGTCAACCGTTTTTACAAATAAATCTGCTTCTCTGTCCCTCAACTGTTTCCAGTGCCACTCTCCTCGAGGCCTTTTCTGCTCTCCTCCGTCTGCATGCCCGGCACGCCGCCTCTTTCCCAGCCTTAACGCCTCTTGGTCCCCCTTCCTTTCTCCTTCCTCCCCTCCCCACCTGCCGCCTCTCCCTCTTTGGGACAAGCCTGGCCGGTTCTCCTTTCTCTGCTCCGCTCTCCCTCCCCAGGGAGAACCACAGCGAGATCGAGCGCCGGCGCCGGAACAAGATGACCGCCTACATCACGGAGCTCTCCGACATGGTGCCCACCTGCAGCGCCCTGGCCCGCAAGCCGGACAAGCTCACCATCCTGCGCATGGCCGTCTCCCACATGAAGTCGCTGCGGGGCACCGGGAACACCTCCACGGATGGCAGCTACAAGCCCTCCTTCCTCACCGACCAGGTCTCTCTCCCCCCCTCTGCGTTTCTGGGTGGGGGGGGAGGATGGGGCTGGACGGTTGTTAGTATGGGAAGGAAACTGATCCGGGGGGGAGGTTTGCAACTCTAGCTGAATTTCAATTTCAATTAATCCGTGGGACGGCTTCCCTCCAGAAGTTGTGGGGGCTCCAACACTGGAGCTTTTTAAGAAGAGACTGGACAGCCATTGGTCTGAAGCGGGAGAGGGTCTCCTGCTCGAGCAGGGGGTTGGGCTAGATGACCTCCAGGGTCCCTTCCAACTCTGTTATTCTGCTCTCCTTTGCAGAGCTCCCTAGTTCTGCTTTGAACCCTTCGTGGCTCCTGGCCGTGGTGTGCAGGAGAGTTGGCAGCCTTGCGGGTCCCCATCAGAGGGGGGCTCCTTGGTCCTGCGCCCTGCTCCCCATTTCAGTTGCTCTCTTCCCCCCCCCCCAGGAGCTGAAACACCTGATCCTGGAGGCGGCCGATGGCTTCCTCTTTATCGTCTCCTGCGAGACGGGCCGGGTGGTCTACGTCTCCGACTCGGTGACGCCCGTCCTGAACCAGCCCCAGTCGGAGTGGTTCGGGAGCACCCTCTACGAGCAGGTGCACCCCGACGACGTGGAGAAGCTGCGGGAACAGCTGTCCACCTCGGAGAACGCGCTGAGCGGTAGGTGTTCCCCACCGGCTCAGCTCGGTTTGGGATGCGAAGAGCCGGTTCTTCTTCTCTGCTGCGGGAAGCAGCCCGGTCCTCATTTTGTGGCTCGGCTTGGCTTCCTCAGGCCGCATCCTGGATCTGAAGACGGGGACGGTCAAGAAGGAGGGTCAGCAGTCCATGAGGATGTGCATGGGGTCCCGGAGGTCCTTCATCTGTCGGATGAGGTACGTTGGAATCCGGCTGTCGTGCCGAAGGGGGCAGCGGGCTTCACTGACATCAGGGGTGTCCAACCTTAAGACATGTGGACTTCAACTCCCAGCATTCCCCAGCCCGACTTAAGCACGCTTTCTTTTAACCACCAATTCTTGCCTGGCCACAACAAGCCAGGATTGTGCTGCTTTGGGACCAAGGACAGGCAGTTAGGTCAGCGGAGGAAGGGGCTCATGTAACACTGGTCACGACACCTTTTGCGGGGGGTTTCCTGTCAGCCCCTGCCAGTTTAGCAGATAGGTGCAGGGGAGGCCTCTGCATCAGCCTCTCTCTGTCCTGGCAGAAAGCTGAAATTCAGATTTATTTTTTAATCCCTTGTCCTGCAGATGTGGGAACGCAACAGTCGATCCCGTCTCCATGAACCGGCTGAGCTACATGAGGAATCGCTGCAGGTAAGGGCTGTCTGCAGAAACCGGAGCAAGACAGCCCGGTTGTCAGACTTCAAAAGGACACGTTTGTTTAGTTGGCTTGGGGGTTTTGTCACTCCCCCCTCCAGATAGTCTATAAACCCTTGCCAAATCTCTTTGCTTTCCAGGAACGGACTGGGTGCCATCAAAGAGGGGGAGCCCCATTTTGTGGTCGTCCACTGCACAGGATACATCAAGGCTTGGCCCCCAGCCGGTAACTCACCTGGTCCAGCAGAGCTTCAGCTGCCTGGCTCCCCCCCCTCCCCGCTTCTGACAGTCTGCTGTCACTAAAAAAAAAACTAGAAGGGGGGGACAGAGGAACCCCAAACCATTGCCTGCGGAAGCCATTTGGCTCGAAGTGGTTCTGAATTCAAATCCTCCTTCCCAGGAGTTTCCCTGCCCGATGATGACCCGGATGCCGGACAGGGCAGCAAATTCTGCCTGGTGGCCATCGGCAGGTTGCAGGTAGGCTGAAGCTGAGTGTGGTTGTGGCCATACTCCAGGGGATAATCAGTCGCCCAGAGGGTAGAGCAGCCCCGGCACTCACTGGAGTTTTCTCCCCTTTTCCCTAGGTTACCAGCTCCCCCGGCTGCACCGACATGAACACGGTATGTCAGCCCACCGAATTCATCTCCCGGCACAACACGGACGGTCTGTTCACCTTCGTGGACCACCGCTGCATGGCCACAGTGGGCTACAAGCCCCAGGTAGGGTCCCAGAGCTTTGGAGAGATTTTCAGAGGCATTTCTCTGTGGCCAAAACAAACTCGGGAGAAAACGGTGCCAGGTGTGGCTACGCAGGACTTCCTCTTCCGTGGCCCCGGAGGGTGGAGGGGAAGGGGGCTGCTTTGCCAATGGTGTCTCTCCTCCTTGCTAGGAACTCCTGGGAAAGGACATTGTTGAGTTCTGCCATCCTGAAGACCAGCAGCTGTTGAGGGACAGCTTCCAGCAGGTAACCCCATGGCAGGGCAGCTCAATTTCGGCCATCAGCAGAGCCAGGCCTGGATGCTGGAGCTGGGATTGCCTAATACGTGTCCGGGCTTAACACAGAAGGCGTGGAGAGAGAGAGAGAAGGGGGCTTGCAAAGGGTCCATAACACGGCATTCCACCCCATAACCATCATCACTTTGGCCCTCCAGGCACCTGTTGAAAGGTGGGCCTAGGAGCTACCAAGTCTCCCAGCTGTTGCCGGCTCGCCAAACCTGGCAACGTTAAGACTTGAGGACTTCAACTCCCAGAATTCCTCAGCCAGCTATGTCTTAACATTGCCAGGTTTGGGGACCCCTGTTTTAGGAGAGGGAGCACTCTGCCTTGTGGGTCCAAGAGACTCGATAGTCTTTTGGGGCCCCTCGTTTTAGAACGAGATGGCAGGGCACATCCTCCCTCCCATGTTCGGGCACCAGCAGAAAGGCGCATTGGCCCTCCCGACGGCAGGGGGGGGCCTCAGGGTCTTTGCGGGTCAAGCCCTGGACTCCCGGCAGCGCCTGACAGGGTGCAACCCCTTTTTCCAGGTGGTGAAGTTAAAGGGCCAGGTGCTCTCCGTCATGTTCCGTTTCCGATCCAAGAACCGCGAATGGCTCTGGATGCGGACTAGCTCCTTCACTTTCCAGAACCCCTACTCGGACGAGATCGAGTACATCATCTGCACCAACACCAACGTGAAGTACGTACTCGGGACGCCAGCCTCGGCACGGACTGCGCCCAGGTTGCCCTCGAGGTGTCAAGGGGAGGAAACTTTAGTTCCGCGGAGGCTCAGCCTTCCTTCGTTGCGATTGGTCGCCCTGCTGTGATGTCAGGGCAAGCGGGCGGGACTTTCTCACGGGGAGGAGGCCGGCCAGCAGGAGGAGCCCCTGGGCTTCCTTTCACGGCGATGTCAGTTAACGATCGCGGTCTCCGGAAAACCAAGCCATCTCCATCCCCATCTCCATTGTTTAGCTTCAGGGATGGGCTGGTGAAAGCCGCTGCGCCCGAGCCAAGGGAGATTGAGGGGATCTGCAGACCAACCGATGGTGACCACGTTGTCTCGGGAGCCCCCCAAGGCTGTGGTTGCAGGAGGGTCTTCCTGGAAAGTCAGAAGCAGCTTGGAGGGCCCAGCGGGGGCTCTTTGGGGATCGCCTGGCCTGCTTTGCAAAGGAGGATTTTAAGTCCTGGGTGCAAAGCTTCCTCCGTGGCCCCCTCTGTCCCCGAAGGGGCTGCCTGCCTCATGGTTCCCCTTCCCTGCAGGAATGCCAACCAGGACACCCGGCCGGCCGTCTCGAACGCAATGCAGCGGCCCCAGTTAGGCCCCAATGTCAGCCTGCCTTTGGAGATGGGCCCGGGCCACCTGGCCGCCAGGTAAGGGCCGTGGACTTGTTTTGAGGGCTCCCAGGTCCCTGGGCCTGCTTCTCTAGGTACCTTCCGCTCCAGATGAGCCTGTTTCCCGACCTGAGTCTCTGCCTTTTAGGTCGCAGCCAGCCCAGCCGGCAGAGCTCGAGGTGGTTCCCGGGAGAGAGAGCTTAGCCACTTACGAACACCCGCAGGTAAGGGGGTGGCAGGGTGCCAGGCGCCGATGCGGGCATGAAGCGCAGATGGTGGGTAAGTATTTGGGTCACTCTCTTTTTCTCCAGGCTGCCCTTCAGGCTGTGAGCGCCTCTGGCCCCGAGCACAGCAAGCCTCTGGAGAAGCCCGGGGTCCTCTTCGGCCAGGAGCGGGACCCCCGCTTAAGCGAGATCTACGGCGGCATCAGCCCAGGTACGGGGTGGAGGGCCAGGCCTCGTTCCCGCGATCTCCCTTCCGTGGGGCGGTTTCTAAAGTGTGCCTGCCTAAAACATCCCCTTTGGGGTCTCTCTCTCGCAGACCAGACGAAGCCCATTTCGGCCAACTCGGTGCCCACCAGCCAGCCCCTCTTCGCCCCAGGGAACAGCTTCGGGGCTTCCGGCCCCGCTGAGAGCTTCCAGTAAGGCTCAGAGGCTGCCCCCTTTCTTTCACGACGGCTCTGCTCTTTACACCGCCCATTCCCCTGGGGGCTGAGAATCTGGGGGGGTGGGCGAGGGAGGCGTCCTGGGGGCTTCCCCTTCCCCTTGATGTTCCCAGCCGGGTTCCAGGTCTCCCAAGCAGGGTTTTCCTTTCGTTCCACTCTTCACGCGGTCTCTCTTCCCCTCCGCCAGCAGCAGCAGCAACACCCTGGCGCCCCCCGTGAACGTCCTGCAGCCTGGCCGGGCACACTCGACCGCAGCCGGACCCATCCTGGCCCATCTCTCCCGCCACGCCAGCCCCGGCCAGGTTTCCGGAAGCGGCTGGGCTTCGGGATCGCGCCCGCCTTTCACGGCCCAAGTAATTCTTGTTCTTTCTTCCTCCGCAGCCCCCTCCCTACAAAGTGTCCCTTGGGGTCAAGGGTGAGAACTGCAAGGCCTGCCCCTTCGCCTGCTTTCCTGCTGACCTGTGGCCTCTCTGGTTGGGGGGGAGTCCTCAAGCTTCTCCGAGGACCCCCAGCACCGCCCCTTCCCTTTCTGGGACTCTGACTTGGGCCTGTCTTCGCTTTCCCAACGGCCTGGACTTCTCTCAGAAAACCCCAAAGTTTGGGAAATTTATCGCTTCCTTTCTGCTCTTCTCCAGCCAGCGGCTTCCCAGCCGGTGAAGACTCGCCCCCCCTCCTTTGCCATGGGCAGCTTCCAGGCCACGCCGTCCTCCTTCGGCCCCATGCCAAACCCCGGGTCCGCGGCCTCGCCAGCCGGGGCTCCCTACCCAAGTCTTGCCGGTCGGAATGCCCCTTTCGGTAAGTCCCTCGGCTGCCCTTGGAGCCACCCGCGGGCTCAGTCTCCTGGTAGCTGTGGTGCCTTGGCAGTCACTCGGTGTTAAATGAGCTTCTCTGGGCAGCTGGGAAGGAGCCCAGAGGCATTTAGCTGTGCCTTTCTGACCCAGAGCTGGTTGTTGAAAAGGGGACTGAAAGGTCTTCGTCTCTTGTGGGTTCTCCTTCCTTCTTTCCTTCCTTCCTGCTGGCCATTCCAGGTAGACCAGACGGGAAACAGATCCCACTTTATAGTAAGGCTACGTTAACCCAAGGTCTGTGTCTCTCTCTCACTCGCCTTTCCTCAGCTGCCGGAGAGAGCGGGCAGAATCCGGCCCCGTTCCAGGCGCGGACGGCAGAAGGAGTCGGCGTTTGGCCCCAGTGGCAGAGCTCAGGCGAGCCCCACGTCCAGCAGCAGTCTACCCAGGCAGAGGTCTTCCCGGTGAGTCAGAAGCAACCAAGGGGGAGCGGAAGGATTGTGCAAGAAGTCCTCAACTTACGACCGTTCGTTTAGCAACAGTTCAAAATTAAGACGGCCTCGGGAAAAATGACAATGGTCACCACTGTCACACCATGCCCGCAGTCACAACTCAATCCCTTTGACAACCGGTTCACATTTAGGCGATTTGCGACCTTCTGTCTGATTTGCTTAACAACCGCAGTAAAAAAAAGGTCGCAGAATTGGGTCTGATGACTTGCTTAGAGGCCGCATCGCTTAGCGACTGAAGTTCCGGTCCCGGTTGAGGCTGTAAGTCAAGGAATGAGAGCAAAGGAGAAAAACGCAGATCAGTTTCACGGCTCGGCTCACCCCGCACATTGGGGTCCTCCTCTCTTGAGCCCTGCCTGCGTTTAGAAGCGAACCCAGTTTAATGGCAGCTGTTGTTTTATCCCGGGTTATAAAAGTGACGGCTCCTCTCTTTGGGTTTCCAGGATATGCTGTCCATGCTGGGGGAACAAGGAACCAACTACAGCAGCGAAGAATTTCCCGAACTGAACATATTTCCGCCCTTTTCGGAGTAAGCGAGGGAGACCATCTGCCACGATGGGACGTTATTCTGTGTAGCAACATGGAGGGGGTCTCTTCCTCACCTCCCCCCAATCCTTTGCAAAGAGCCCCCAAGTCTTCCTGGGGGGGGGGAACAAAAGTCTCCAAGGGGGGTCACAAACACAGGTGAGCTGAGGCTTGACCTTCCCACCAAATCTGCCCAGGAAGACCCTCCCTCCCTCCCGCGACGGGCATTACTCAGAGACCCTCCGGGAGAAAGGAACTGATAGGATATCTTGTTTTTTTTCCCCTCCGACATCCAACACGGGAAAAGATGCTCGGGAAGGAAAAAGCTCAGCAGGTTGTTATTGTTATTAATTTTTTTTTTGGTCTTGTTTTGTTTTTAATTCTACGGCATAATCTTTTATACCTACCTTGTATTCTCATTTATACACGCCGAGGGAGCTGTGTTTTGTGAAGAGGCTCCTGCTTCTTAGGCGGTTTTGTGACTTGTGAACCGGGCGGAAATCCTGGCCCCGTGTTTCTTCCCTCGCACGCTCGCACACGCGTGTCTCTTGTCTCACAAGCAGTATTAATGAAATGCTGGGGGGAGGGGGCTGACATACCCCTCCCTCCTCATCTGTTCCCTTTGTTGGTTAGCTCGTCTTTCCATACCTCTTTCGGGCCACGCTGTGCTCTGCGCTTGGAGACTGTGCTGGCACAATCTTCTTCGTGAAAATCTCCCTTTTTGGGGGACGGGGCGATTGACAATCATGGTGGACGGCAAGGAAGCCAGGAGAAAAAAAACTCCCTGTTTTAAAATAATGTTTAGGGCCCTGATTGGGGGAGGGGCCGTCCCCGTCTTGGAAAGTAGGAAAACGATGCTGGTTCAGTCCTGGAGGTGATCAAGGGAAGCCGCTTGGTACCTTTTCCAGCCGTTTTTCCAAGTCGGGCGTGGGTCAGGGTGCTTTCTTGCGCCCCCTCCCCTCCCTTCCCAATCTCTGTGAAGCCCTTTTCCTCTCTATTTGTACGCGCTTTACCACGGGGACACCAAAAAGCCATAAAAATTGCACAAAGTTCACACGGCGTTTTGTCTTCCTTGAGATCGCTAAACTCGCACAGCGTCCTTGGCTTCACCGTCGGAAGTGAAAGGCACGTTATTTTTAAACTCTGCTGCAGGTGGGAGCTTTCCTCCTGCCACAGGTAACGTTCCCCACCCTGTGCGGCGGTCTCTTTCCGTTCGAAAGACTCGGCAAGCGGACGGCCATCGCCACGCTTGGAGACCTCGAAGGGCCCGCTTGCAGCTCCCGTTTTGCAGGGCGCCTGTCTTGGCATCAGGAGAGCTGGGCAGAGTCTGAAGCAGATGGCTGCTCCGGGTCTCTTTGCAAAGGTTTATCTGCACGCTTCGCAAAAAGGAATCTACTTTTCATCAGCCGGGAAAAGAAGAATCAAGTTTTGGAAAAGTTGCACCGTTTGCATTTCCAGAATATGCAGAAAAGGGGGGGGGGAACAATCACGTGATCAACTGATTAAATTCCCCATCTGGTGGTTGCTCAAAACTGGCTTTGATTCAGAAATCAGTCTGGAGACAAGCCTTCTTGGAAGGAGCAATGGCACTTTTCTGGGAATGGCTTTTGGTGAACTAAGCCTTGGTCCCGAAGAAGTCAGAACCGCATGACTCAGTCACATGTTTTCACTTAGTTTTATTTTATTTTTTTCTGGTCATGGTTTTTTCCTGTTTTAAAAATCCTCAGCTGCCTTAGTCACGGTAGGAAAAACAGCTCAGGATCCTGGGTCACCTTGAAAGCCGACAAGACTTAAGAGCAGTTAAATTTTTAAATTTACCGACAAAGAAAACACACAAAAGAGTCTGTCGCAGAAGCGACTGCCGGTGAAGGCTCCTAGATGGGGGCTGAAAGGCGGAAGCGGCAGGCTCCATCCCATAATTTGGGGTAGACTAGGTTGCCCTGATAGACTGGTCTCACCAGAAAACACTTAAGAGCAGTGTTGTTTTTGTGCCTTTACACTCCATCGTTGCTCCATACAGGAGGGCAAATTTGTAAGTTGCTTTTTCCTGCCAAATGATTAACGTGGCTGCTTGTACGTTGAAAGTGTCCAAGAGTGGCTAAAATTGTTCCAGATTTCTTCCTGAGATTGGAGAGGTTTCCATTTCAGATCTTGTTTGTAAATGGGAGTGAGGAGGCTTAGGGCAAAAACGTGCTGACCTTCGACTGGGACAAAATGACTTTTTCACTACAGTTACAGATATCCAGAAGACGAGGCAACCTTGCTGTAGGCCTGGATGTCTCTGTAATCCACAAAGCAGAGTGTCAATCAGGCTCCCCTACCCTCAGTTGGCAGTTAGAAGCCAGGACCATGATTGAATGTCACAGAGGACATTATTTCTTAACATCTAGACCCCAAATCCTGATCAAGACAGGTAAGACAAACAGCCGTGCAGGAAAAAGCCAGCAAACCACGTCATCCCTTGTGTCAAAACACTTGACAGTATTGCCTAAATTGGTAACACAACAATGCTTGGCATCTGCCTTGTGGTTTGCAGGTTTATTTCAAGACGCTGTGGGCAAATGAAAGCTGGGCCTGTGCGCCTGAATCGCTTCTGCATTTTGTCTTGCACCTGGTGTGCCATGACGCCAATTTGTGCTCGCCCCATCAGAGGAGTTCCTAAGACAGCACAAGGGAACAAATCTCGACCAGCTTTCTTCTCGACCTAGCAAGAAATGAAATAAATTTCAGTCCCGAGGATGGATGGCGGGAGCTGTGAATCCCCTTCTGTTTTATTTTCCCAAAGAAAAATACGAGAAATAAGCTTTTCTGCAAGCGAAACTGAAAGGAACTCTTGTCCTTCCAGTTCTCAGAACGTGAGATTGCTAGATAAGTCTAATCTGATCCCAAACCTGCCCAACGGAGGCGGGGAAAACAACAAGCCATTTCTGAACTTAATAAATAAAAATCTGTGCTGAAAACCAGAGAAAACCTTGTTTTTTATTTAGTGCCCTGAAGAAGGCCGTTGATGAGATCGGCTCACGGACTGAAAGGGGGAAGGGCATTTTCATGACAACCTGCAAGTGGAGAAGGAAATAACGGATCCTCCCGCGTAATAAGGAGGAAAATACTGAGATCGGATCAGGACGGCCTTGAAGCATCTTGCAGAGCATGGGAAGAGATGTTCAAAAGCAGCCAGCTTCGGAAGAGAAGTGAAAGAAAAGTCCCTCCGATTTGGGTGTGAATTGGCCCCACTTTCTCTGTTCGCCCTCCTTACTCCAGGCCACCTCAGAAATTGTGCCTAAACCAGGATTTGCTAGCTTTGTGGGTGCATAACGCAGCTGAGCCATAAAAGCTGCGAATCGGGCCTGATTTGAAAGTTCTGCAACTTTGCAAGGAGAACAAAGACCTTGCAAGTTCAGGGAAAGGATTTTTTTTTTTCTCCCCCTGCCTTGCAATGCCTTCATTCTTGATTTGTTCAAAATCCTCTTTCCATGTTCTCAGTTCTGTTCAGGCCACAGAAACTGTTGGGACTTCATGAGCCAAAAGCCGTAATAGGGAAGCATCCAGCCAACTCTCCGAGGGGAGGGAGGCTGGCTGGTTCCCCTCTGCACATCAAAACCCCCTGGTGTAATTTTAGCCAGGGGATCATGTGAGGCAGCTGAGCCCTCCTTCCCCAAAAGCCCTCTCCGAGTGCCCCTTCCCGGTTCCCGCACAGGATGTCTGCCTCACTCACCGCCTTGCTCACCCGGCCGCTTGGAGCATAAGTCGCAGATTTTCCATTGTTGGCTAGACTCCCCCCCTCCCCATACATCCCCAACCAACTCACCATAAAAACAAACGGGGACGCTGAGATTCTTCCTATTCTGAGTGGCTGCACCCAGGAGCGCCTCTCTTGAACCAGAGCTGGCCTTTGACTCTAACTTCTGCCGAGGAAAGAGGGATTTTGGGACAGGTAAGCTGAGCAGAGCAGGGATCCCTGGTGTGGGGGTTTTATCCAGGGTGGGGAGTGGGCAAACTTCTTGCAACCCTTCCAAGGCAAGACAGACCCTCCTCAAGGGAGCTGGGAAGAGGGATCCAGTGCTCTCTCTCTCTCTCAGCCTGATGGGAATCCTCGCTGGATCCTCAAGTCCGTTTGGGACATGGGTTCAAGCACAAAATCACCCACTTTCTCCCCCCCCCCCAAGCCAGCCTCTGCCTTCTGTGTGGCCAGTCTCAAGTCGGGCTGGCAAACTTGCAGTATTTTAATAGATCGGAAAAACAGGCATAAATCAAAAGTTCAAAAGGCTCTTAAGATTGCATCTTTTGTGTGATGTCCCTGAATGATAGTTTTTGCAATTCTTAATTTATCTCTGATTGCATCTAGAGGCCTTCCTGTTTTCATCCTTTTAGGAGGGGGGGAGAAAACTTTCACGTGACACTGGAAAACAATTTTTCACCCTTGAAGGAAGGGTGAGGCGGGAGGAGCTGTTTAATGTTCAAGTCAGAAAGCAAGCCTTCTCGTCCTCTGTCTGTACAAGAGATAAATTAGGAGGAAAAGGTTTCATTTTGGCTTCTAATTTGGGGTTTTAAGTTTCTCTTCGGCTGCCTGGGCAGACGGAGCGAGGTCTGTTTTGCTGAAAACGGGGAAGCATCTCCCTAACAAGAACCAACTGTGGGTCTCCTTTTGGAAGAAAGGATGGGGGGGGGGGCAGAGAAAAGATTGTGGGCGTAAGATTTTAGATGGGAACTTTGGAAGGATTTAGGAAAGCTGACGTAACTGAAAAGGTTTCCACTAAATCACCTTGGGCCAAGGTGGTCTCTTACTTTTTTCCAAGGTTTTTTTTTTTCCTCTTCAGCTGGTAAAGGGTTAGGCTAGCTAGGCTAAAAAAAGGGAATGGCCTCAAATCAAGCAGGAAAGCCTGCGTCCTATTCTTGATGCTCTAATCTTGGCTGGAGTCCACGTGAGTTAAACGGTTCTGTGGTTTGTTTAGATTTCACGGGTGGCTCACACCCCACAGAATCATAGAATCCTAGGGCTGGAAGGGACTTTAGGGCTTGTCCAATAAACCATCTTTGGCACAATCTCTGAACTTTTCCATGGTGTGTCCTGTTTGATCCTCCCAGAATGCGCTCACTCGTCCTTCTGTTAGCCACAGTGCTGCCCGTGGCAAACGTGGCGGATATGGAGTCTTCTCTAGACAAAATGCTGGACTCTCAGTGGGAGCTTTGGAAGAAAATTCACCGGAAGGATTATAATGCCAAGGTAAGGACCCAGAAGCTGCCAGCTCTCAGCTGGGTACGAAGTCTGATGGCACCAAATTCAGCCCTGCCGTGCCAGCCTCACCAACCGCTTCTTTGTGCCACCTAAAAGAGCCAGCTGATGGCAGCCTTCAGAGCTGAGCTAAACAGCCCAGTAGGCAAACTTAGATTTATAATCCAAGCCTAATTTTTATAATTCAAGTTCCCTTTTAGACTAAAGGCTGTAATGGAGCAGTGTAGCTGCACTGCTGGCCAAAGATCCAGGTAAAACTTCAGTGTCCTCTTGGGGGATCCCTTGTGAGCAGGAAACCTGATTTATAGACCTGTCAGGTGAAGGAAAACAGAAGCCTTCTGCAAACTCTTACCCAGTTCTTCCTCTGGTGGTGCCATAGATCAAATTTGTTCCCAGACTTGCATTTCTGCCTCTAAAAAGTGTTGCACAAACTCTTGTGTAAGCAAAAGAAAACGGGGGGGGGGGGTGTCCTTGTTTTTAGCAAGTGGGGCATAGAAATGCTCCCTGGGTAACTTTCAGGAATCCACCCGAAAAAGACCCATTTTGCCACGTGGATGTCAGTTGTGTCTTTGGGCCTGACTATTGCCTGGGCATCTTAACAGATGGAAGAAGTTTCCCGGAGGGTCATCTGGGAGAAAAACCTGAAATACATCAACACCCATAATTTGGAATTCTCCCTGGGAAGACACACTTTTGAGTTGGCCATGAACCGCTTGGGAGACATGGTAAGATGCAACAATTCCTCTGTTCAGCAATCAAAATGGGAAAATAATGTCCTTCGCTCCGTGATACGATGCTGTAGGATTAAAATTATGCCCTTG